ACTGATCTGGAATTTTTGCAGTGCTGGCAAGGGCTTAGGAGGGTGAGGCACTTTGAAATGAGCATACTTTCAGAGCTCAAGATAGACGGGCTGCCGATGGTGACTGAAGAGGGTCCGTGGCGATACCTGAAGGCCTGTGGAATCGCCATTGCCTTTCTCAATGGATTGCCAGATGTCGAAAGCTTGACAATATACACAGACGCAGATGGGTCCCCTTGGATGAACAAGTGCAAGGAGAAGTTGCGCGCGATGACAATTGCGAAGCCTGTAATACTGGGAACGGGTGACTGTTGTGGGCATCCGCCTTGAGCGCACATTGTGACGTACAAGCATGGGGTACCGAGGAGAGAAGTTCGAGGAGCTGGGAGGATGATTGACGACTGACCCCGGAGCTCCAGTCCAAACTTTTCAATTACCCTAACGCCGTTACCGCCATCCTACGCTTCAGCAATCACAGTACCTACCTGCGCAACCGCTTCAAGTCAGTCCTCCGTGCAAAATGCCTTCAAAATGGCAGCCACCGTTGTTGTTGAACTTCATGGGACATGGTTCGCGAGCTCTAACCATGATGCCTTTGAGTAGGATTGACCAATGCTATTAATTAGGTGGAGGAGACAGGCAATCTCACCCTCGGATTCTTCCGATCCGACGGCGCCGTACTCAAGGCGGAAAAGCAAATGCTGCAGCACGAAGTACCAAACCTCACAGACTTGGTAGGATTCTTCAAAAACACAACGGCCAGGCCTGTAAATGAGCTGTTGAATAGACTCGAGCCTGATCTGGATTTCTGTACCGCATGTTGGAAGGTCTAGAACAGTGATGAGGACAAAGGCACGTTGAATTTAACAAAGTACAGATACTCTATGATTCTTCAGGCGCATCTTATTGACGCTGACAGGAAGTGAGTCATCCGAATGGACCCTGTCAGATTATGTATAAAGACATCGTAGGCCAAGCCGTTCAGGTCTCCCAACTGCATTGCGTCCTCCAACAAGCTCCAGCATGCGCCCTTCGAGTAAGGCTCGATAATCTGTGCCCTGCCTCCAGCACTTTGTCATCTATAAACATCCACCTTAATTGTCGCTTCGCTCCAATCTAGCACTGCCTACTTACAATGTGAATGTTCTAGCATTTTTGTATATCCGTTAAGCCACGGGTACCACATCCCAATTCCTACAGATATATCCACGGCTCAACTGGAAATGCGAATAAATCTCCAAGCTGTGAGCACGGAAAAGATGCTAAGACAATTCATGCTGTAACGCATAAGATACGTACGAAGACTACAAGATCTTTTCGAAGGGTCTAGGTGTAGCCGGCTTGACGTGTGTAATTCTCCATTGCTATCGATATGTACATAAGCATGCATGCAACCACAGCATATGCATCGTGAGGCTCCTCGTAGCCGCTCATCCATTCCTGTCCGAAAGAGCCCCAGTATTCTAACGGTTCTTCTTCGTTTGCCAAACTAAACCTTCTGTCAGCATCCTGCCTAGCCTGTGTTGAACGTAGGATCCTACCCGCAACGCCAAATGGCAATCCAAAGAAGAAGGCTGTCTTCCTGTCAGCGCTGTAACGTCCAATTGAAGATTCTGATGGCTTACCCATCGTTCCCCAGTATCTCAACGCAAAGTATTTCGTCAGAGGATTGAACGGGAGGTTGCTTCGAGGACCTTCAGGATAATGATATGGACTTGAGAGGCGTGCTGCAGAGGTTCGAAAGCCACGGCTGGCGATCATGGACGGTGCCTTGGAGGCGCGGATGGCGGTTCGTGAAAGCATCTGCGTTGTCAATACGTGCATTTGACTACACAGAGCTCATCCTACCATACCTTATTCGTTTGCTGTCTCGATATCGATGGTATGTCGTGATTGCAAGCTTCGTGATTATGAGGTTGGCCGTACTCGCCTTGTAAGGCTTAGCGCGCTGTACCCCAGTTCGAAGATTCCGACCGAGGGGACGCTCAAGGTGAATTTCAAAATTGCACCTTGATTATTATACCGCTGTTTAGGACGGTGAGCAGAGCATTTAGACCGAACTGAAAGCACCTCAATCTGGTGCATATACTCGAACATCAGGTCGCAATGGCCGCCCGCCGCACCCTCACCTCCATTCCCTCGCGTATCACACTCGCTAAACCCAGCTGTCAAACCTCGAAGCATCTTTTCCCCCGGAGAACGCAACACAGCTCCTCCTCGACCTCTGCTTTGGCCTACAAAGCTCTCCACCGCCGCATCAACCCGCTCCCGACACAAGACTCGCTCCCTTCATGGTCCGCCCCGGCTGCTGTATCCTCGATTCTCTACGAAACGCCCCTGCCCTCGGCGTTCGCGCCAAAACGGCACATACTCAATTGCCTCGTGCAAAATGAGCCCGGCGTCCTGTCTCGCGTCTCCGGTATCCTGGCGGCACGGGGGTTCAACATTGACAGCTTGGTCGTCTGCAACACGGAAGTGGAAGATCTGTCCCGCATGACAATCGTGCTGTCCGGCCAGGACGGGGTGGTAGAGCAGGCCCGTCGGCAACTGGAGGATCTGGTCCCCGTGTGGGCGGTGCTGGACTACACGGCCGCGCCCCTCGTCCAGCGGGAACTGCTGCTCGCGAAGATTTCGATCCTGGGCCCGGAGTATTTCGAAGACCTCATGGCTCATCACAGGGAGATGTCCGCGGCGGACGCTTCGAAGCTCGAGGAAATGGCGCAGTCGGCGGATGCGGAGACACCAGGGCAGCAGCGCGGAGGACCCGACGCCGATTATCATCCTAATCGACTGGCGGCCAGTCAGGCGTTGCGACACAAGTATGAGCATTTGGATGCCATCACGCATTTGACGCATCAATTTGGCGGAAAGGTATTGGATATAAGCACCAATAATTGTATTGTTGAGATGTGAGTTTCCCCCACGTCTTTGCCTGCCGATTGCCGCTGACATCGGGTGCAGCTCTGCGAAACCTCCTCGAATAGATGCCTTCATGAAGCTCATCTCGCCCTTTGGCATCTTGGAGTCTGCACGGACTGGCCTGATGGCTTTGCCTCGATCACCATTGGACGGCGGCGTAGAGGAACTTGAGAAGGAGGCTGGTGATGTGGTAGATGCGAGCTCTCTGCCGCCAGGATAGTGGCCGGTAATCTATGTTCGATGCTTTATATCTCGATCTAGCGTCGGCGTTCTCGTAAAACATCCCATGGTACATACTGCATATAACCAGATGTTTGTGTATACACTATTTCCCGCTGTGTATATGTGACATTTCCGATTAACCACGTCCAGAAGAGACGCAAGCGCATTTGCATAAATTTCGTAGACCATTTGCGCCCGTTTCGACGTACTCATGCCTCACATACCTCATCAAAGCGCGACGCCTACCGCCCAACCACTCGACCCCAGACAATAATCGTGTCATGACCTTTCCCTTCGCTGCAATCCGAGCTTCCAAAACAATCACAATCTCACCCCAGCCCCAACACCCCTCCCCATAAACCAGACCCGTTGCTGCCACAACCCAACCCCAATCCCCACGTCCGCCCTCGCATCCAGCTTCAACCTGCCCCCAAGCGCCTGCTTGACAGCTTCGTACCCCACACTCCCCAGGTCCCAGTCGACGGGCAACCTCGGGCTCGTGCTCGCACCGGGCGGCACCTCGAAGGGCAATTCGTACAGGATGGCGCCCACGGCTTCCGTGTGGTTGTAGTAAGCCGTGGCGTTCAGATACGTGATCGTGATGGTGGAACGAGGAAGGGGCGAGAGCAGGGTGAAGGTTGCGGTGGAGGTGATGAGATGGAACGTAGCGTCGTCGATGAACTTTGGGGCGTTGGGGTCCCGGTCGTTGTCACCTTCATCGTCTGGGTCCCGGTTTGGGTTTTTGGGCGGTGTGAGCTTGGGGGTTGGGATGTCGATGGAGAGGGAGGAGAGGGCCTTGCCGAGGTTGGGTTGGTGAGGGATCGTGCCGGCGTGGGTGGCGAGAGTGAGGGATGTATTGAAGCCTGCTCGATTTAGTTATGGGATGAAGGGTGGGGGCAAAGCATAGGTCGAGTTGGGGCTGCTGACCAGATATATACTGTGAGAGGAGCTCTTTTCCTTGAGCTAGTCCCTTCTGTCCACTTGGAGTCAAAGGATCCCAAAGAGCTTCGACGAGAATGTTGTGATTCGGCCCAGGTACGACGGAGACATGTCGAGCGGTTGCATGGCCGATTTCTGTGCCATTGCTTAGCATTTTGATATTCACATACGGTACGATCGCGGAATATTCGGTAGGATTCGTTATGTTGATTTTAGCTTCCAACGAGAGCGTTGACCTCGTGGTTTCCAGAATGCGTAAGGAGCCAACTTGAGGTGAGAATCCTTTCAGGTCTCCACCGGATATTGCTAGATTACAAACCATCAGCTTCCAACGCCGTAATGCTATCATACATGCATGAAAAGTAGGAAACTAACGCTTGACAAAAACCTTTCCCTCAGCCGGAATCTCTCGCACAACAAATTTCCCAAGCGCTGTCTCTGTTTCTACATCCACTTCAGCCTTGACACCCAGCACCACCGGCTTGCCACCGAAAATCAAATCTTCCACAACGTCTGTGAAGACATCATCATCGGTTATCTTCAAAGGAGCGTTCTTGACTGTGGACTGGACGGCTAAACCTGCTTCGATATCGTCGTGTGCCTCAATTCGTGTCGTGTTCGCTTTCTGCCATTTCTTCAGGTCGAGACGGCCGAGCTTCTTTTCATGATAATACACGTCGGCATCTGCACGGACACGGCCAACGTCGATTGGGAAGTTCATTTCTGCCGGCAGACCAACGAGGGCTTTGACAGTTGCAGATATCCTGGGCGAAGCTTCGGGCGTGTTAGGTGTAGCGAACGGATCCGGCAGAGTAAAGTGGACGTCCGCTAAGGAAAAATTGCGAATGAGACTATCAAAGCTCTTCCCCGGGAAGGGAACGGGAACCGTAATACTCTGGATAAGCGCGTTCACCCAGTCAGGTGTATTGCCTGATGCAGAGCTTGAACCTCGAACATAGATAGTTGTCTCATCCCCGCGGATGTACTCGCCGAGAAGAGCGTCTAACGGTGATTTTTGAGTCTGTGGGCACGTGGCGAGGAGTGTTTCAGGTAACTTCTGGATAAACCCGCCAACTTGGACCTCAACATTTTTCTTGGGCTGCAGCTGGATCTCCTCGGTCCTTGCATCTGCAAGCCTTAGGTAAGGTCCGTCCGGAGAACAGCCTTGGACCAAGATATCAAAGCCAAGTGAAGGTACCGCTAATTTGACCGGATACTCATTCTTCAACGCGAGCGAAACATCTACTGTCATACCTCTTTCACCGTTCGGTAGCTTGAGTTCCTGAATATTCAGCTTCGTTATGTTGTATTTGGGTATGGTAGGGAGTTGGTGCTCTATTACTTAACGGTTAGCTCCTGACCTAGCATTGTCGGGCTAAGGGATAAGCTCATCTGAGTACCTACTCCTGAACATGATTGTCTCTGCAAGACTCTGTGTACCCAAACCAAATATGCCGGACTTTAACGGAACGTCTGCAACACCTCTGATGCTCAAATCCCCAATCCTTCCTTCTAACCAATCATTGGCCATTCGCCGTATACCATCCAGGTCTCCAGCTTTAAGGTCGCTCAGGAAATCGAGATGCGTAGTATGGCCATCCCTGATATCTATTACGATCGGGGGCACATCCGCAGTTCCAAGTAAAAGATTCCCATACTCCGGTAAAAAGACCTTGACGTTCGAACGCTTACTTTCCACAGCTCTTGCGATCCATGTCCCGGCACGGCCTAGGTCCCTCACAGGTTTCTTTTGAACTCTTGACCCATCAAGTGTAAAGTCACCCCGTATCCTTGCTCTTACGCCCGTTGATGTGAAGGAGTCTATTGATAGATCTGTAGGCTCAAAGACCATGGCTTCTCTCGCATACTCTTCTACTACCTCTGGAGCGGCAAAACCCAGACAAAGTATAACGATAATCACAAGACCCAGTATTGTCAATGCAATGATTGTTGGCCATCTTCGAGAAGACTTCTCTTTACTCGGTCCCCCATTTTGTAATGATCTTAACGATGAGGCAGCAGCTGAGGGGGATTCGTCATGCGTTGGTGCATCACCGTAATTGCGATTAGTCGCGTCTTGTGGGAGAAGAGGAGTCGACTCCTCTGAGAGATTTGACTGGTTTGAATGTTTTGATTTCGTCGAGGTTTTCGACTTCTGGGATGGAGGTCTCTCGGATCTTGATTGTTCGGCGCCTGCTTCGCCAAGGAGGGGTGAGGCAGGATGGTCAGACATTATGACTCTGAACGGTCATCAGTCCGGGCTGATGGCAGGTGAATGGCAGCTCAGATAAGGGTTTGTTAGGTGACAGTGGTGAGGAATACAGACTGTTGGCGCTTAGAGCCCCTCAGCACACCAAAAAAAAAAAAATTTTTTTTTTTTTTTCTCCGCAATTTCTATCAATACACACAGACCCCCATTACCCTACCGACGGATTATCATACACGATAATAAAAAAACAATATAAAAAATACATAATACCCAAAAACTAAAAAAAATTATTTTTTTTTCAGTGCCTCAGGTTGCTAAGATACTTTACATATCGCGGGCGGCTCCGCAGCTTGATGACGAACTTCCTCGTTCCCCAGATTTAGATTCTCGTAAATAAGAAGTCTTGGCACGGACATTTATTTTTTGACCCTCTGAAGCTTCTCACATTATTCTAATATCTCCAATATCTTCCCCCAAGTGCACTCAATTGGCCATCACTTTTATCTTGCAGCTGTATGAGAATAACCACTTTACAATTGAAGTGTTTGCCAATTGACAGGCTTCCTCTGCCTTTCTATATCCGCCATCAGGCTTTGCAAAGCTAGTGGGCAGCTCTCCATGATGGCCCCGTTGCGGCCCCGATATCTTCGAAGTTCTCTTAAGAAGTTACAACAAAGGGCATACTCGTCACCAGCTTCTCCTCCCACTTCTCCGTTTGCCCCTCGCCATCTACTCTCCATCGCTGTAATGATCTTCGCACCAACATTGAGAAAGACAGACGCTAATGCTGTCCCAGGATCTTACTTCCGCTGAACTCACGAGCCTGGTACGCAATGCCGAGAGCCATAAAAGAGCGGTCAAATCTGGGTCCGTTCCGGCATCGTTGTTTGGAGCATTGACGGGCAAGACCGTCGCTATGACCTTCAATAAAAGAAGTACAAGAACTCGTGTAAGCACCGAAGCCGCCGTGGCTACGTTAGGAGGTCATCCCATGTTGTAAGTATCTGTTGGCATCTGTCAGAGATATGATTTGACTTGTTATCACGAAGTCTCGGGAAAGATGATATACAATTAGGGGTACCGTCTCACACCTATCGAAAACACCAACTGCAAACCCATGGTCGACCAGATCTGACTGTAATGCAGGTAAATGAGTCATTGTACGATACGAGTACCGTCATAAGTTCCATGGTCGCTGCTTGGGTAATGAGATGCGGACCCCATTCCGATATCGTACAAGTTTCAAAGACTTCTTCAGTCCCTATTATCAACGCTCTGTCGGACGATTTTCACCCTATGCAGACTGTCGCAGACTTGTAGGGGTAGACCCTATCTTCTTGAGAGTCGTATTTTGAGCTTTGCTTAGTTTAACAATTAAGGAGGCGTTCTCTTCGAGTCGAACACCGCAAAGATCAACGACACCCGGTCTTGGACTGGAAGGCCTGAAGGTATGCATGTTGGGAGTAGTTTTTTGCTATTCAGTACCAAAGTCTGATCGCAACTCTTCACTTTCCTAACCTTTCGAGACTCGAGCTTATTCTCAAAAGAGAATATACTGACTCTATATTTTTGATAGATAGCATGGGTGGGTGATGCCAATAACGTCAGTCACAATTCGCCCACGTACGAACAGGAGACTTGGGAAATTTGACTGGACACAGGTGTTATTCGACCTCGCTATAGCAGCGCTCAAACTCGGAGTCGACTTATCCGTCGCCACTCCCAAGGGTTATGAGATCCCACAGAGAATGAAGGAAATAATACAAGAGTCTGGAAAAGATGCACGGTTACAGGGAAAGCTCACGGAGACAAATCTACCTGAAGAAGCTGTAAAGGACGCTGATATCCTGGTGACCGATACGTGGTGAGTGTGAAAAATGGTGGTTTGAAAAATCAATGCTGACTTCGAAATCTACCTAGGGTGTCAATGGTAAATCAAACCCATATTTCGAATGACTATGGACTAACGCCTTTCAGGGTCAAGAAGCAGAGGCGAAGAAGAAGATCAAGGCTTTTGAAGGCTTCCAAATCACGAACGCTCTGGCGGAGAGGGGAGGTGCAAAGCCAGGTTGGAAGTTTATGCATTGCTTACCTCGACATCCGGAGGAGTAAGTCATCCTTTTGACTCCGTTGGTAATGTCAAAAAGGAATGCTGACTTGGCGAATCACCAGAGTGGCCGATGAAGTTTTTTACAGTCCCAGAAGTATGTGCTGCTGCTCCATGAAATGATTACTTGGACTGATTATCTTTCTAGGCTTGGTCTTTCCTGAAGCAGAAAATCGGTAGGCACCTATGACCCAAATCTTGTATAGAAAAGACATGCTGACTTTGTCGATCCAAGATTGTGGGCCGCTATTTCGATACTCGAGGGATTCGTGATGAACAAAGGCAAGATAGTATAGGATTGCGACGGGAATCATGTAAACGACGAAAGGTCGATCATTTGAATAACATTCTAGAATTCCTCGCAGAAAATGTAGTTAGAAGTAAACATCAAAACCCTAAGCGTCTGACTAGCGCCGAAAATCAACTCCACCAGTCGTTCCCGACATCCCTCCTTCAACATTGAACGGTGCCCTCCCACACACAAACCACCATGGATGTAAGTCACTTCATCCTCATAACCCGTGAAACCCACTAACCCTCCTCCCCAGCGACCCAACCGCTCGCACCCAACCCTCGGCCCCCTCACAACCCTCCCCACCTCCCCCCACGCCTCTCCATCCTACCTCTACCCCTCAGCCTCCATCCCAACAACCCCCTCCCTCCTCTCCCGCCCCTCCTCCCAAACCCGCCTCCGCCCCACCCGCTCCACCCCGACCGCCGTCCCCGCCTCCGCCTCCGCCCCCGCCCGGAAAAAGACCCGCACCGTCCGCAACCCCGACGACACGCCGGACGACTGGGTCACGCGCACGGCGTCGGCCCTCACCCTCACGCGACTCGAAGAGAAGGGACAGGCGTGGCTCGCGGCGAGGAGTTCGAGCACGAGCTTGACGGGTGGCGAGGTCGGGGATGATGAGTATGATGCCCACTCTCCCGAATGGAGTCTGTCGCGGGTGCAGTCGGCGAGGGGATCGAGTGCGAAGTTGCGAGGGCTCTCGAGGGCGCAGTCGAGGGTTCAGTCGAGGGTTCAGTCGAGGAGGGGTAGTGTTGGGCGGGGGGACGGGGTGAGAGGAGAGGAGGAGGAGGAGGAGGAGGAGGAGGAAGAAGAGGTTGGGCCGGATTTTGTGAATGCGGAGGAGGGAGAAGAGGAGGGGGAGGAAGTCGACGAGGGGGAGATGAAGAGGGTTGTCATGGGGAGGGTTGGCGGGTGGGTGGACTGGGCCGTGGGATGGATGGAGTTTAGAGGTGAAGGGGAGGAGGAAGGGGATGCGGATGAGGTTGACGGAGCTGCGGGGGGAGAAGATGACGGTGGAGAAGGCATTGTGAGGGGCGAGCTGGATCCGGTCGAGTTGCAAAGGCGATTGCGGAGGAAGAAAAGGAAGGATGATGAAGCGGACACTGGTGGTGAGGGTACGAATATTATGGGCTCCGCTCCTGAGCAAGCAGGGGTTTGGAGTGATGCCAAATGGTTGCTTGGCGTGGCTACGAAGGTGGCTTTATGAATGGAAGTTTGGAGAGGCAGGGATGCTCAGGGACAAAGTCAACACATTGGACAGGTCGATTGAGATGCCTAGAATCACCACATGAACGTGCTTTTCCAAGATTCGCCGATTCTTCCTTTCGAAGTATGTATATATACATGGTTACAGCCCATCACCCAAACCGCAACCCTTGATTTGCGTCCCACTGTCCACCTTTCGCTCTAGTATTCGGATACGCAGGATTATGCACAGTACCGTTCGCCGGTGGCTGTTGCGGTGTAGTAACACCCCCAAACTTGATTCCCATTTCCGGATTCCACATTCCTGGTGCAGGAGCAGTCGGAGGCTGCACGGCAGCTCTGGTGGGCGTAGGAGCTGTCAATGGCTCTGACGAAAGCCCTTTGGCGCTATAATGTGACCGCAGCGATTCACGTTGCTTCTGTTCTTGAAGAGAAGTCGCTTGGGAAAGGTTGAGGGCGGACATTGCATTGGACAGCTCTGATTCGAGCTGTCCTGCTTCGATTCGTCTCTGGTATGCGAAGTTCTTGCATTCGTCTCGAAATCTGTTTACGATCTTTGCGAGATCGTTGTAGAATTTCCGACCAGTGTTTAAGTTGGAAATGATCTCCTTGTACTTGACGTACGCATTCTCGAGTCTCTGTAACGCTTGCTCCCGCTCCCTGGTCGAAGTGTCGCCTTTTCTCGCGTTCGCAAATGCTGTATTGCTCTGCCTGAGCTGGGATAAAATCTGATCTTGCTCTTCTTTCTCTTTAGCAATCGACTTTTGATCTCCCTCATACCTCTCTAGACGCTCCTCGAATAAATTTTCGAATTGAGCAGGCTCAATCTTTTGCATCGGAAACTCCCGCTCAAGACGAGCTGTCTCTGCTAGAATCACTTGGTCTGCATTCGTTAGCCAATATGCCATGCTTAGTTCTGGTGAATGCTTACTTATATCGTCCTGCTTGGCTTTGTCGCGCATTTTCTCGATTTGTCTTTTTCGCCTACTCTCAAGCCGGCTGACCTCGTTCAACATGTTCCTCAAGTCTCCGGCGGCGTGTTGAACGTTGGGCGGCATCACTGCCCGCCTACTACTGGGCACATACTCCTCGATATCCCGATCGCTGCCGGAAAGCACATTCAGGACCTTTTCGCACTCTTTAAGCTTAGTTGTGACGAGCTCGTCGCTGCTCGCAGCAGACTTAAGATATCCATCGATCTCAGAAACCTGTGCATACAACTTGTCGGCAGCTTGTTGTGAAGGTTGACGGCTCCACCGGTCTGTTCCGTGTTTGAGCTTTGCACGGTCATCCTCAACTGCCTCAGATCGCAGAAGATCAACACCTTCTTTATAGATGGTTGTATCATTTGCTTTGAGCTTGCTGGTCTCGTGCATCGATCGCCGAAGACGGTGAAGGCCATCCTGCTGACGGATCTCTTCTGCATGTGTAGTCAGTGATGGTGGTAGTCCCAAGGGCTTTTCGAGTGCTTGAAGTGATCCTGGAAGGTTCAGAGATTGCAATAGGTCTTTAAGCTGGTTGGTCAAGCCTTCCAACTCATCAATGATTGAGACATTGACAAGTCGGTTCTTGCGCTCCTCATAAATACTTGCGGCAATGTGGACGGCGTATGGTACTAATTTGGCAAACAATGGTTGACCGTAAATACCGCCTTCGCCGAGAGTCGACGACGGGTCAGAGACTTCTTGTGGCACCCTTGCAGTGGCCATGCCTGCGCGATCAAGTGTCTTCAGTTCTGATTTCGGAGGTACAGGCATCAAGTAGATTACATCATTGTCCTTCTCCGCTCTCTTTAGGTCTTCCGATACTCGAGACTTCAGGCCATTGAGATCTCCGAGTACGATTCTGTTAATCCACCTCGACTCTTTCAGTGCTTCATTGGCGCAGGTCAAACTGTCCCTGAGGCGCGCAACTTCTTCCCCATAATTCTGCTTGTCTAAGCAGTCTCGTGACGCCCTGTATTGTGCCGCAGCTGCAAAATGATGCTGCTTCGCCGTCATGTGATGTATCCATTCGGTGCTGATGATGTCTGACTTCGTCCCGTACTCCGCGGCTTGGTCGTAGAAGTCGGACACTTTTGCTGCCAATTTCGCAATTAGACCGTCCTTCAATCCGTCCTTTACGGCTTTGGACCAGAAGCATTCCTGGGCCTGGGCAAGAAGTAGCTGCTGGATACTCTCCAGTGTCATGGTATCCATGTCTTCTGGAGGCGAGGATCGCATGTCTGGTATGATGACGGTCTTTATGTGGGATATCACCCCTGCGGCTTGACAAAAGTAATTGCATGCTGACTTGAGCCCGTCGCTTGTACTTCGGTTCAGGGACACGGCGAGCTGGGAATAGAGAGAGGCAAGGTTAAATAAGACGTTTACAAGCTCGAATCGGAGGTTATTTTGCGATACTGTAGAAAAAGTTAGCCACATGTCTTGTATCCGGGTGTGGAACGGTTGACGTACTCGGTCTTTGAGTATTGAAACCCAGGGCAGGATACCATGAAAAGTCGGCGCCAATCTAAGCAGCCTCGTATTAGAGATTCAATTCTTCGCCTAATGTCCTTCAATTCCTGCATAGGCTCTTATCTTTTGGAGCCTACTCACATCAATAGGAAACTTTCCCCCCATCCAGACCAGTTGCGCCGCATAAGCTGTCAGCTTTCTGATGCCGCTGGTATGTGCCTCGAGTGAGTTGACGGCGTCCGCTCGCAGTTTGTCTATAGCATCCATATCTCGTACGAACATATCCGGGTGCTGATCATACTTGGTCGAGATATACTGCCGTATTGAAGCAGACAGCGAGACTGGGTGTGTTCTTCGAAACGGGAGGAAGACAATATTACTGTGCGCATCTATTAGCAGGAGCTCCAGTTTGGCGAAGCAACTACTTACGAAGCCATTTTGAAGCTTGCAGAGAGACGAGGTTGAGGGTAATCTGTGCAGGATGTTGAAGAATGTGGGGTGGCTGGTGGGGTGGCTCGGGCTCGGATTTTGTCGCCGCGGCTCCGCCGCGTGGAAGAAAGCATTGAACGCTCTCCTGGAAAAGACGGGTGTTGCAACGGATGCAGTCGCAACACAAATCTTGAAATATGGACTCTACAGCCGTGTTTAGCTAGAGTGAAGGGTAGGACCTCTCCGAGTGCGTACATAAATGGGAAAAGTACATGGTATAATTTTGATGAAGAGGGCAATTCTCTGGTAAAAGGTGGAAAAAAAATTTTTTTAAGTGTTTCCCCCATCTAAATAAAAGGTGGTCCTCTATTACCATTGTGTCCTGCTCGATCACATCAGAAATTCCCTGATTCAGAGCCTGTTGTCGTACTTGCTCGTCAAACCCGACAGTACCAGCCCCGTGATTCGATCTCTCATTGACATCATGCCTTCAGCATTGCTCGATAACTTGTTGCTACATGGTAAACAACTAGTCCCCGCTTTTCTCTATGGTACTGCGTGGAAGAAGGAAAAGACAGCAGACCTAGTCTATCTGGCATTATGCTCTGGTTTTAGAGGCATTGACACCGCAGCCCAACCGAAGCATTACAGAGAGGATCTTGTCGGCCAAGGCATCCGTCGAGCATTGAGCGAAGACAGGATCTCACGAGATGATCTCTTCATTCAGACCAAATTCACCTCGGTCAATGGGCAGGATCCCAATAGAATGCCATACGATCCCACTGCAAGCATATCAGAACAAGTCCACGCCTCTATTAGGTCATCACTTAGGAATATGCGCCCCTTAGCGGAAGAGTCGAGTTCAGAGTCTACATATCTCGACTGTTTGGTGCTGCACAGTCCGTTGCCCACAATGGCGCAAACCCTCGAAGCCTGGCGGGCAGCCGAAACTTACGTTCCCCACAAAATTCGCTACCTGGGAATATCCAATGTCTCGCAGGGTATACTCGAGCAGCTCTACGATGCAGCCGACTTCAAACCGGCCATAGTTCAAAATCGTTTCCACTCTAGCACACGCTTTGATGCCAGTGTCCGTTCTTTCTGTGCCGAACAGTCCGTTGTCTATCAGTCTATCTGGACGTTGTCAGCCAATCCAAAGATTGTTCGTGGCCCAGAAGTTGGGCTTGTGGCCGATAAAGTAGGACTGACTCACTATGAGGCTATGTACAGTTTGGTTCTGGCTTTAGACAATGTTATTATACTCAACGGCACGACAAATGCGAAACACATGGTCGGCGATCTTTCATGTGCTCAAAGAACACGGGAATGGGCCTCAGCAAATCCGAAAGATTGGGCGAAATACCTGGATAGGTTCAAGATGCTGCTTGAAGAGACCAGCAAATGGAATGGATCTTGACTTTCAAATCGTGATATGGATCATGATATCGGGCATGATCAGGTCGAAGACCAATTTGTTCAAGATACTGCTTGAAGACATCAACGTTTTGAAAAGTCTTTTGAGTTTCAAAACCCTGATCTGAATCATAATGTTAGGTACGATTCCAGGCCAAATGTATCCTTGTTTGGACTTGCCCCTTCACATGCAGCCAAAAATCACTCAACCAACCGCGTCCATCACGAACGGACTCCTCGATTTTAAGTTGGTTCTTGTTGGGCTTTTCTCCTTGCATAGTCCAGCCCTTATATAATGCTACATCCATCCTGCTTTCATATTCTCCGGCTTGGCCTTCATCCATTCAGCAGGCATCCTGTTGAAGAATTTCAACTCCCTGGGTTTGATCCACAGAGACTCTGTCGCTTCCACGTATGGTTTATAATACGCCTTTGTCAATTGTTCCTATTCAGCACGCAGGTCTGTTAGCAGACCGATATCTTGGATTCTTTCTACAGCACGCACTGGGCAATCTCAGAGCAATCGAACTTTTGGCTGCGGAACTTTACCTTCCTGAACCACTCCTCATCCTTACTCCAATTTTCCACAAACCGAAAGTGCCCGGGATTGTCCGCATCATGGAAGACCTCGAAGAAGGTACATTCTGGCTCCGCAGTCACAGCATCGAAGCAGATCTTAAAGGCGGCGAGGAACTTGTCGACGTTCTCAGGAGCGACAGTGATGTTAACATGAAGGCTGATGCCATGAAATGCGTGCGAGTCTTGGATGTGGGTCGACATGATGCCCGAATGCCCGCGGAATAGTGATAAGAATGATTCAGGACCACGAGGGTTGGGTAAGAACTATTGGGGATCAAAGCAGACGAGCGCTTTATACAGGCACAAATCTATTCTTTGCCTGTCGGATGACGAAGATACTCCCGTTCATCCAACGGTGATTGTATAAGCAGACAAGCAGCATCGAAGCTAGCTTACCTAACGCTTTACCTCTTCGCCTTGGAGCACAAATAATCAGCGGAAAAAATCCGCACTCTCAGGCATTTGTTCTCAATCCAACCAAGCCAGCCTTCCAAACGCGCAGTCGGCCAATTTCCACGATCGGGAAAAGCACGTCGCTCTGTGACTGTGCCGCTTGCTGGCAGCTTCGTAGCGCTGACTGAGCAAAAGTCCGGAGCGGGGCACCTCCGATGCCTTCATTTCATTTCCCCGACTCCGCTACGCTTCACCCAAAACAGCCCGTGTATGAACCGAAGTAGTTAACCAGGCCGCCGCTCGCAATGACATAAAGTACGGCATCACCCTTTTCGCCTGGCTACCAAAAAGAATTCCAATCCCTCGAAATCACAAATACAAGATTCTACTACTGCCTTCAACCCCCGGCCCGATCCCACCTACTCGTAACTCAACCCAGCAAAAATGTCGCAATTCTGGCCCCACACCCCCTACGCCGAAGACCAACCCCACTCCACCGCCATCCTGACCACGCACGTCCTCTACCGCGGTTTCCAAACCGGCGCCATCGTCGGCCCCGTCGTGGGAGCGGCGCGCTCTTACGCCCTCCCCTTCATCTTCCCAAAGACATCCCTCGCGGCGCCGACGCCCCTCCTGCCCACGTTGCTCCGCGCGGCCGGTACGGGCGGCGTCTGGGGAGTGGGGGCGCTGGCCGTGACGTTGCCGGTCCGGATGTGGGGGCGGGAGGACATCGAGTGGAGGGATCGGGCGTGGAGGTTGTTGGAGAATAGGGGGCAGGTGGAGGTGGATGATTGGGGGTTGGTGGGCACGGCGCTGGGCGGGTTGGGGCTGCTGGTTGGGAGGGCGGGGGCGAGGGGTCTGTCGTGGAGGATGGCGGTGGGGGGGTTGGGGATGGGAAGTTCGGCCGGGGTGGTGGGGTATATGGTCTGGAGACATGGCATCAATGGGGGGAAATGGGAAGAGGCCGTGCCGGACATCGAAGGGGTCACGACGTGAGCGGATGACGCTTCAGGGGTACTGTGCTGAGCCGAACCGAACCGAACGTCTGTGGGGTATCTATAATCTATCTGGATGCCAAACGCTGTATTTCCATGAGTTTCCCCAGCTGCTCCACCCACTTCGCCGCAAACACCTCCTCTGTGAAGCGCTTGCTCGAGGCTCGAGCCCGCTTTCGCATGGCCGACGTCGCTTCTTCCGACATCGAAAGCGCTTCCGCGAAGCGATGTGCGTACTCGGACTCTGTACTTGCGTGGTAGCCTGCCGCAAAGGTTAGCAAAGACGGGCTCATCCAGATGATAGACGACTTGATTTACCGGTAGCTCCCCCGTCAAAGTCAACGACGATGTCGGCCTTCGGCCCTCCACTGTCATTGACCACGCAGATCAGTCCCGCTGCTTGATACTCCACGACACCGATACCGAAATGTTCGTTCCACATTCCGTTGACTCCCACCCAGCTTTTCCGTAGCCAGTCGAGGACTTCGGGCCATGATGCGTCACAGACGAACTGGGTGTCGTCCTCAATCTTCAGCTCGTGTGCGAGCAAGCGAAGCTGGTAGACCCTCTTGGCATCGTCACTGTCTCGCACGGAACCAATGAGGACCAGCTTTGCGCCGTTCATCCCTGGCTTTGTGGGTGAATGGAGCATCTTTGAGAACGAACGGAGGATGAGGTCGTGATTCTTTTCGGGTCGGAACTGGGCGACATAAAGCAGTGATTTCTGCCTCGAAACGGCTTTGGGCCCTTCAAGTTCAATGGCTTCTTCTAGCTCTTCTACGGCGACAGGGGGGAAGAGAACTTCGACTGCATGGACCTTTCGGCGCTTTGCACGATATGGTCCCCATAACGATTTAATGTGGGCTTGCGTCCATGAAGAATTAGTCATAACAATGTCCACGTCACTGCCGGATCTGCTGTAGAGATGGGCGTAAGCCTGCCAATACTTGCGCTTGCCAAAGCCTCTGATGCCCTTCCCTGTGCCCGCGTTGACTCCTTTTCCTATCTCGGCGTTGAGAGAGCTGAGCATGTCTGTAGAAATCGTTGGATAGTGTACGTAGGCTCCTGTTGGTATGTTTGGGAAGAAAAACTTGCTCAATGCGAGTGTGAAGGAGTAGCCCATTGTGTCAATGAAGATGTCAGGAACGACGAGAGAGAACGCATCATAGCCCATAATGAGAGAGCCGAGGCTTTGACCGAGGAGGGTGAAATGAGGCCAGGTGCTGCTGAGAACCCATGAGCGAGTCTGCAGGTAGAGAAAGACGACCGTAGGAGGATGAAGGCGAATGTTGAAGCGGTTCTCTACCCTGTTAAGGATGGTAGATTTCGTTGCGTCATGATCCCCAGTATAGACGACGCAGACGGCGTTCGGCCAGCGTTTCTGCGTAGCTTTAATGGCTGCCCAGAGGACCCGTTCACCTCCGCCTCCAGCATTGCAGAATGGGTGGAGGAAGCCGACAGTTCCATCCCAGTCTTCTGGTGCCTGTCCACCATTTGTGGCTGATCCACCAGGCTGACTCTCGACTTCCACCCAGTCTGGGTCTTCCGATTTTACCGAGACGCGCTCTTTCTCATGGTGGTCCTCCTCTTCACTCTTGGCCTTGGCTAGGGTGGTTCTCCTGCGTGCCTTCGTTCTTCGTATCAAATACCACCCAGCTGCTCTTCCAGCAAGACGGAAGAGCCACGTGCTGAAGTACAAAGCGGCAATGAGTAGAGGCACGACTCCTGCAGAGTTCAGCAGGCCCATGGTGAAGCGAATATCCTTTGTCAGACTGTAGCTTTTGCAGTCATCGATGCGGAGTGTATCACATATTGCTCAGGCAAAGGGACCATATGATCTAAACGCGTCAGTTCTGTTTCGAAAAGGGGAAACGTCATGGAAGATGATGTTGGCCTTTAAATCTTTTTCTGTTATTGGACTGGTCAGCATGTCATCTCGCTGCGGGAGCGGCCCCGGCCCGTCTTTTCCGTCAATTCTAAGGTACCTTAGTGGTGCCCCCAAGGTACCTTAGTTCCTCCCAAAGACAGAACATCAGCCAGTATCCTCTGAATTACATCGGAGTCTCTTAGATGACTATGTTTGTAGAGAGGTCACTAACTGTTACTGTCCCCTATAGAAGATGTCTCCGCTATCTACGCAACCCTGAAAGACTCGCACTTTCATCCCCATACCACTTCCTCACAGCCTCCCTCACCACCACCCTCAGCGCATCTCTCCCCCCACATCCCGCAAAACTCTCCACAAGCACCTCCTCCATCCCCCCCGCATCAACAAGCCTCACCCCTCTCTCGCGCACCAGCTCAAGCTCCTCCTCTGTTGGAAAGGTGTAGTATCGACTCTTGGCTTCATCTTGCTCGATAGCAGGCATATTCTTGCCCCTTGCGAGATTACCAACAGCATCCAACACCATCTCCACCCCAATCGGGTACATATCGTTCATGTAATGCAACATGGATTTCGCGTAGTCGATTGGAGCGGTGCGTATGTCGAGGACCGGGCCTGAGTTGTATGAAGAGCTTACATGGTGAAGGCTGTAGCCGAAGCTGGGTTCCTTGTTGGTCATCGCGCGGATAGCGGTCATTGCACCTCGATACGTGCCTGGATGGAGATTCAGCAGCGCGCGAGGAGCGGCGAAGTGATTGATGATATCCTTGCCGAAGCGTTGGTGGCAGCACGGGGAGAAACCTGCGTCGATGTGGTGTTTCCTGAGAACGTCTAGAAAGAGTGGACCGTTTACGCTCTTCACTCGTTGTACCAATATTCCGTATTGCGCTCTGGTCTGATCCACAGTTAGGCATGCAGCTCCGTCCGAGGGTGCGGATCCGAGAAATGGAATGATCTGGTCTTGCAGGAGCTGCCTTTCAAAGAATCCGAGTTCGCGTAAGCCGAGAGACGCCGCTTTCTTGTTCACTTTGTCCGCAGAAAGAAAGATAAAAGGGGTGTGGCCTTGGGCGATAAGGCGCGGGACGAGCTTGCTGAGCATGAGGTGCGGATAGAGGTCGCTGCCTACGAAGAAAGCGAGGTGGAGGGGACGACGAGGGGGTGAGGTGGTGCTAGAGTCGGCGATGCGAGATGCGTGGGTGGCGATGCGGTCGATCGAGTTGGTGTAGAAGTGCGTGCCGCGTGTCATGGAACCGATTACATGGATACTCTTGCTGACTAAGAGGGTTGCGAAATTGACTGAGATACCGCCGGCGGGGTGGGGGGTGAGGATGCGTTTGATTAGGAGACGCTTCATTAGGGGTGACTCGATCGAAGATGGATTGTATTCTTGGCCGGCTGCCTCGATGAAGTACTTTGACTGAAGATTTTCGAACTTGGCATGAGGACCAAACACTTAGCCTGTGCTTCTGGCGAGCCCTCCTCTTCACTTGCACGATACACCACACTGATAGACGTTGTCACACAGCGCCTCAATCTGTCTGGATTCGCAAAAGCTACACACGAGGGTCAAAATTGTCTTGAGCCGAGCTCGATTAGTGCTGTTTCCCCGGGCAATTCATGACACTGATGACTTTCTCCAGGAGCTTCGTGGATTTGATCTGCGTAGTAATTTGATTCATTCGGAGGAGGGTATGATTTGGGAGGATTTTCCATGTCGGGAAACTGGGATAGTGGCACACCAGAACTCGTACCGCGTGAAGAAGATTGTCTTTGCTTGACCGACTTTAGGCCGATCCATATTCCTGCGATGAGAACCAAAGGGATACCGATTCCCACTCCCACGCCGAGGCCAACTTTGACGATCTCTGTGCTAGAGCTGGCATTGGAAGGAGACGCAAAGGCAGTATCTGAGCTCCTTTGGGGAGGCGTACTCGAAGATGAACTTGCGATCATGCTGGTTGTCAAGGAGGTCGATGATGTAAAGGCGGTCGACGAACTTGAGCTTGACGAGCTTTGAGCCTGGTTGGTGATGATGAAATAGTTAGACTTGAACCCTTGTGGATTCCCCGGGTTGAGCCATAGGAAGTAGAGAGGCGAGAAGCTTAGGTTCGAATTGTAAATCTGGACCTGCCAGTCGAAAGATTGCTGCCCAGTCCCACCGCCTTCGACGTCTGGACGCAACATTAGCAAACGCGAGCGTTGGGATGTTCTCCAACTCACGTACTGTAAATCGTCTGAAGCGGTAGCCCAGAAGCCGGGTTAATGCTTTGCTGGAACAAGGCAATATAATAAGATGAGTTGATGGTTGTGGACCATTGGATCTTCTGAGTAGATCCAAGTGTCCACGATGAGTTTGCAACAAAATTGTTGCTTGGCCCGGGTGCAGTGGGGAGAATGAACAGATTGGAGGAGTCGTCTCCAACATTGACGCGTGCAAAGCTGAGGACAATGGCACACAGAGATGCCAACCACATGGCGGTCATCTAGGTATAAAGAGCGATCCGCAAATGCTAGCGAGACAGCGCTGCGATTTGCACAAGGTAGGGACGAATACAACCTGAGTGTCCAAGAATTTAGTGAGCACGAGGAAGCTGGGTACGGTATATGCAAAATGGCTGAGCGCCGTTCGAATGCCATGGCAGTGTTGCGTTCATCGTTGGCGCCCCGTCGCATTCAGGGTGCGCAGCCGGTCAGGTAACAGTGAAACACGGCAACCGCAGCGGAGGGAGAGGCACTATCAATATGCACACTGGTTTCAGCAACAGTTTCTGGTTTCTGCCAGAGAGGAAGCAAGGAGGCCTATCAGACTATGAGGGATCGCTGCCGCCGCCATTCAGGTTCATTAGTCGTACGCCGCGCCTGTGCCCGAGCCTCCTTGAACTTTGCCATTTGTCAAATTGATGTAGTCTGACCCGCAACTACCAAAGCGGAGACAGGATACTGCCATGGGTGTTGTATTTCATTGTTGCATTAAAGTGGCCGATGAAGAGAATACCTATTGCGTGACGACAAATACCTCACACCCTTTCAACCCTGCACCGCACTGAAGGATTCTTAGATAGGAGCAGCTCTGCATTGCATGAGCTGAGCCGCCTACTCAGAACAGGCTGTTGAAGGATGATCGTGGACCCACTTTTGCGGAGCAAGTAATACTCGAGGTGCGCTAGAGACGGCCTATGGAATTGGGACTGCATATGTATTATTCCTGGAGTTCCTCCAGCTTTGCTTTCTGGTGTACCTCTGTACGCCCCCTTATCTAAAAGATATATTGTTGGTATTGACGTACAAAATGGTCAATAATCGCACGAATGAAAAGCGACCTAGAGTATACAGCGCTAGTAGCAGCCCTAAACCTCGTGAAGGACAGTAGAAGTGTTTACTGAGAGCGCGCGGATTAATCTTTGGAGACTTTCCTTGCCCCGCAATTAATGAGGCCATAGCTTGAACAATTCTTCTCTCTTACTGTACCTCGCCGCGTCCGTCAAAAGGTGGACTGTGATTTCCAGCATTCACATTGTCAATTATACCGCAAATGTCTGTACACTACCTTAACATACGGCTCTTCCTGACTATCTCTGTCGCTTTGCTTGGGGCCATCCTCCTCTTCTGGAGATTCAGCCCAACCTCTCCGTCGCCCTTCCACCGATCGGCAATTGGTCCTTTCTCGTCTGGTGGGGATTCACTTCAACATGTATTCAATCAGACTCTTGGGGTCAGTACGACCAATATGTATTCCGCAGTTGCTGGCTCGCGCCATCCCGTATACCTCTGACGTCTATACAGTTTCAGAAGATCTTCGTCATCAATCTTCCATCTCGAACCGACCATCGAGACTCGATGTCGCTAGCCGCTGCCCTCACAGACTTGCGAATCGACTATGTAGATGGCGTAACTGGGGTGGACAAGATATCTCTTCCGCCAGGTGGCAAAGAAGTGAAACTCGACTCAGGGGGTTTAGGCAATTGGCGAGCTCATATGAACATCGCTAGAATGTGAGTGTTCGCTCTCTGCTCCCCTTTCATTTCATCCAGACTGCAAGCGCGCCGTCTCAGGCCATGTAGTTGGCCATATTATGAGTGGCCATGCATACAGTGCGTCTTCGCGCAGCCGACCCTACCGGCCCTGAACTCTCAAGTATATGCCGGTCACATCACCAACACCAAAGTCCTGATGGTGTCAGACTGGCTTCTGATACGTGAGGCTACCTGGCTGAGAGTTCGCGCCTGTAGTCTGTTACCTTAGGCCTATAGCCTCAGATAACCAACTGAACTGTCAAAATTAGTAACTGAATTGAATCAGGTTGATCGAACAAAATATCACATCTGCCCTCATTCTAGAAGACGACGCCGATTGGGACATTCGTATCAATCATCAAATGAGAGACTTTGCAAAAGCTTCGAGACTACTGGTCCAGCCATTGTCAGGCACATCAGACCGGTTTCTAGACCCGACCCACCCTCAGCCCAAGGAAGACCAAAGGCCGCAGGACTTCGACATCAGGAAAGATTTCACCAGCGAACCTTCTCCATACGGAGACATTGACCGCTGGGGTCTTTTCTGGTTAGGCCACTGCGGCACCCGGTTTCCTCGCGCAAGTGACCGAAATGTGCCGCTGGGGCGAGCTGTCATCTATGACGACGAAACGGTTCCAGAACCGCAGCATGTCATGATGCAGTTTGGAGACTCCGAACTTATTCAGACTTACCCTGCTCACACTCGCGTAGTCTCTAGAGCATGGATGAACACGTGCACTATGGGTTACGGGATTTCTCTGCCAGGTGCCCGGCGCTTACTGTATGAGCTCAGCGTGAACAAAATGACGGGACCGACTGACATGATGTTTCGATCTGTGTGCCATGGATCGGAGGGAAGGCCAGTCCAAACATGCTTGACCGTTCAACCGCAACTATTCCAACATCATCGACCTGTCGGTTACAAGTCGAGCTTCAGCGACATCTCCGATCACGGAGCCGATTATAACGAACAAGCCTTCACAAGAAATGTGAGGCGGAGTACACGATTGAATTTTCGGAAGCTCGTAGATGGCTTAACGGATTACATCGACCTGTTCAAGGATGGGGAGGGGGCAGACCCGAACCTTGGCTTCAAATGAGCAGATCCCGTCCACAGAGATGCCGAGCTCCACTCTAAATCGGACGACTTTACCCAGTGCAATGCGGCGGACCGCTTTCGCAAATAGAAATATCGTTACCTTTTTCTTCCCCGCTCGACGTAAGATACTCGCATTGTTTTTCCCGAGGAGCGGTTGGAATTGGAAACTCTGTGCGGTAATTGAATGAAAAAAAGAACCGTGTCGTGGTCGGTACTAGTACGCCTCTTACTTTTTCAATTGAGCGTCCGTCGTCTCATTTACTGATTAGAACGCATACACTAAAGCTTTAGCGGCGTCGAAGGATTTAAGGAATCTTTGTAGCTTGAGCTGTCCTGCAACTTCTAACCACTCACTTTTTTTCAAGGCATTGGTGCTCCTTTGCTACATGGACCATTCATTATTACGCGATAACGTGTTTGGCAGCATACAGGACCAGACTAATCATTCCATTGCTGCCCTAATCTCCATTTTACCCCACGTGCCGCGAGATGGCTCGCATGATTTGGTTTCAACGTGCAGACAGCTAGTACTCTTACTAGTACAAGCACTTGCTCATGCTGCATCAGCCTTTAGCTTTCAACCTTCCTTAAGTGACTGGTATGATATCGATGGCCGTTGGATGCATAATCCGCGAGTACAATTGCTCTGCGTGCTCTAAATATCCTCTCTCATTCGCACTATCCCTGTCCAGTGTCTGCCTTACCTTGTCTTTTTTAACATCAGTCATTAAACTCTTTTGTTTTTTATTCCATCCTCCCCAATTTAACACTCGAATTGACTCCTTTTGAGTTGTGAGAGATACTCTCCATTTCCTTCCTTCAGCATGAATCCTCTCAGGCACCCTGCCGCTCACCAGATACCCGAAAATGACCTCGAGAAACGAGGCGAATTCAAAGATTCTTCAGTCAATATCATCCTCTCCGGCAGCGACTCAGCCGATAACACCCTCGAAAACTCTCAAATCTCTTCTCATCCTGATATCGCTCCCACTCCCGTCCTCCTCAGAGGTAGGCTCGCGAGATGGAACGCCAAAGTCGAAAGCTTTGCTGGCCTAGGTACGTATCTTTGGAGTCCATCTTCACTCTTTGGGGCCAGATCCCAAGCCTTAAGGAGTGCTTCGGGAGTACTACTCTCTAGACATGTTCCAAAGTTCAGTATGTCTCCTAGTCAGGCAATACTGATCTCGAAACCATAATCTAGAGGCCCGCGGCATCACGAGAGTGCTTCCGGAAGAGAAGCACGATGGGGCGGCAATGGGATATCTTCAGATGTTCACTTTGTGGTTCAGCATCAACGTCGTGGTGAACAACCTCGCTGTTGGTTTTCTCGGCCCACTGGTCTTTAACCTCGGATGGGTTGATTGTGTCTGCTTGGTCCTCTTCGCCAATGCTCTCTCCGCTTGCGGAGCAGCATATACGGGTACATTCGGTCCTCAAAGCGGAAATCGAACAATGGTATGTTGCGCGTGCGTGCATACTGCCGGCTTAGACTATACCTGGCCTTGATTTATCAATTGGGCACACATTTTGCCAACTCGGTGTGATCCTTGCTGACTTGATAGATACTCGGTCGATACTTTATGGGATACTGGCCGTCCAAACTCGCCTGCATTCTCAACGTAATACTTCAAGTGGGCTGTAAGTATATCACGGGTTTTATGTTTTGCACTAAATATTGAGTCTGGACACACGGTTGGGAATTCACTCTCTAGACATGTTCGAAAGCTCGAAATTACCCCTCGACTTGGTAATACTGACTGCGGAATTGTATCTAGGGGGTATCATCGCGTCCATCATTGCCGGACAAATGCTTTCAGCTGTTAACGGCGCCGGCCTGACTATTGCTGTCGGTTGTGCTATCAGCGCTCTTTGCATTGGCTTGGTTGCCGCCTTCGGCATCGCCATTCTCCACACATACGAAAGGTCCGCTCCATTAAAACCAAAAAGAAGCGCAGCGCTCAAGCTCACAGAGGGACAGATACGCCTGGATACCGCAAGTATTTGCCCTACTCGTCCTCATCGGTTCCGCCGGCCACAATTTCAATACCTCATTGCAATCTATCGGTCCGCCCGGCACAGTCGCAGCCAATCGCTGCTCCTTTTTCGCACTTCAGTTCTCTGTCGCCATTAGCTTCTGCACTATCGGTGCCGACTTTTACGTCTATTATCGTACGTAATCTCGGATTGGCTCTTTCCTATGTGAGACTTCAATCTGTGTCATGCAATGGGCTTTTTTCCCTCGTCGTACTCCCTAGACTTGTCTTACGACTTCAGTCTATCTCTTCAAGATGGCATGCTGACTCCGAAATCATCATCAGCCATTGACACAAGTCGACGCCTCACCTTCTTCATGACCTGGTCTGGCATGTGGACTTCTTTAATCTTTGTAAACCTTATTGGGGTCGCTATAGCGACTGGCGTCGCCACAACACCCGGTTGGGCCAACGCCTACGCCACCTCATCCGGCGCGCTCCTCCTAGCCTGCTACGACGGCCTCGGCGCCTTTGGCGGTTTCTGCACCGTGCTCCTCGCCCTTGGCGGCATCGCAAATAACGCACCGGCCACGTACGCCGCAGGCTTGAGCTGCCAGGTCTTGGGTCGTTATCCCAAAGCCATCCCGCGTTGGATCTGGTGTCTCTTCCTCATGGTTGTCGAACTCGTCTGCGCGGTGGCGGGCCGCGACCATTTGTTCAACATATTCGAAGACTTCTTGCCCCTTATGAGTTACTGGGTCTGCCCCTGGCTGACGATAGTGTTCGAAGAGCATATATTGTTTCACACACTGCGAGGGGTGCCTTTTGATTGGTCGGCTTGGGAAGATAAAAAGAGGCTTCCTGTAGGAGTTGCAGCGTTGCTTTCTTTCTTTATTGGCTGGGCCGGCGCGATTGTCGGTATGGATCAAGTGTGGTATCAAGGCCCTGTCGGGAGTAAGATTGGCGGTTATGGGGGCGACATTGGCGCTTGGCTAGCAATTGCTTTTACGTGCGTTGCATACCCCCCGTTGAGGTACTTGGAGTTGAAGAAGTTTGGCCGGTAAAGCGGAGGAGGAGGTGTAGTAGTAGTAGAGGATGGTGGACTGCTACTGCTGGCTATTCTTCTTCGAGTAGAAGATTGTTGGCGAACGTGGGTGCTCTCCCAGTGCGATATCTTGCTAAGGTATCACGTTTACTTTGATAGTACGGTTCAGACTGCCATCAGGAGTTCGCCGGCAGCGTCATATATAACCTTTGGGTTCTCCACGTTCCGAGTGCGTTATTCGCGCAATTTTGTTATGTGTACCCTTTTTGGCTCCTTGCATTAGGTCTTCCGGCCCGAGCTGGTGGAGCGGGCTTCGGCCCTTACATCAATCCTTTCGATCAAAAAGTGGAAAACAATCCATCTCTATATAACGCTTTCAGACCACCATCACCACAATGAAGCCTCACAGTGTGATACGAGTAGTATCAAGACCGACAGCTCTCATGAAGCCTTGTCACCGACCCAAATTTCGCCAAACAGCAGCCCTGAACTCTCGAAGATTTAGCGCCACCCCCCAGCGTCCATTCCTCGATGAATGCTTAGTGCAGACTCATACACTTCTCAACGGGATTCATGACACGACCGGACTTCCCTGGGCAGCAACAATACCACTGGTTGCCGTCCTTGTCAGAATGGTCATCCTGCAACCCTTATACACATACTCCAACCGGATCTACTGGAAACGGTGCGCACTGTACCCTCACTTAGCCGAGGCCACAATCGCCACGGAGAAGGCGATCAGGCATAAGCACGGAGATAAAAGCGCGCTTGAACGGAAACGGATCCACGACGGAGCCATGGATCTCGTATGGAGACAATGGCTCAAGCGAAACCGAGCACAATCTTGGAGATCCTATCTCGCGCTCGTCAAAGTCCCTATATGGTTCACGATGATGGAGACGATCCGACGGATGACGGGGACGGAGGAGGGAATGCTGAGCTTGGCCGCCAAGTCTCTGATAGCGCTCAAAGGGCAGCAGAACCCCGGCGCAGGCACAGTGGACGAATCGGTACCCATGGAACCATCCCTAGCCACCGAGGGGATGTTATGGTTCCCCGACCTCACCATGCCCGATCCTTTGCTCATCTTGCCCCTCGCCCTATCCGCCATCGTGTTCGCAACGATCTCGTCTCGCAACGACACCTTCGGTCTCCTCGCAATGCCGGGCTCGTCGCCCGAAACCGCCAGGAAGGCCCGCGCTTGGAATCTACGGAAACACACAACCTTGAAGATCGGAGCCCTCGCGCTCGCGCCCGCCACGCTCCTGTTCCCCAGCGCCATGCTCCTCTACTGGATCTCCGGCGGCCTGGCCGCCATCGTCGCGGCTTCTCTCCCCCGGATCCGATCCTTCCGCGCGACACGGTCGCCCGGCAAGAAGGGCGAGCGTGGCGCGGACGACGCGCCCGCAGAGGCCGAGCCGAAGGTGCGGGGCTATCGCTGTCCGACGATGAAGGAGCTGAGGAGTCCGACGACGAGGAAGAAGGAAAAGTGACGCGGTAGGGCTGAGCGTGAGTATTCACCATACGCGAATCGGCCTTCGGCCCAGGTGGGAGCAAGAGATGAGACCAGCATCATGAAAGCCATGCCGTCTTTCCAATAACCCTCGGTCTCGAACCCATTGTCAGCCGCAGAAGGAGCGTGCTTCAGCATCCGGCCTCGAAATTACCCCCCCCCCCCCTTCTCTAGGCCGGGAGGACGTTTCGCAAAAGCTGCTTCCAGTACTAGTACCCGTGCTTTTGGGAGACCAGCAATGGAAGACTCCGGGCACGGAGCCTTCGGGACGATTTTTCGCCGGGAAGCCTGGGATGATCGTCCCTGGTCGGAAAGGTTGGGGCTCGCGGGGGAGGAAGCTTGGGTTGGTTTGGAAGATCTAGCGGTGTGGCCGGGGAAGAAGGGTCGGAGAGATCAGGTCATGACTAGCTTTCGGATCTTTTCACGGTGGATTGCGGGATTCCATAGGATTGGGCTGTGGTGTAGACGTTGCGAAGACATTTCAAACAGATGAAAGCGGATGGAAGGCACATGTGGATCAGGTGTAGACATTCCTAATCCTAAATGGACAAAACGCCTCCAACAATGCTGCTAGCACTGGGTATCCCTAACGCTCGCAAACGAAGATCACCGCCAAACGCTTTTCTTGTAAATGCAGCTAAACGGAGCAGAGTCGTGATCATAACTTTGCCTTCGCACCTAAGCTGGGCGCGCTGGCTTCAGCGTTGAGTACCACATCTCCGCTCTTGTCAGCTTCGCCGAAGAAAATGACTTCGACTGTGAGATCGTCCCTGGAAGGCGGGTCAGTCAGACCTCACCCGACTAGCTGGAAAGAAGAACGTACCTGTATCGCCTTGCATACGGACTCACAAGCGTCAACAGCCCACAAACCATATCCCTATCTCTACCACCCAACGCATTCCTAACCAAATGCGTCGCCACGTTTTTATCCTCGACCACGAACCTCTCATCAGTAGTCTTCACATCCCATTGCGTCTGCCGCAGAGGAGCCCGTTGGCCTTCACCACCCTCCGTGGGCGCTGAGACAGGCTTCTCAACTGGCAACTTCGTGCTTTGGCTGCTGAAGAATGACTTTGTCCATGACGTGGCATTACTTCCACTGCTCGACGATTGATTTTCGAGCCACTGCCCAACCAATCCAACAACTTCCTCATTCGTGAGCATTTCCCACAACCCATCCGTAGCCAGAACAACGAAGTCTCCCTGCCCAGGATCTACCTTCGTGGTCGTGATGATAGGCTCAGCGGTAACATACGGCGGGGTTTTCAATAGCGGCGACGGAGTCTTTCCAAAGAAAAACTTCTTCATCCGGTTTTGGACTTCCCTGCTCCATTTATAGCCCGCATCGCCAAACGCCCGACTGGGTTCTAAGCCGCCTAGTATCCTTCCCCTATGTACGACATTCTCCTCGCCAGGATGCTCAGCGCGCAGTCGAGTCATCTCAGAGGGAGTGCCTCCCGTCTGGTCTTCACTGAGTGGAGTAGCAGTCCACTTTCCAGTTGCTGGGTTTTTGCGGCCTAGCACTGCACGTGAATCGCCTGTACAAGCCACTCGAAAGAGCTTTGAAGAACTATCGTAGAATGAGAGGAGAGCACAAGCGCCAGAAAGTGCTGGTGCAAGGATCTCTGCTGCTGCGGCTTTTTGCTTTGTGTTGGTGGTAATCTTACTCACGGAAGCGTGGACTATCTCGTGATCTAGTGCGAGAAAGCCACGTTTGATTGCTGTGTCTATGGACTGCGGGGTGGGAACGGTCAAAGAGGGGTCGGTGAAGGCGGATATGTAAGTGTTATTGAGTTCACGCGCAACGTAGGAGATGAGGACTTGTCGAAGTTTTGCGGATGTGGTCCAACCAGCGTGACCGTCAAAGACGCCCCAGAACATCCAGTCGCTGCTGGCCGACCCGGCAGGTGGAGGAGTAACTGACTGGGGCACTTCAACAATCTTCTCGGCGTGGTCATCCTCGATAGGGTTGTTACTTGGTATCTGGACCACATCGTAGCGGACAACGCCTCTTCCCCTGCCGACCAGATATGACTCCTCGTTCTTGCGAAGCTTTTGCGTTGCCTGTTCCGGCGTTATCTTCTCCATCCGGTTGTGACCTTCGTCTTCAGCTTGCTTGGTTAAAGGAGCGTCGTGAGCTAGTTCGTCTACGTAGAATTCGTTGTCTTGAACGAGCAGTGCCCTTCTCTTAGACTCGGCTCCTGGCTCTGCAACGAGACCGTTTGATATTGACTGGGTTTGGGTAGGGAGAGAGCCTGAGGCAGAGGCTAGTGTTGAATACTGAGGTGCTGAACGGCCTGAGCCAGAGGTTATGACGCTTGTCCCATTGACCAACGCCCTAGTTTCTGGATCCCGCTGGTAGTAGTAAACGCCGGAAGCCAGCACAGATACCAGAGCAGCGACTGAGAATGTACGAAAGTACATGGATGACCTTATGATCTGGGTCGGAGCATCTCTTCTGATAAGGGTAGTGACTGGGCGTAGGCCGACGATATGGTTCACTGGAGGCCTGGGGAAAGCTCTGGTAGTGACGACTTTCCGGAGAGGAGTCCGTCGAGCAGTGCGGAACGCTTGGACTGCTGCTCGACGCATTGAGATATGCCTGAGGCAGGGCGAGGAGAACTTGAGGATTTTCTCCTCTCAGGGATGTTAAAAAGGAAGGTACAGTGAAAGTGAGAGATGAAATGAAAGCGTTGCTGTTGGCGGATCTTGTGACAATGACAGGGGTTGGCGGCAAGCGTTGAGGCAGATCCACTTCAGCCCTATGGAAATAAAGGCTTTGCCCTCCGCGTCATGGCATTCAATGAATACTTAAGAACACTGCATAGATCTGACAACTTAGACATATTTGACACCTTGGTTGTCTCATTTTCTGGCACTGGACATATATCTTTGGTTTGGACTCGCCGACTTCTCATCTCCCAAATTCATTTACTATTAAAGCTGCACCAATACCAGTACCACTCCCGTGACATTGGACTTCGAAGGCTAGGATATTCATTTTATTGTGCACAAAATTAAGGTTATTGGCCGCCCATAATCAACATGTCCTCCAGAGCTGTCCGAAAACTACAGAGAGAGCAGGAACAGCAAATTCAGCGGAATACTTTGAAAGAAGACCATGCACCGGATGATGAGTCAGAAGAAGAGGCGCCCGCGGGGAAGATTCTCAATGCATTTGATATGCTAAACCAAGATGAAGATGGAGATGAAATGAATGACTCCGACGTCGTAGACCCTAATGATAGAGAGGACGCTGAGGTGTCAACAAAGAATCCTCAAGTCGAATCGTCAGAAAAGCCAAAAACGAAGAGCAAGTCGAAGAAGAAGAAAAACAAGAAAAAGAGCAAAGTACCCGAGCAAGCTGATCCTCCGGCCAAAACTGCTCTGGCTGGCGCTAAAGAACCACAACTGGATGAGATTGACATTGCTCTCAAGTCTTTGTCGACAACATCCAAGGATGGAGCAGAGGTTCCACTGGCATCTAAGATCGATGAAGCTAATGTACAACTGTATCGACTACTTGCGGTTGAGTCGAAGCATTTAAACGCTCTGAACGAAATGAAGCGCCTCTTTGGGAACGTGGTGCTGGAAAACGAGGATGAAGCTGGCGCCGCGGCCGGCCCTCCCAGACGGCGAGGCAGGGTTCAAAATCTAGACCTCGGTGGTGCACTGGCTGGGCGCCATAGTCCAGCTTCGCGTGGCCAAGGTTTGGCAGGTCTGGCACTTCGAAGGAATCCTTTCATCCTGGGCAAAGAGGAATGGCCCAAAGCTACGAGCGGAGGGCTCGGCATGGAGCTGGTCGAGAAATTGGAGGATGGTACTGTTGAGTTTCGCTTTGTGCACAACACAATTTACCAAGACGTGCAGAGGCAATTTCAAACATGTGTAGAGTCCATGGATCCACAACGCATGATTGCATTGCTTCAATATAACCGTAAGACCATTCCCCACTCGTGCCGCTGGGGTACTTGTACTGATATCGGAAGCAGCGTACCACATCTCCACGCTACTCCAGGTTTCCGAAATTGCAAAGCAACAAGGCGACCACTCCGTCTCGGGCGACCTACTCGAGCGCGCATTGTTCAGCTTTGGACGATCAGTACACTCCTCATTCACAGCAGCTCTCGGGGAAGGTAAAGCACGACTTGACTTCAGACGGCCAGAGAACCGTGAATTCTGGCTCTCGGCGTGGCGCTATGTCAACAATCTAGGCCAGAGAGGCACCTGGCGAACAGCCTACGAGTGGGCAAAGTTGGTGCTTAGCCTTGATCCTGAAGGGGATCCTTATCGCATCTGTCTCTTTCTGGACCAACTAGCCCTCCGTGGGGGTCAGTCAGAGCATCTCCTGCAACTAAGCAGGAGTCCGTTCTACGCCGATGATCTCTGGCGAAGCCGCCCAAATATCGATATTTCTTCAGCTCTTGCAGAGTTCAAGCTCAAACAGGTACAGAAATGCCGGTCATCTCTCAAAACTTGCGTCGAGGATTATCCTTGGGTATTCCCCCGCCTATTCAAAGAACTCAGCATCGACCATATTCCCAAGTCAGTATGGGGAAAGACCCCATCCACGGACCGAGAAAATTTCGAATGCGAGCTGTACGTCCACAACGCCAAAGATCTATGGAACACCCCGGAAGCGACATCCTTCCTGGTCGAAGTCGTCGAGTCAGCAGAGGTCGCTCCCACACGAGAAAAGGCTCGGAGGGAGACCATACCGCTGTCTCATGGACCCATTACTCTCGACGAAGCCCGCCATGTCCTCCTTTCGGGGGTTCCTGCCCTCATAAATCTCATTCCCCGCGGATACACCAACATGCCCACGTCGTCTTCAGATCCTCTCCCACCACCCAATAATGTCCCATCCTATGATCCCGCCCCGCCAACACACCTTCAAGGGGCGGCGAATCAATCCCCTTTTGAGGCAGCCGGTGGGTTCGACACCCCTCCAGAAGAGGGCACACCCAATCGCCAATCTTTAGAGGATAACCAACGAGGTCTAGGCGAAGCCCCAGAGTTGCAAGGATTGCAGGGATTTTTCCGCCGTTTCATCCCATGGATCCCGTCCGGCCGCATGCCCGAGCAGACAGACACCGACACCGACGCCGACGCCATCAACGCTCGAGCCGCCGAGCTCGGCATCCCAGAAGGACTGATCGCTGAACGGGGCCGGCGAGTGCCGGAAACCCTCCAAGGACGAGATGCACCCGATGCAGCGCCTGCACCAGGACTGGAAAACACGAATAACACTGTAGGCCCTACCGTCGAATCCGAGCCCGAATCCGAACAATCTATCGATAGTGGCGATGACGCTATGATTACGAGCGACACAGCGCCCAACCGTGGGCCCCAAAGCGAGGAACCATACGACGACGATCGCAACCAGCGCTGGCTCGCCGGGCAGGGCATGCTCCGGCTCCGCGACTTCTGCGCCCAGCACGGCACCGACGAAACCGCCTGGGAGGGTAACATCGACAGCGGCATCGTTGGCGAATACGCCCAGCGCGTCATGCAGTTGCGGCAGCAGAGGACCCGGACGTTCATCATGGAGTACCCGCTCACGCAGGGGACGAGCCGGGAGGTGAAGGCGCTGGTCGAGAGGGAGATTCAGAGGGGCGGCCGTCTGGAGTCGTGACGGAGGAAGCGAGGAACGGATGATGGAAGGACGGGCGCTGGACTCGAAAGGAGAAGGCGGAGGAAACAAACCTCAGCTTTAGTCTTCGCCGTGTGGGTGATGATGGATACGTATCTACGTATATTCAAACAAAAATCTACCAAGCTCCAACACCATCATCATCCATCCATCCATCCCAACCCTAAGCACCTTTATCCAACCCTGCCTGACCCACTCACCGCCCATCCATCTATCTATCTATCTATCGCCCCTCAGAGATCGACATCATGACATCCCCACTATCCACCGTCCCTACCCCTTACCCCCCAAGACCCATCCATCCATCCATCCAGCCATCCATCCTTGCTGAGCACAGTAACTGAATCGATCCCTTAACCAAGACCCATCCCTCCATCCATCCATCCAGCCTGTAACGAGGAATCCTCGCCCCGAACCTGTAACGTAACTATCCATCCCTATCATACTTATTTCCTCCTCGTATCCTATCCTATCATATTATTTCATCTCATCATCTCATATCATATCAAACATATCATATCCATCATATCATATCATCTCATATCATATCATATCATATCCATCATATCATATCCATCATATCATATCATATCATATCCATCATATCATATCCATCATATCATATCCAACATATCATATCATATCATATCATATCATCTCAGACAGCAGCAGCAGCACCAGCCAGCCAGCAGCCAGCCAGCAGAGCAGCAGCAACAACAGACAACAGAAACCAGTCAGCCAGCCAGACAGCCAGACAGACAGACAGCCAGCCAGCCAGACAGCCAGATAAGATGCGGCAGATCTCACAAGAGGAAAAAGTGGGCTCTATGAATTGAATGGGATCGAGCGGAAAGATGGCTGCGGGGGAGAAAGGCGATCGAGCGGGAAGATTGCTGTTGAGAGAAGGGAAAGGGGAAGAGGACCTCCCGGACCGGATAAGCAGTGGAGGTGTAAAAGCATACAATGTATAGATGGGCGGAGATACAGACGACGACAATCTGGAGGAAGGGAAGGGAAGGGAAGGGAAGGGAAGGGAAGGGGGGCATATATGCTACGGGACGACGTTTGCGATGGGGATGCTAGAGGAAAGGATGCCAAAGGAAAGGAAAGGAAAGGAAGGAAGGAAAGGAAAGAAAAAAGAAAAGAAAAGGAAAGAAAGGAAAGGAAAGGAAAGGAAAGGAAAGGAAAGGAAAGGAAAGGAAAGGAAAGGAAAGGAAAGGAAAGGAAAGGAAAGGAAAGGAAAGGAAAGGAAAGGAAAGGAAAAGAAAGGAAAGGAAAGGAAAGGAAAAAGGAAAGGAAAGGAAAGGAAAGAAAGGAAAAAAAGAAAGAAAAGGAAAGGAAAGGAAAGGAGAGAGAGATGGGAAACAACGACTAAAGAGTTTAAACGGATGATTATACTAGTCTGCTCTGAATGAAGAAGTAAAGTAGAAACACAGCCGCAGTGATGGTCCGGTGTCGCGCGCACCAGACAGCCTCCCCGCGGCGGCAGGAGAAACGCGTGCTGGTACAGATGGGTGGATGCTGCTACGATGCGGAATGGACTCCATTTCGATCGTCCGGTGCTCGAGGGACGCCCGAATCCAGAAAGGAAAAAAGATTGTGGAAGGAAAAGCTCGTGGACTCATCCGTCCGACGTGATCGAGCCCTCGGTATGGATCGATCGAAACCGGCCGCATGTCGCATTCTAGAAAAAACACTGGTTGTATCTTTGCTCTCCGAATGCCCCCGTACCTCCTTCTTTGCTGCCCCCCACGCCCACTCCTGACACCTCCTGCTACTCTAAATGTATGATCTCTTACAGGATCAAACACTTCGACTTCTTCCCGTCCCCGTGATGCTTGCCCTTTTTGGAAAGCAGTGCTGAGCGTGTAGCGTGCTCAAAAACCTCCCTCACTCCCTCATTCGTCTTCGCCGAACACTCTAGGTAGTGTCGTGCACCGATCTTCTTCTTCACCTCCTCACCCTGTAGACGTGCATGTCAGTTGTCTTGTTCTTTGTGGATATATAACAGCTGCTTCTAGCGACCGGCTGCGCGGGAGGTTCAAGGTGCAGTATGCTTTCGAGCGGCTTTCTCTCCAGTCTTTTGAGAAACTTACCTGCTCTGGGGTCACAGGCTTCTGAGACGTCTTATGCAACTCCTCGATCGTCTTCTGGTCATACCGAAGATCTTTCTTACATCCGACGAGGATGATCGGGAGACCTTGGCAGAAATGCAGCACCTCGGATATCCACTGTGTAAACAATAGTATCAGTGTTTCGTTCTCTTCGATAGCCGTAGGGCGATGTCAAAGCATATTTTGTGTCGGGGGGTGCCTCGTACCTTCTCCTGCACGTTATCCAGTGAGTCGGGCGAGTCGACGGCGAAGCAAATGAGAATGACGTGGCTATCGGGGTACGAGAGTGGACGGAGACGGTCATAATCTTCTTGTCCTGCCGTATCCCATAAGGCTAATTCGACGTGCTTCCCGTCGACCTCGACATCGGCAACGTAGTTTTCAAAGACCGTGGGGACGTACACCTATAGCGGAGATGTCAGTGCTGTAGCTAGGGGGAGGCAGTCGGAAGGGTCGACATGTGGCGATGCTCAGTTGGTGCTGGCAAGTGTAGAAGCTCGCGTGACGCGGGGCATGGGATACTGGGAATGCTGACCTCTGGGAAGGTGCCCTTGGAGAAGACGCTGATGAAGAAGGCCGAAGTCAGCAAGCGGTATGCAGGGCGGGGTCGTATGCGATGGTGACAGCGGAAAGGGAGACACTTACATTAGGAGACAGGTCTTTCCGCAGGCACCGTCGCCAACGATGACGAGCTTGCGTCGGATTTCAGCCATGCTGTACGGGTGTACACGTCAGCAAGACCGGCCTTGCTTGGATGAGAGTCAAGAAGTGTAGCAATATATACTGCGCAGATGAAAATGTGTGGGAGTTGAGATGGAGAGGGGTGTTAAATGGTGGAGGTGGTTGTTGAGCGAGGCAGGTTTGATGTTTGGTGAGAAGGACGTACTGGTCAAACGACGCAGGCTTAGTGCTTGCGGGAGGTAGGTTGTGGTGCGCACTCCCTATGCAGTGGTTGTGTTTGAGGACAAGGACAGATAGAAATTGAAGGAGTTCAAGTGGTAGAAGTAGAAGTAGAAGTAAAAGTAGAAGCAGAAGAGAGTGCTCGTGTGATGTATGTATGTAAGGTATTTAGTTTCTGGGGGATGTGAAGTGATGTTGTTGGACGATGGGAAGTAAAGTCTTGAGGCTAATCGCAGGCTCGAGGCGGTTATCTTGTGTAGGTGGGTTCCCTAAGCTACTTTACTTTACTTTACTTTACTTACTTTAGTTTAAAACGAAGTAAGCTGCTGATTGATTGATTGATTGATTGATTCGTTGGTTGCGGCCTAGGCAACGGCGTGACCTTTCTCATAAGGCTAAGCCCCCCCCAGTCCCCCTTAACTAGTTACTTCACAGTGGCAATAAAAAGGGATGCTTCCTATCACTTTTCTTTTTCTGCCTAAGACACTACATTTCCGACTCGATCACTTCTGATATACCTAAGATGTTTCTCGGGTTGTCTAGAGTACATTGAAAACTTGTGAGACTTGGTCTGGCTGACAGGCATCGAGTTCAGTGGCGCATATCAAATCCGGATTCGTATTCCCCGGCATTAGGCTCGGCCGATGTAGAGGCCCCTGTTGTGATATGGACGAGCCTTCTTCGCCTTTTCTCATACCGATGGAGGTACTTCTACTTCACCATGATAGCTTCACGGTCGGAGCTGACGCCGCAGGGTAATTAAATGTGAATCCTCCAAGTAAGATGGACTGCATCGAGCGATTGCTGTATTCAGACACTCAATTCATCATCATCAACAATGAAAATGGTATGCAACAAGCAAGTCTATGTGACTCCCAGCCATCACTCGCTGGAGGGTACAGCAGCCACGATGAAACAGTTGTAATCCCTGCGCCTGTGCTGAGCTCCTTCCCCATGGAAGCCAGCTTGATGTGTGAATCCGTCCAGCATCCCAACAGCAATGGGTATATTTCCTCCGAAAAGAATGACCGACATTATGAAACAAGTTGAAACAAGATCCAGGTGACATGTGCATCATGATACAGCCGTCAGTGATTCACTCTCCGTAATCGCTCGCCCAACCCCTCCCCAGCTCCCCTTCCCAGCCGTTATTGGTCGAGTATGCCGTGCCAGGCCCACTCACATAGCCAGCTTCCTCGGCCTCATCAAAGTACTCCCCACCGCTACTGGCATCAAAGCTGCTCCGACCACTAATCTCTCCTTCCTCACCAGCTCCAGGCTGACCGAGTTGATCCCACTGCAGACCCTGCAAAGCCGGGTACTGCAACAACAGTGCAGCGGGGAGAGCAAAGCCACCGTTCTGGTTGCCGTTCATAGGTGGCTGAGGCGCCATACCACCAACTTGCATGCTCTGGTTCATCATCTGCTCGTCGAATACACGCTGTCGCTCCATCGCCTCTTCATCGAGCAATGGCTTGATGCAGACTCTGCCGGCTTCGCTTCGGAAATGCCTGCCGAGAGCGTCCGCACGAGCAAATCTTCTGCCGCATCCCCAGCTGCCGCCTGTGCCAAGCTCACCACGGCAAACAAATTTCTTCTCTCCGCTGTGCAACCCCTCATGCCTTTTGCGATCATGTTGACGAGCGAAAGCCTTGCCACAGACTGTGCATACGAATGGTCGCTCGTCCGTATGAGTGCGAAGATGCGATCGGAGATTGTAAGCACGAGTAAACTTCTTGGGGCAGAGGGTGCATTGGAACGTGGCAGGATGTTTTTGAATCCGCTTTTCCGTTCCAGAAGCCGGTGGTCGACTCGGGTCGGCAAGCTCGAGGATGTAATCACGATTCGGGATCGAAGAGGTCGACGAGCGGCGAGACGGTGATCTAGGTGCGGGCGAAGTTTCTCTGGAGCTGGAAACGCTAGGGGAATAACCCATGTCATATGGCGAGAGAGATCGATGTCGTTGATCGATGTGTGAGTCGGTGGAGCCCAAGGTCGAGTGCGAAGAGCTGGGAGTCGCTGGGCGTGAATATAGGTTGGTATCTGATTTGGCACGCATGCGCCCTTTTCGACCTGGTTCGTTGTTAGTAGGTCGCGTCAAGAGTGGAACAGGGCGAAAGTCACCTCTGTCCGGAGGACTCAATGCATCCATGTCAGGCTGCTCATATCTTGGAGGCTCGAAGCTTTGCTGACGCGTCGTGGGTGCATATTCAACGTTGATCTCGGGTGGTACCATTTGAGCAGCCTGACCCATGTCGTTCGAACCTAGTCTCTCTTCGTGTTGGAATGGAGGAAAAGTTTCTGCTTGATTGTTGGTGTACAACTCCGATCCAGGACCTCCATTGAAGTTGTTATTTGCCTGGGACAAAGGCATGAAATTGTTTTCTTGGGCAAGTCCCATTCCAGGCTGAGGGGACATGCGTGGTGACACAAAAGGGCTATGTCTCGGACTATTCCTCCGCTGCTGTGGTTCTGACAGGGTAAATGACTCGATGCCTAGGCCTCCTTGGTAAAGCTGTTCGTCCTGCTGGGGGTTCAACATTGGCGATGGGTTCTGGTCGAAAGTGTCGAAAGTATCTTGCTGTGCCATGTAAGGTGAAGGTGCAACGGAAGATGAAACATCGGAATGCTCTGATGGAGCCCTCCGGTGGTTCTGGAATTGCGATCCTGTGAGCATTCCCGACCATTCTGCCGATTGGTGCCCGTTCGTGAAGGCAGCGGATGGATCCAGCGAAGCATGTCGAGAATGATGTGGAGACCATTGCTGGCCTTGATTCGTAATTGGGGAAGCTGGTCCTGATGAATGTGCATCTGGCGGCATGAGGCTCGGCGGAGTTGGGTTCATGATTTGCGGTGAGGAAATATTACTCATTATGTCTGCCGGGTTTATGTGGTTCTGCTGGGGCGGGTCCAATTGAGGGTCTAGTATGAAGCTGTGTTCGTAGGACTGTTCCTGCTTCACGCCGAAGTCTTGTTGGCGGTAGTCGGACAGATTGGCTCCCAGTCCAAGCGGATCTGATTGATATGACTGACCCTCTTGTCGACCGTTGATGTGTGAAGAGTCTTGCCCAAAACTTTGATCTAGACCATTTTGCTGATATGACTGCTCAAACCTCTGATCACCGAAGTCGTTGCTGGGTAGCACGTGTTGTTGAAATTGCGGTTGCAGAGCAGACCCGTTCATATATGAGGGAGACAAGCCGTACTGTAGACCAGTCCCAGCTGTAGTGGAGAGGTTCGAGTCGAAAGCCTGAGACGTGAAGTTTGTAGAAGTGGTTGGGAGGCCTGAAGGCGATGATTGGTTATGACGATTTTGTGGCGATGGAGAATGTCTTATACGGGGGTCAGACTGGCGCCCGGCCGACAACGACCTCCCACGGTGTTGTTGAGTTTCCATCATGTTTGACGAGGTTCCTATATGCTTTTATTAGGTCGAAAATGCGCTCGGTTGAACCAGCTATCCCGTGCTCAGTAGGCTGCGGAGTCTAGCCTTGAGACGATGTAGGGCGCTCTTGAAGATCTGCTCCAGTACGCTCGAGAGCTATGATGTTGTGTTTTGGGGCTGTGCAAGGGTAGTCGGTGCGAGTCCTCCTGACAAGAGGAGGAACGCTGAGCAATGCCTCCTTTGCTCGCCTCTTGGATGGGGGCGAACAGTCGGCGATCGGCGTCTGTTTCAGGCAGAAACAGTGTTTCGAGCGGGATCGACCGTTGTTGTGTGTCTCTATTGGGGGCCTCGAGGGATGTTTTCTCCGCTTCTAGAAGCTGACTCCGAATGGAATGCGCATTGAGATTTGACGGTAGCGAGCGATCTTGTGGACAAGTAGTTTTGTAGATATCAGGACGTGGCCTTGTGTGTTGATATGATGGATATTATTGGGTAGGCAGGAATACTCTTGTATTCAGGCGCTCCGCAAGGTAGAATAGAGAAGGTTTACACCAAACGATTATGACGCAGTGACGGAATTCGAAGCGTTAAGGTCGAGTGGAGATCATACAGGTAACACGCTGTTATGAGAGCAGGATCGTGGAACGCTATTCGGTCAACATGAATGTGTTAGCATGGAAGTCTGAAAAGGGTAAGAGTGGATATCAGAGTCTAAGCCCTGAGGCTGCGCAAAATATGAGATCGGGCAAGTAGAGGCTCCACACCTAAAGTGACTCTTTTCGCTACCGGCTGAAGTTGGTGGATTGGTCTGGGGTATGGGCGTGTATGGGCTATCGATTGTGGGGGGGAAGGGGGAAGTCGGGGGGGTGACGGTGCGCTTGTCGGCGAATTAATACGATGGATATGTGGGCGAGTACTTTAGTAGTCTGATGTTGGAGACGAGGGTTCTGGAATGAAGATGAAGATGAAGATATAGATGATGCGACAAGCCAGGAATAGAACAGATCTTGTTTGGTACGACACTTCTCTCAATCCTCTCCTGAGGTCCAAAATCCCGGCGTCTAAAGCAAAGTACAAGATTACGCGCTAAACCTTAAGGAGTTAGGAGGCAGAGGAAGCCTGCATTGCCTTACCTAGCGCGAAATAATGGATAAGATACGAGTATTCCACTTTCATACCAATCTTTCCCCTCTGATGCGGTAGAAGGGCGTTAGAAGCATGCTAGACGGCAGTAGCTGACTACAAGTATTTGGATAGCTCAGGCGCTCAGCCTCCTTGTTGCCTCCTGTTCTAAACCTCAACTTGCTGTTTCATCTCCCTCTCCTATGCTGCGGACCCGCTGCCTGAGCACAGCCCCGCTCGTGCTCGCTGGCTCTGTGAGGCAGACAATCAGGACTCGCTCGCGTCGCCGTGAACAGGTAAGACACAACGTGAATGATGATGTGATTTTGGATTCGATTGGAAATTGGAGACTGATGACATACATGTACTCTATATTCACACGCTCGCTGACATTGCTGCCAATAGTATCCCATAGGTCCTCCCGTATGTCAATTTGCCCGATAAAATTTTCCCTAGATAATCCACATGAACAAAAGTAGTATCGCATCCTGCGAAGAATGCCTCGAACGCCTTATTCTTTCTCCTTTCCTTTTCCCTTATCAAAATCCTCCACTCCATCACCTGCCTCTTTGACCTCGGCGCTGAAAGTGCTTTCATCGTCGCCATCAGGCCCCCGGTTGACCACCCGTAGCTTTTCTTTTGGCACTGTGAACATCACCTGCACCACCCTTCTCTCCACGGCAGATTCAACGTCCCATTCTTCGTCATTGCCATCCTGCTCATGTTCACCACTTTTACCTCCCTGCTCGCCGACATCCCAGTCCCTCGCACCTTGTCTTCTCTGCCACAGCATAGCGCCTGTGCTGGCTGCTCGCCGAGGCAGCCCACCTTCCGAGAAAACGCGCTTGGTTGGCGAAGACGAGTTGCTTGTGTTGTTCTCAGGCGACGTCGAAGCGCTTCGATCTAGTCCAGAAAACGCGCGACGTACACTCCCCATCCAACCCCTTGCTCGACTATGACTTCTTGTTGGGGATGGTCCTCCGGAGTCCGTATAGTCGCCAAGCAATGCCTCGCCCTCTGATTGCAGTTGAGGGAAAGACGGGCCTGCGGTGGTCAAAGTGTCGGAAACAGCAGTCCGCCGTAAAACTGGGTCGAGGGTCAAGGACCGAGACCGCCGATGCTCAGGACTGTAACGTTGTGGTGCGCTTTGTAATTGATCTGATGGTGTGGTATCATTCGTGGAGCGGTAGGCAGTCGTGCTGAACAGCGCCGCCGAGCGCTGTGATAGGCTCCTGCTCAAATTTCCGACCGAGTTCTGCATCGAATAAGACGACAAGCCAGAACGGGAAGATTGGTCACTAAGCGTCGAAGATGTTCGATCGTTCTTTTCAGGCGAGAGGCGGCCCACTTGAGAGTGCATCATTGCATTCGCAACTGTCCAGTCAGACACCCAGTTGCGGACTTCATGCTCTCTGTCCTGCGGTGACTGTGGTGACGGTGTTCGTGAACTACCCACTGGGTCATGGAAAGGGTCCAGAACTGGGACGTGGCTTAGCACGTTGTGACCGTCTCTTTGCATCATTTCGTTGTCTCCCGACTGCGTTCCGCCGATGAGTCCTTCATCATATTCATCGCGCTCATCAATTGGGTGGATGGTACTGAATCCGGGAGTCTGTCGTCCATCCTCATACCGTGGTGCGGGCTGATACGTTCCTCGAGAGTATAGAGACCTTCGCAAACCTCGTGTAGGACTTGGTATCTCGAAGAGTAGGCCTGTCCTCTCCGCGTTAGGCTCGCTACGGCCAGATCCATTGGAATATCCGCCAGGACCAAGCGGCCGTGGCTGAGGCTCTCGTGACATCCGATTGTCTTCTGCAAAATCCACAGTCGTCATTTCACGTGGCCTGGCTGGAGTAGGGCTAGAGCCATCATTATACAAGCTAATTCCATGGGCACCAGCTGACAGATGGCGCAACTCATCTTCCCGTGCATCTCTGCGACGTTTCAATCGACGACTGTACCAGAAATACACAGCGACAATGATGATGATCGCCAAGATGCCGAGAGTGAGTCCAGCTCCTAGTCCAGCTCTCCTCGAAGCAGCATTCGAATTAGCGGCGGCGCTGTTAGAAGAACCATTGCTTGTCGCAATTTTGGGATGAGCATAGCTTGTGATCCATGTGCTTGATGTTGTGTTGAAAAAGTATGTGTTGGCGCTTGCTGAAGGGTCCGCCCGTTTCCTCTTCGAGCCACTGGAGGCCGGAATTTGATATCCTCCAACAATCATCATGACATCACCTGGGAGCATCGTGGCACCATGACCATATATTCCTGTTCCATCAGCAAGACCTGGTCCAGTTTGGCTTGGTACGCTCCACTGCCAGTCGCCGCTCCCACCATATCCTTGCCCAAGTTCGAGGACTGCCAATTGCGGATCTGCTAGGTTTGTCACATCTCCTACCCATCCGCCAAAAAGAATGACTCTCTTTCCATCTGAGGTGAGTAGGGCTGTATGACCGGATCTCGGGTCGACCGCGGTCATACCTCTAGCCGCGAGGTCTGTATTGGGGTCATCTGCTGGTGATTCTATAGGCAAGAAGCTCCAGCTTTGTTCGGGCATTGAAAAGAGAGCCACTTGGGACATATTAATGAAGGCTGCTTGCGTATGACCTCCAAGCAGGACGAAGTTCTGATTCTGAGATTGGGTACTATTGTCGTTCCCTGTATTGAAGAAGGTTGGCATGAGTGGGGTAATGGTGAACCCAGCCTCTGCAATCGGTGGCCCTCTGCTTGACGTGATACCAAGATAATACGTTGAAGCCGGGGGAGAATCGGGTTGTATGGTCAACATGCTGCTGGAATAGTATGCCGCTTGTGTCCAATCATCTGCTGTTGAGATAGTCGAATTGGGGCACATCCCTCCAAAGATGTACATCTCAGAGGTGGCATTGACCGTACTGGAGAAGGCCAGAGCTGCCGCCAGATAGTTCGCGCCGTCCAGCACATTATTACCACTCACTCCTCCTATTGATAGGTCGAGCTCTTTCCATGTTCCGTTAAGGTTCGAGCTTTCGCTTGTAGGAGTGAACTGCCAGAACGTTGACCCCTCCGCTGCATCACTGCAATTGCCAGAGTACACCAATATATTCCCTTTATCGTCAATTGTAGGTGTGTAGGCACTTTGGGGTCCATCTAAGAAAGGGAGCGTTGGAGAGATGGTTGAGCAGGGCAAATTTGTAGCGCCGAGCGTGCTCGTTGTATTCAGCGCGAGTAGCTGGGAATTGGGGGAGCCTGGTGTACCAGGTTGAAAAATGTATATTATATCGTCCGAGGTGGGCGAAGACAAGATCCTTGTAGGGTTGTAGGGAAAGGTTGCCATTATAGGCCCAAGAAATGCTGCAGCACCGAGTGCCGGTGTTTCTTTCACCTAGGCATGCTCCTTTGCTCTTCAAGGCATTGTCATTGCCGGATGATTTTTGAGAATCGAATGGATGGGAGCAAGTATGGACGTCTGTTGAAGCTAATCACTGAGAGAGGGGGGCCACTTGTTGATGCTGACAGAATGGCTGGGAATAAATAGAGGGGGCGCCAAGATGAGGAGGAAGGATCTCAAGGAACGTGGCAGGTCGCAGCAGGGCAATGCCAACATTCGTTCGAGGCCAACCTGCAGCATGCAGAGCTAATGCAAGTCATCAATCCAGATCCATGGGTCACGGTGATGCATGATTCGCCGATTAAACGTGGGCGTACCGCGTTTGTTTACGTCTCCGGGTTGCTTGGGCTACCATGTTCAGCCCCATCACTTGCGCTAGCTAAAAGCAGGGGTGCCTCGGCTCGTTCGGGTGTGCGCTCAATCTTCGCATTATGATAGTGAAGAGAACGACATTAAGAAGTCATGATACGTTGTTGTTAGTGGTGATAATGCCAGGGCAAGGTTCATGAAAGACCTGCTGTGATGCCAAGGTGACTCTCATGTCTTTCCTAAGATTGTCTATTTTAGGCTCGGACTCTACTCGTGTGGCCGAGAGGTCTATCATCTTGGCAGTCTAGCCTAGATCAGTTAGCGCTGTAGATCATAGGCATATTTAGTGTCAAACTGCGGAGAAACGAGGTAGTCTGATTGGTGGGTACTCCCGCGCCGGACTGCCAAGATGATAGACTTCTCGGCCACACGAGTACATATACATGTTCATATACGAGTAGAAATTCATTCGACATGATAGACGGAAATTTTCTGGAACGACTATGCTTCCCCCTATTTCTACTTTATGCATGTCTCTAACGCCCCTGACGCCATGCATGTATCTAAATGTTCATGCTGTCGTTCGCCGTTCATTCATCGTGTTTATAGGGCAGTGCAGCGCATTGCTGACCTAGCCTAGCGTCTCATCCATGACATTGGTATTAGCAAGCTTGCTTCCCTTTCTCTCCGCCTTGAACGCTTGGATGCGGTCATAGAGATCCGTGTCTATACCAAGATTCAGTATCAACTACGTTTCATAATGTAGGCGGAGCCGAACTTACCAGCAACAACATCCTCAATCATAAGAGGCGCGCGATTGAACGGATCGTTAGGATCGCTGAGGAGGTGAGACCGAATGGTGGATCGGTCAATGGACGTTTTTGATGTAGGTAGAATGACTGGATCTTGCATCAATGTGAACATTAAGGGATCTAGAAAAGCCATTAGTATGAAAGAACTCAGCGTAATTGGAGCAATGGGCGAACTTACCCAGGAATTCATCAGGAACTTCGCCCAGATCCTCTTCAGCTTGGTCGTCCGCCTCCTTCGCCCTCTTAAATTTCTCCCCTAGAGATCTCCACGCCGCCAGTTCCTCCTGTGATTTCAGAGCAAACTTTGCAAGGACTCTAGCTGCTTGATCCAGATTGGCAGGCTTGTATGATCGCCCGTCCCTTGCCACAGCATAGACAAAATTCTCTTTGTCTTTGAGGTTCAAGTAGACGTCTGCAATCTCGGAGAGTAATAGTTTTGGTTCGAAGCTATATTCTTGTGGGTTCTCGACGACCAAGTCTCTGCTCTTCGGGCCTACCATCACATCAAGATTATAGTCTAGCATGTCTGCCAATCGTTGTACAATCTCGGGCATCGTGAACGAGCCTGCTAAAGCTTCAGTGAAGAGCTTCAGCATGGCTACCGTCTCGTTGGTGAGTTGCATATAGGACTTCGCTTTCCCTTGGGCTTGTGAAAGCGCCTCTTCTTTCTCCGAACGGACGTTTTGCTCCATGTCGGCTGAACGTTTGAGTTCTTGTTGCAGATTATGTATTTGTACAAAAGCTGTCAGCGATTCATCCAGGACGAAAGTAACGTCATTGAGAAGGAGATTGACAAAGCGGACGAAGAAGTCGAGATTGATTTTGGCTTCGTCGGAGAGATGTTCGCGATAGATAGGGTTCGACCAAATGCACTTGATGATCTGGAAGATTTCGTAGCGTATATTGAATTTGTCGTAGAATTGGGTGTGCGCGCCTGTGTTCTCCACCTCGATATAGAATTTCATCAACGCGTGTAGTAAGTGCTCAGTAGCGAAAGGTAAAGAATTTAGTAGGTCTCCTAGTATTCCTTTGGACCGGTTGTAGACTGGCCGGATGCCATGGAACATGATGGTAACCAAGCCAGACTTGAGATACGGATTCTTGATGTACTCTGAGCTTCGGAGGAACGTGATGCAGAGCATGACCAGCTCATCACTCTGCGTGGACGTAATGATTTGAGGCATATTCCGCATGATGAACTTGAAGTTACCCACAACGTCCTCCAGAAAGTATTCGGGTAAGCACTTGAAAACCTCTGGCTGTTCCTTGGGCAAAGGCAGCTTCAGTGGGCGTTTTGGGAGATCTTGACCTGGAGCCACAATTCGTAGTAGCCACACGATGACATATCGCATGAATTGCATGGATCGTGCTTGTGTCAGATCGTCAAGCAAGACACCTTCCACGGAGAGCTTGTAAGACATGCCCTTGTCGATCTGATCCTTGTACTTCTTGATGGCATTCTCGAATATGTTCAACCTGACTGGGTTGCTAACGAATTTATGCCGATCGAGCTCGATCTCCTTAAGATGCGCTCTCATACGTTTAAGCTCCTTCTCAAGTGTGCTTAGCATTGAATTGGCAGACTCTGTTCCATAGTGATGTGCAGCAAGTGTTAGAAAGAATATCTCTGATATAAAGTTCGAAATTCCCTCAGCAGGACTGCTGTAGAATTTATCAGAAGCATTCTGGTCGGCATTCAGCTTTGTTTCGTCTTGGATGTCAACCCGTGGTGAGCGGCGTAGATAATCGACGTCTATGCGGTCGATTTTGGAAAACGAGGCATCCATGAAGGGCTCGCATAGCTGATCTAGGCACACAGTAACATTGATCATGAAACCGTCCGAGGAGACTAACTTCTTGTCTACTTGTAGTGCACGGCGCTTATGGTTGGCATTGACACACAAAGCAAACCAGTCAAGCATCTTATCTCTAGCTTCCTTGCTTGTTTTGATAATTCGATTAGCGATATCCAGGAGGTCGGTCTGGTGGGTCTGACTCGTGAGTCGCAAGGCTCTTTGAGAGTTGAGAATGTATGCTTTATCTCGAGATGTAGGATTTGAGAAGTAATTAGTAGTGACGTCTGCTTGCAAAGGTGAGATGGCAAAGAAAGGACCGAGCAGCGTGCCAGACTCCAGTAATGCGGCTGAGATAGACGGAACGAACCTCGGCGACTGAACAAAAGCGTTGACTATTGCCGGGTATTGGACAAGATTTCGTAATGCCTATCAATCAGTTACCTTTGTTTGCGAGAACTCATATCGACCTAGATCCTACCAATATGTATGGTTTGTAGTCATTGTTCATATTTATGACCGATAATCGCCGACTTAAGTCTTCAACCGCACCGACCAGTGCGTCTTGAACTGTATCATCTTCCGCAAAACGAGCGACAGCCTCATTAAGAAAGTCATGGTCAACAGATCTGTCGTCTTCCGGATCATCTATCAAGAAATGTGGTGTGAGGGGATTGGATGCCGATGTCTCAAGGCTATGCCATGATTAGTACCGTATAATCCTAGTGCAAGGAAGAGATGCACTCACCCAAACATATCAGGCATGGTAATTGCAAATATGCAGTAGCTCATACACAATCTTCTGGCCTCCTTTACTATTACGAACTTAGGATCTTCCTCTCCAGCTTTCCTTAAAGCCTTGTACTGTCTGGAAACTCGCTTCCAACATCCCAGTAAGAAGTCCAGAGGCGTAACTCCGTGCTTCAGGTTCGATGTCGCCTCAAGGAGAGCTTGGTCCAACATTCCCACATTCAGTCTGACCGATTGACCAGAGTCCTCCAGATCCAGACGGGTACCTTCTAGGAATTGCAGATGGTTTCCGTGGGCGTCGCGTTGGTGCTCCTCCCATAACGTAATTTTAAATAGGTTCCCCAGTACTCGATCCTCCCACTGCTCCAAGGTCTCCCCTGCCCTTGAGCTCGATCTGCCGCCTGAAGAGGCTGGTCGGTCACGCTTCTTGGGCGTTACTGGTCTGCCAGCTGAGGATGTGATGTTGATCTTAGGAGCTCCGCCGTTTGCTTGTCGCATGCCGAGTTGAGCGAATGGGTTTTGGGGTGATGTGGAGGCATTCGACGAGCTCGATATGTTGATCTGGGGCTTTGGCTGTTCTCTCTCTTGCGGGGCTGCTGCTTGTGCATTGGGAGTGGGCGAGGATTGTGACGCTGATGTATTATCCATGCTACCTTCCCCAGCTGGATTTGGCTGTGCGGGAGCCTGGGAACCCAACTTTGCCAGACGTTTGTTACGGATCTTAGGTATGTAATTAGTCATGCCCTTTGCCACAGTACGGGATTTATCATACTTTCTCCGCATCTGTCATTGAGTCGGCCATGCTGTGAATAGAGAAAGTGGAACCGGGTTGCGTGGATCGAATATAAGCGGTGAATATGATGTTAACGAGTGTTGATAGAAAGCTGTGGAATCTATCCGGCTGAGGTCATTAGTGAACGTATTAGCACGCCCTGGAACGGGAGCTTAGGGGCGGGAACTCCAGCCTAGAAATTTGAACTCTTGGCATAAACGCGGCCCGACATTCTGGATCCGCCTATAAACGCAGCCCTAAGAAAATCAGACGCAGTACACTTGAGACAGATTAGTCTCCTGGCAGGCTGGCATGCTTGAGCCAACAAATGCTTGTCATGTATGGACGGCTCATCTAGGTACACATACAATTGAGGCAAGCCTTTATGAAGCCTTCTGCATCAACATCGACATCGTAGCATAATCACACGTCCAGAACAACACCACGCCATGCCTTGCTTGCATCGATCCCCATATAAAAAACGAACACTAGTAACTATTCCTTGCAAAACCATACGTATCCAGCTGCTTACAGCTCCTCATATCATAATTCCTCGCTTCCCTCATCTTATCTGCATCTTGAAAAAACCAACCCTGCGCCTGCTCTATCATGGTATTCCGTGTCCGCTGTTCTATCTGACATTCATATTGTAGCTGCGTCACGAATTGATTCTCAGCCTGCCTGTCAAGATCGTTCATTTTCCGGCCACTGTAGTCGACGACATCCCTTGGATCCAGATAGTACTCGATCTTTAACCGTTGCGAAGTGCGGTGCATTGTATTCGGAGGGCCAGGTTGGAAATGTATATTGGGACCACTCGGCATCGCCGAGGAAAAAAGTGAGGATAGTATTGGGAGGACGAAAAGGATTAGGAGTGGGAGGAGATTTGACAGAGCACCCAATGTGCTTCGCGGTTGTTCTTCGCCGGTGCCGTTCGCCTCTCTTGGCCTCCGCCTTGGTCGATTACCGCCGAATTGGTGTACGCGGAAGCCGGGACCGCCTCCTAGGTTGAATACAAACTGCGGACCATCGTTGAACATAGGAACTCCACCGCCTGTTCTGGCGTCAGTAAGCCGCCCGTTTCTTTCCCTGAACCCGATAACCTACCAAAAGGTCCGCCACCCATGCCGCCGCCGCCAAAGAATCTGTTGAATAGCTCCTCCGGTGATATCTCATCTTCGAACATGGGTCCCCTCCCTCCCGGTGATCTTGCTGCGAATCCACTGAAAGGTGATGAAGGGGCAGCAGCACCAGGGCCAAATCGGTTGTCCGGGTCGCCTCCAAAGCGGTCATATTTCTCTTTCTTTTCCGCATCTGACAGCACTTGGAAAGCTCTCGAGACCACTGTAATCGGTCATTTATTGTCAGCCTTCTGTCAGCCTTCTCTTAATACTTATGTCTATACAAATGAGCCTCACTCTTGAAAGCCTCATCCGCCCCATCATAGCCATTCTTATCCGGGTGCGTCAGAAGACTTAATTTCCGGTATGCCTTTTTGATCTCCGCATCCGAGGCTGCCTTCTCCAACCCTAGAATCTCGTAGAATGCTGTTGCCGAGCATTTCCGTACTCTTATGACCGCTGCCTTCTGCTCCACTGTGTACTTTCTCTCCTGATTCCCCTGGTTGTGATCTCGACTCTTTGCTGCATTGCCATTTGGAGTTGCGTCGGCGCCTGATGCCGTCGCAGCGGGCATCTCTCAAACTCTGTGTTAAAAAGAGAGGGTTTAGCAAATGACTAGGTTACTGATCTTATCTATAGCGATGGTGAGGGCGAAAAGACCAAATGATTTGCTTATATCTGATTCGTTGCAGAGTATGTTTTGAAGTGAGGTTACTTAATTCACATCAGCAATGGTGGTATCAACATCCGCTTCATGCCAAGCCGCTAGCGGAGTGTTCAATCTTCCGCACCGGTGATGAAAAACAACACTGCGCAGAACCTATCGCAGGTCACGAGCTTAGATACCTTCTTCGAACCTTCAACCACTACCACAATTCCCCCCAATAGAACCATGGCAGACAAAGAGACCCAAGAACAAGCCAAAACGTCCGCCATTGTCAGCGCCAAAGTCTGGGGAGGTAAATCACTTCTCTCGAAATATAAACCCGTCTGCAAGCTAGCGTGAAAGCACTATTCTAATGGATGGTATCAATCTCTAGAATCACCTGTCCCACCCACCGCCCTCGCCGCCCTGATCACAGCGCAAGCTCTCCGGCCGCCTCAAATCCTCCCATTGCTCTTCCCCCCCGTCCTCCTCTTCAGCACATACCTCAACATCTATGATTACAAAATTGACGCCGCGGGTCTCAATGCCGCCTGGTCGGGGTTATATATGCTATTAGCGAGGCGGAGGAAACAGCATTTAGCGAGGAAGTTTGGCACTAGGGGTTTGATAAGGGGGGCGACGATGGGCTTGTGCACTATCAATCTAGTCTGTGGGGGACTGGTCTATGCGGTGGGGAAGCGGGAGGGGGATGGGGATGATGCTGCATGATGGTCCTCGGCAGTGTTTTAAGTTTGGAGACTGTACATATCTGACTTGAGGAGGGTACGCATTGCATTGAAGGCGTAAAGAATATATCCCTCGCATTAGGTAATATTATAGGAATCTATGCAAGTCCGTCCTCAAGCCTTTCTGGGGTTACTGATGTCCTGGATCTGTGCCTCTTCCTTGAATGAAGCTCGTGTACAACACTCATTCACTCCCCTCTCAATTGGGCGACCAGCATTGACTCGAGTCATAGGGGTATCGCTCTCAGTTGCTCAAGCTACAATCAGCCATCTCCGCAGACTTCGACTAGTCTCGGCGTTTCAATATCTCGATCTTCAAATCCCGTGTTCAGTCGAAATTTCTTTACCCCCATGGTGCCGGTTTAGGCAAGGGCTTCCGTTGAATAGACGGCTCAGCTACAGGTGGAGGAGGTGGTGGAGGTCGAGTCGGTTCAGATTCGGGTGGAGGACAAGGAGGAGGTCGAGTCGGCTCACTATGGAGCGGTACTTGCGCCTCGTACAGTGGTAGGTCATCAGCGTCATTCATTTCATGCTCTTCCACGAAATCATCATCCTCGATTGGCACAGTGTTAGAATACTGTATCCCCTGCAAGACTGCTGAGCGGTCACTGATGATGGATGAATACCGTGGAAGCGGGAGCAGAGCTGGCGCAGGCTTGCGACGTACCGAGCTTGTCGAGTTTGTTGGCCCAGGATCAGAAGGGCTAGTTTCAGTGAAAGTGTCATTGTCGGTATGGCTCATGCCGTTGAGAGGAGCATTATCGAAAGGTGACGGCTTCCTTCTTACGGGACTGATGCGATTAGACAGGCTTAAGCTCACAGATTTCGTGCTGCTGGTTGCATCATAATCGAAATCGTTCGGCTCCTCAAGTATACCACCAGTGACTGTTGCTGCCTTTGGCCGAGGCGGCAAGGCAGGTTGGGTCTCCATCCCTTCGTCGCTGTCATCATTATTTAGAAGGGTGATTCCAACCGATTGAGTCTCGTCTAAGTCCTTCATTCGAGCTTCCTCAAGAGGATCTTCCCTATCTTCGGCAGCCTCTGGCATGCGTAGTGAGTCCTCGAACGTATCGAAGCTGGTGCTAAATAAAGGCGCAAGGTCACCTTCCCAGTGAACAATCATGGCCACGAGGATCCGGCGGACGATAATTGATATCTTAAGATCCTCGATCGGATCCGGACCACATAGCAGGCTTGGGGCGAAGCAAACAGCCAGATTTTCCGGAGTCATCTGGTTCTGGTCTTGGAAGGCCGCAACTCTGGAGAGCAGAGGGAGAAGGTGCATCTTCAAGATCTGCCTTGACTTCTTGCTGCTGATCGGCGACCACTCATCATCCTCAGAGAGCATTGCCAACAACTGCTGGACCTCTAGAGAGAATTCGGGGCTTCCGTAGTACTTTTCCAACGCTTGATAGCTAGACGGCGGGAAGATCGGCTCCTTCAGCTCCTTGTCTAGATGATGATTTCGGAGTCAGTCTTGCTTGTTCGAAGGGGTATAGCGAGCCCTGGAACACGTCTAGAGGATTGATATTCCCAAGACATCTCTCAAGACTCAGTATTTGGTTCAAAGGAGGAAATATGAACTCCGAAAATACGTACACCAAAGCTTGATCAAGACTGCCGCGACATGAAGTTCATAGCCTTCGGCCTGGTCTAGCTCCTCTACCCAGACATGTCCAAGGCCTTCTCTGTAGTAGCTAGATGCTACGGCCGTGTCAACTTGTTTCCATACGATGAACTTTTGACCTCGATCGTAGGCTTCCTTCAAAATCTCTACAGTCTGAGCCCGAGCACTGACACGGAAGATACCCTCGGCCTTGATGTTATCGTCCATGATGACAAAGCTTGTGGTTTCTCGTAATACCCTTGGCAGTCTGACTGACCCATCCGCGGAGGCGGGGAGAAAATTCTGGACGCCAAAAGCTCTCCGCCCACTTGCGTATGGCGCGTAGATGTCAGAAGACTTCCGACGGTCGGTCAAATAGGCAGATGGAGGAATCAACAAGTCCTCGATTGGAATCTGCAGAGCCAGCCCGCTCAATGTGGAGACACTGATGACTTTCTTCCTGAACTTTGGGGAGACGACCGAAGCGAAGAATTCGATCAACAGCCTGATGAAGTTCTTGTCATGCACAATGTAGAGCTTTTGCAACCTCTTCCTTTTCGCCCTCGTCAACATATGATATGCTTGCATAAACCATTGCCAACTAGGTTTTGCCTTCTTGGTTTGCTTGGTTGCATTGCCCCCAATTCCTGCAAAGAAGACCACTTCGTAGCCATGCCCACCAATCAGCTCTTCATCGTCCGGTAGTCTAGATAGCACGTAGGGGAGCAGGACATCGTAGTCAGTTGTTTTGGCGTCCGGGAAAGCGCCGCCATTCAGTATGAAGACAGGAAGATCGTTCTGTGAAGGTAGAGGGGAACGGTAGATGATGCGAGCTGCGAGATTGGCGAGATCAGTCGAGTAGTCATTCGATGTAGATGCAGGGGGTACTGAGTTCAAAGGAGTAGAGTTGCTGCGGAGCCGGTTGACGATTTGAGAGCGCATCGAGGCATCCGATGGTCGATCAAATGGGATTTAGACGAGAGGAGGAGAGCATCGGTAAGAATTCTGTGGAGATGTTCAGGTCGTACACCAAGAGATTGGCAACGGTTCTGGGACAGGAAGCCATTGTTATTATAAATTAGGATTTGAGCAAGTTTGATAGGTAGTCTTATGTTACTGTTTACCTCTGGTGCCTTATGGAGAAATTTCCTAAGAAGAAGGAAGAAGCGAGGTGATGCCAACCGACAGTTGGGCGTTTCAGCCACGCAAGCGTACGTAAGACGTGTTTACGACTTCTGCTCTACACTACTCACAGACAAGTAAAGTAGTTAATGTTTCAATGGCTTTGAGCTAAAAATAGATGGCGTTTACGGGGGTCACGAAGTAAGGTACAGATTAATACGACATATAAACTACTCAAATCTGCAACACTGCACGGGAGCTAGAGTATGCACCCGGCTACTGCACATGACGGACATGCTTGATTGGAGCAGTATTGACTTTGAGGTTCAACGAGTCCGGGCGCGCATGATGTCCCACGGTGTCCAGGAAATGTTTCGCAATCTCGATTTTCGCAAGATCAATTTCAGCATACAGCATTCCCTCTTCATGTGGGCCCAATGGCGATCCATCAGGCCCGTATATCTCAGAGTGCCTCTCGCCAAAAAGCCTCTTCTCTACGTGAGTTGGCTTGATCTTGCGGCGATTATGCAGAATCTCTCCTTTCAGCTCATGAAGGCTTGACATAAAGATCGGCAATGCTCCACATTGGTCGGTAGTCTTCCTCACCTGCGCTTCATATAATATTGTTCCCCCTCTCTCACTATAGCCCAACACAATTGTCATGCCCGCATCCTTCACGGCGCTCTGATTGCGGGCCACCTCAGGGGAAACCTTGGACATGGAGCTTCTCATGTAGTCAATACGGTGCTCGACACTCGAAAAGAGCGCTGGGGTCCAAATCGTCCTACGCTAACCATAAGCATGAGGGTTTGAATGGCTGTCTTTCATAATCGATACAGCTTACCACGGGTATCCCGGCACGAAAAGTTGAGGGAGACCAAACACCTTCGTTCCCTTATTGGCCGCTTCCAAAATGAGCTCGACCACCTTTTTCACGGAGCCTTGGAGGTCACCCCACACGGGTTCGGCGTGCACGGCAGCGACTTTGATTTTTTCACTCATTGCTATTAGCTGAAGCAGAAATGCTTGTTCTGATCGTGGTATGTTGGAGTTGCGAGGAAGTGTATAATTCTGATGCAGCAAAGATTGTAATCTCGCATTTTAGCAGGATCTCTGACGGCCTTTTATATCCAAGATGGCGGACCCTGGATCGATGAACTCCGTAGCTCGCGAGACGGTTTGCCAGGTGAGGTCACGGGATCGCTTGGAAGTTACGACATCGCGAACACAACCGAAGGAGGCACATAGACCATTCATCCTTGATTCAATGTCCTAGAAGGACATCAAAATGAGAATAGTACGAACATCACGGTTGCATTGGCAAGTATCTTGACCTAAAGTAGTGTGATAGCCGCATAAGTCTTTGGCGTTGTTGAGAATGAGATTCAGAGCTTGAGGGGCGATGGCAGTAGTGCTAGCACTGCGCGAAGATTAGATTACTATCACTGTTCAAGTTGAAAGACACATTGTCGGCAAGCATAGCCGATCACTCAAGGAAAGAATATGCCACCTTGAAGTCATCGAGGTCTGAAGGTAGAAGCCAGGCTTCAATACTTACCTTTGTTTACGTACAGAACAGAAGTTGATGGGACGAACTGTCGTATATTCTCAATGTGGACCCTTGGAGATGCAGGGTCTTATTACACACCTGACCGGATCGCAAGCTATGAATATGCACTCACCGCGCTTTGCCGTTCGGGGATTTGGATGAATGGAGAAGCTCGGCAAACGGCAGCTATGCTCCGAGATCCCTGGGACTAAACCAGATCAACAAAATACACATGCCAGACCCCTCAGAGTAGCGGTTCAGTCTGTGCGTGCACACACCTTGGACCCGTCCGGACCCTTTAAGTATAACCTCGAGCAGGTCCAAGAGGTACTGGTCTGGGCCAGGCCAGACGATTAGTCCGCGAAACGGTCCAGGACCATTTAGCTCCTTTGTGGAAGCTGGACCGATCCGTACGAATGATACAGCAGGCTGAACCATCTTTGAGTTCTCAGTATGGAAGCAGCCCATCCTCATCGCCCCAACCATGGACTGAATAAAGTAGGGTCAGCATTCATTGCCTCGTGACGGTGGGATTTCGAGCCTGGAAACAAGCCTAAGAGAACACACTCATGACACAACTCACGACTGAACGTCTGATCCAAAGGGGACTCAAGAACTCCGGAAATACGTACAGGACACTGAGAGTTCCCACATCCGCAACCTCGGCACATCATCTCAACGTAACCTAGCTTTTTGACTCTTGCGAGCCTGCTCCACCGGCATTGTCCTTTCCACGGTCTCAACGTCCATTTCAGACCCTTGAAACCTCTCATCATCCACGCCTACGCCCAGCTTCTCCAAGAGCTGGTCCAACGTCTTATACATATCGTGATTCCATCCAAGTTCCAACTACTCTTGTACTTCGTCAACCGACTCCTGATCACCGCGCGTCTTGTCCGTCTCATCCTCACTCATGCCTTCAACGAAATAATGCATACCGTTATCCAGAGGTTAACCATCGTGATACAACCGATCGACGACTTCGCGGCCCATCCTATCGCTGCCACTCAGAACGATGGTCTTCCCAGTTTTTCTCAGCGTCACCAGCGAGCGCTCTTCTTCGTACCCAAGGAGCTGTGAGATGGCGTCTGCTCTGTAATTTTGGCGATTGTCTCCCCGATAGTGACTGACGCTTCCGATCCTACGTGATATTGCCTCGAGCCGCTGGAACCAACCCCCCCCCCCTGGACCATTCCGTGCCACAGGTCCTCGCTGTCATTTTCCGGTAATCGTCCGAAGACCTGGAGGGGATTGCCGCATCGCCATCAGTATTCGCTCGCAGCCTTTTCATGGACAGGTTAGACATGGCTGCACTCCAGACGTCCGGTCTTGGTCGATATGCTGAACCGTGAAGATGTCCTCGCCGCTCCTCTGTAGCGCCATTAGTGCCGGGCCACCCCCTATCCGTTCCCATTTCGCTGGCGGAATCGCCGATTTGCGTTGCGACACCGATGAGTGTTGACAGCAAGTGAGGAAACGTAGACGAGATTTGGAAGGCAGTCAACCGGGTGCGGATGGCAAGAGACACAGCGTTGCCGACATCAATGACGGGGCGGAGAGGAGCAAAAGCTTACAAAAGCAGTATTCACAACGATTTTCGGAAACGGGAGATAGGTGGCATGCTGGTCAACGTAGAGAGTTAAGGGATGTCGTCCCATTTGACGCCAGCGCTATGCTTCGCTATCCAAAAAGATTTCTTAAACATACCAAGACGCCCGCTATGTTGGTCGTAAAGCTGCACCTAATCATGGTTTCTACCAAACATCATGCTTTCTAAAAAAAATCTGTCCTCGTAATCACCACATTCCCTTTCCTTTCTTGCTCTGTGGTTGCCATATATTCAAGGAGTTCATCCCTAGCGCCTGCTCATTCCTGGCATTACCACCAAGGGAGAGGCTACCAAACCCACCTGGAGCACGAGCATCATTCTCCAGTTTCGTCCTGGAGCGTGTCGTGCGCTGTGATAATGCCGGGGTATGTTGGCCATTGGAAGCTGTTGACATTCCAACATTAGGATTCTGTCTAGATGAGGACATGCTGCTTCCCACGAAGGGCTGTTGACGGTCTGATTTGTCAGGCGCAGCCGCTGGTTGCGGAACAGGCGGGGATGGAGCGTTTCCATTGCTCATTCGACGAATACAGGTCCTAGAGTAAAGCATCCATGCTTCTTGCGCGATCAGCACAGCTATCAAACTTAGGCCTGGGGTCTCAAGCGGTCCGATACTGTCCTCCGCGGAAGCGGTCGCTGCCCGTTCGCGTAGAGCAAATCCGAATATAATGGTTGTGATTAGCTCGAATGCGAGAAGCACAATATCGCTGAGGCTTCGGTCACTATCCTTGCGGACTGCCGGCAGGAGAGATTTGAGGATGACAAGAGCCGCAATGCCTAAAGCTGCGAGCCCCAAGTGCATTCGGGAGGCGGCAAGAGATGGTATTGGTGTGCTGGTCCAGACCATGAATGAGATGGTAAGAAGAAGCAAGGCCACCGGTCCGTGCAATTGTGCATAGACAGCGTCCAATTTTGACTGCGTTTCATTCTCGTGTTTTCCATATTGTTGGCGTGCACGGACCTCGCGAGGTTCTTCGGCAAGTGAGAAGTTGTTCGCCATGAGAGATTCGAGACCAAGATCTTCGCGATCGGTAGGTGGGAAGAATCTAGGTTGAGCAAACTTTATAGGGGACAGCTCCGGACTACCAGCTGCAAGTGAAGGCTCATATGGGGTGACAAAAGGAGACTCATCATGTGAGTCTCGCATGGTGTATTTCTTGGGGGTTTTGAAGGACTCCTGATATCGCGTTTCGGGGCTACTACGGAACACAGGCTGACTTAGCGGGTTGCGAAGACTTTGAGCTGGAAGAATTTCAGGGTACGGAAATGACTGTGGCTGTTGGGACACCGCGTTGGAAGTGCGATGTGACGCTGCTGGACGCAGGATTCTAATTTCTTGCGAAGGAGTCCAATCCATGGCTTCATTATCGTCATCATCCGGTGGAGGAGTAGGGGGTTGGTATATTGCTGGACGTCGCTGCTGATTTGGCGGCGCAAAATCCATGATAGAGAATGGACGTGTACCACCATCGTGGCGAGTCATTGGCATATTCGGCTGTTGAGGGACGTAACCAAGATCCCCTGTCCTCACGCCGGCCGCTTTCTGCTGGGTCATCTGAGATACCAAAGGCCCGGGACTATCTTGAAATTTGACTGGAGCCGAGTAGTCCATCCGAACGGAGCGAAAAGACTTGACGGTTATCTGGGAATATATTAGCCTCAAATACCATGTCTGCGGGTCGAGTACTTACAATCGTAGTAAGAACGAGCAGCGACAGATGAGCAGCCTTAGTCACATGCACTTTGAGGTCAGAGCCGTGAAGGTACCACCATGTAACCCATCTGATGATAAGGAGCATGCCCTGCAGCTGATAGAATTCTGATGTACCAACTGCTCGGCCGCCTTTTCTTCTCAATGATTCTTGAAGCATTGGATGCCACCACGACGACAGAAAGCCAAGAAGTAAGGCCAGCCCAGCAGCTGAGCACAAACTCTCAGTGCAGTCTGATACGGAGCCTGTACCCCTCATGACCTGCTGTAGACACATTGAACCTGACGCGGAATCTCGTGGATCTCGGAGACCATGGCGCTCTTCCGTGGAGTTCAAGAGGGACAGCCCATCCCATAAGGTTTGGCCAGTCAAGCTTAGAAACCAGCCTATACCTCCCAGAGCAACCAGGGGACTTCCCCAGCTCGTGTCTCTGTACTGTATGCCACATCCTCTAGTCCTGTCCATCATCCTTCTTAGATGATCCGTCTTCGCTGCATACCCTGCAGCTCGTATCCTCTCCTGCACCCTCGGCTCGCATCTCTTGCATACTTGTGGGTACCGCTCTTCCAGCCCCTTCAGGTACTCATCTTCTGCTTTGACGTATTCCGCATAATCTGGCGCATCGGGAGATGGCAAGTAAGAAGCCAATGCCTGCGACACGAGATGCTGATTCTTCAAGCACGTTGGACAGAACAGGGAGTCGTCAGGTGTCTGGAACACTGCAGAAGTTTGCCGAGCAAGTGGTTGTGCGTAGCGAGCGTTGGATGAGACATCGTCTGCCGGAGGGTCTGTGATTTCGCCATTCTACAGTGTAGCACGTCAGCAAGGGTATCGTAGGGAGGGTATGTAAACAAAGGCACCTGATCCAAGTAGTTTTCGGCCTCACAATGTGCACACTGCCATCGGCGGACATTGGGCGTTCGCGTCTTAGCTGATTTGCAGCCACAGTAGAAGCATACGAGCTTCCCCCGGAATAGAAATGCCATTGAAGGTTCGATGCAAGACTGTTTGGAGGGGTTGATGATGTTCGGAGTTTAGAAAAAATTGGGCCGGAGATGTGACTCTGAATCCACGATCTTTCTCCAGATTTCTCATTCAATCAAGAGCGCGGAGACAATTGATGCAGCGGTAAGCTACAAACGGACAGGAAACATATGGCTGTAAGTGTAAAAGTCTACTCAGCATGATGTGTTGTCCATGTTTGCGGTCCCAATGTCTCAACATTCCAATTCAACACATCAGCAGTTCAATAAAACTCTCAGTATCAATGTGAATCTGACAACCTGATATCTAGTGTCAATAAGAAAGAAGATCACGAATCACATTCATTCACTCCAACCATCCGAACCTCAAGCGTGATTGAATCCACCATGCCAAAGCCACCCTCCTCCAACTTACACCTCTCCAAGCTCACTCCATAAAACTCACTCCCCATGCCATCCCTCGCCTACATCCTCGCCTCCACCCTCATCCTCCTGACCACGGCCTTCGTAAAGCCCCCCAACGCTCAACGCTCATCCTCTCAACTGACCCTGTCCCGTAGCTCCGTCTCATCTACATCCTCCCCGCCTTCCACCGCAGCCGTCCACCCCCACGCGCACGCGGGACGCCGACGCACCTTCTCATCGTTCTCGGCAGCGGCGGGCACACGGCCGAAATGCTCTCCCTCCTCACCTCGCTCGACCCGGCCCGTTACACATACAGATCCTACGTGGTCGGAAGCGGGGACGACTTCAGCGCTGGGAAAGCTCAGGGGTTCGAGCGAGGTCTTGCTGCCAAGGAGGAGGAGGAGGAGGAGGAGGAGGAGGAGGGTGAGAAGAAGAGGCGAGGGACTGTCGGCTTGACGGGTGCGGAAGGGAAAGAGATGAGGGGGATCTTGAGGAGGGCCTATAGCATCCACACCGTCCCTCGAGCTCGGCAGATACATCAATCACTTGTGACCTCGCCGCCGAGCTCGCTGAGGTGTCTTTACGCCGGTCTCATGCTACTCTACTGGCATCCCGAAGGGTATCCGGATCTCATACTCACGAATGGGCCTGCTACCTCTCTCGTTCTGATTTTGGCGGCGACGATCTTGCGCTACTTCTCTTTCCTGCCTCTCGTCGGTCCAGCCAGGCAGTCTGTGCGAGGCCAGGGCAGCGCGGGCAAAATGCGGGTGATCTATGTTGAATCCTGGGCGCGGGTCAAACGGCCAAGTTTGAGTGGAAGAATCATCGTGTGGTGCGGTCTTTGTGACCGGGTGCTGGTGCAGTGGAAAGGTTTGCAAGATAGGGGCTGGGGAGAATACAAGGGAGTACTTGTCCGATGACACCCCAGTCCCACAGGTCAGACGACAATCCAGCGAGAGATCTTGAGATCAAAGATTATTCAATTAACGTAGCTAGCTACCTAGCAAGGTCAATGACCCTAAATCTATATAAAGCCAGCCGGTCATAACAGCATCTGGCCTAGCAACCGGGAGACTGATACCTCCTTCGCTGTGTCAAGTCTTTTGATGCATTTAAACTCCAGGCATCGCTTTTGTGTCCAGTGCGACTTGAGTTGAGTTGACACTAGAGAAAGATAGACGGCGTGTAGATACGCCGTAAGGAAAGATGAAGTGAAGTCTATTGCATCCACCAAACCCTAGATAAAATCGTAATTGCGAAGATTCTGTGACACCCTTTGCGTTACAAAATCGTTGGTATCCTCCCTCACCGTGTGCGCCATCGCTGAATGTCGAATTTATCATTTCCTGTTCGTCAATATGTATAGTGGCTTCACTTTCTTCCAATTCCTGCGGGATCAGGCCATTGCCAGGCCTTCATCTTCACTATCCGAGTCTTGTTCTCCTTCGCCGTTGTAGCCTGCGTCATCCTCGTCTGCTGCTGCTCTCTCCGCTGCGGCTCTCGCAATCGATGGAGTTAGTCTGGGCGTTTCGCTTTCAGTTCCACGGTGATGCGACCCGCTCCTTCTACCGATAGTCAAGGGCGAAATGGATTTTTCAAGGACATGGGCCCGGGTCTCTTCGTCTTCTTCAAAAGGCACAGATAGGGATGAGGCCCCACTGACGACGGAAGGGACACGAGAGTGAGCCATCGATTCACCCGAACCAATCTGGTCCGAGGATGAAGAGATGACGAAGGCCGAAGTGATGTCTGCTGCTGAAGTAGGACGAAACTGAGGAAGAAAGATCTCATCGTCTGGAGAGGGTGGGCAGGCAACATCTGTACCCATGGACACTGTTGGAGGACGACTTCTGCGTTGCGCATGCTCAAAAGTCTGGCGGCGGTAATTCTGCTCTTGTGCACGCCGAAACGCTTCACTTGGTGAATCCTGCAGCACAGGGTGTGCGTCGGGTCCTTCACGAAGAGCCGGGGGCTGGTCCACATGCCCGGCAGCAATGGCCGACGAGAGAGCAAGGCTTGGTGATGCATGAAAGTCTTCAGTGCTGTCACCTATAGAGGATGAGCGACTTGATCGAGAGGGACTCTGGCGTCTAACACCTCGCTCTCTAGTTCGCATACTGTCCACGAATCGTCGTCCTGCCCCCGAAAACACGTTGCTAAGACTTGATGACGAGTTTGACGTGGGGTCAACAACAGTGGTGGTCGCTGACGAGAAGTCTTCATTCGGTGATGAAGTGTTTGGCGATGAGGCTTCTCTTAAAAGGGCAGGCACAGGAGCACGTATAGTCTTCATGGAATCAGCGGTGGATAGCGTGCGGTCAGTGAGCACTGGTCGGTTGGCTTGCGGATCACTTGCAGGCCTCACAGCGTTTCCACTGTCGTCAAAACAGGAGTGATTGTCCTTCAATTCGGGGCTGGCTGCGACACTCTGCGCAAGTGGATGCTCTGAGGTCTCTCTCGATGCGCGTAGTGCAGGTAGAATCTGCTCGTCTCCCCTCAAACTAGGCCTCCTCTCATCTTTGACACTCTGGGAATTCCTGGTAGCACCCGTTGAGCCTGCGCCATCAGGAGCTTTTGTATTGCTGTTAGTCCTCTTGCGATGTTGAGAGCCACGGCCTCGTAAGACAGAGCCGACTCTCTGGAATCCCGCTTTGACGCGGTCAAAAACAGTAAGTGGCGTGACGGAATCCTGGACTTCTTGCGTGGAGACTTCAATCTTCTTGCCTTCGCTTTGCAGTGATGGATCAGTCTCGTCGATCCAGAGAGTTCGATCTGTAATGCCTTGAAGCACCCAGGGATGATGTTTAACCTCTTTCAGGGTGATGCGTTTAGAAGGCTTCTTCTCGAGCAGGCGCTTCAACAAATCGCGAAGCTCATCATTGACAGCTTCGTACTCGAGGATATCATCGAATCTCTTTCTACGATCCGTGACCGTTCCGAATGCTTTGCTCGCGATCTCATGAGAAACACCTTTGAGGCGCATTCGAGGAATGAAGACCTCGTTACGCGCTATCTTCTCGTACATTAAAAACTGGTTGCCGTCGAAGAAAGGAAGTCGTCCGAAGACCATTGCATAAAGTGTAACTCCAAGAGCCCAAACGTCAATCTGACCAGTGATTGCTGGACGATCAGAGTCCCCACCGACTTCGAAATAATGAGGGTCGCAAAGCTCTGGGGCATAGAAAGCTGGAGTGCCCACCGTTTTCGCAAGCTCGATGGCTTCATCGTGTACCTCCGCGTCAGCTTCAGCAATCTCTTCGTTGTTGTCATCTTCTCTAATTGGCTTGCCGAGGTAGGATACTCCAAAGTCAGAGATTTTGACACGAAAGCCCGTTGTCCACAACAGGTTAGCAGGCTTTATGTCACGATGAATGATGCCTTGATAGTGCAAGTATTCCAGCCCAAGGACGGTATCACGGAATGCATCCAGAGCTTGGGCCAACGTAAGGCATGGCACGTAGCGGAAATTTTCATCGATTCCATTCCAATCCTGTTGTCCGAGGATGATCTTGTTTAGCAAGGACTGCAACTCGACATCTTTAGCGGTTTCTTTGACCTCTAGTCCTGACGTCGGACCTCCATACTGTGCCGGCGTCTCCGGGCGAGAGGATGATGCGCTCGCGGGCGTGCTGGTTGTGTCTAGTGAGTATGAGACTGGCTTCGGGGTGTGGATTGGCGTCTCACTCTGAGGCAAACCCTCTGTCGAGTCTACCGGCATTGGCTCGTTTGTCGGCTGCTTTTTACCTTGGATCTGAGCTGCAAATTGGCCTATAGGTTCTGCACCGGCCTCATCTTCGGATGCGCCACCATACTCAAGAGAGAAGTAAGGATCGAAGCCGGGGTTTCGTGCTTCGCGGTGGGCACCTCCGCAACCAGAGCGTTCTTTATCCCTGCGTTCCTGATCTGCGAGCCGTTGGGCTTTCTCATGTCGTCTTGACGGTGCCAACCGGTTGAACTCCTCAATAGCCGCTCTCTCGTGGTCGTCGCTGAGGCCATTTGCCAACTCGCGTTCGCAACGCTCCATCTCAAATAGCGCAACATCCTTGTCAGTTGGTTTACGCCAAACAATCTCTCCTCGCTCGACATATTCGAGGGCCAGGTAAACTTTGCCCCATTCGTCATCATCAATGACTTCAAGCAAGCTGACAACATTCGGATGTCGAGCTTTTTTGAGAATGGCGACTTCTTTCTTTATCATGTCGTTCGGATCTCCTGATCGGCCCAGTCGCAACTTCTTCGAAAAGCGCCGCACAATCTTGACGGCGCACAAGGTATCCGTGACCAAGTCTCGGGCAAGCTTCACGGTACCATGGTTACCGCTTCCAAGCTTCTCCAGTAGTTCATAGTGATTGATGGTCTTTCTGCCAGATATAGGATCAATATCTTTCAGCAATTTATGTGTTCTGCGGCATGTTAGCAAGATTATGTAAGAACTCAGACCCTGTTTTGGACGAGCTATGAATCATGGTAATCCTTACTCTTTGGGCGCCTGTAAATGGGCGGGATGGAGCATAGGAGTGCCTGAACGCGTCTCGTCGGACTCACCCGTCCAGTGCTTCTTCGACAACATGGGCGTGAATAATCCAGGACTCTGTGCTGGCGTGTTGCCAGCTGTCTTTGCTCCTGAAGGAATTTGTGGGTAGCCCCGCGCAGGTTTCTCATCGCTCGAGGAAAAGGACAGATTCTGGGCAGGATGAGAGCTTCGAGTGCGTAGATGCTGAGGTTCGCTTGGTTGGTAGGGCGGAGGATAATGTTGATTCTGCAGAGCCTTGAATGATTGATCTGGGTAATTGGGATAGTCCGGTCCATCTCGGCGCCGGGACAAAGTTTTACTTTGAAAGTTGGGAACAGAAACAGGTCTGTTACTTTCAGGATTGAATGAAGGCATGTAATCCTTCCATGCACTTACACGACTATCAGGAGAGACCGGTGTGGAAGAACTGTCAAGTTGACTATTCGAGGAACCACTCAGTCCAGTTGACGATACATTGGACGAGGATGGTGTTCGAGAGATATCGGCAACAAACGAGTCTTGCGGAACGTTTTGAGTGAAATAGTCTGGGTGTCCGGATATTATGACATCTTCCTCTCCGTTCCCTTGGCATTGTTGCTGATGTTCATTTTTCTCAGGTTGAGACAGCCTTGACACCAGGGATTCAATTACCAATGGCGGATGCTCCAGCTTTGGCGTCTGCATATGATCTTCTTCCATCGCTGGCGAATCCATTTTCATGTGCACTAGATCAATTCGTTTCAAGTGCGGTGCCTCAAACACTTGATCATAGGGTTGGAAAGTGACGTTATTGGACCCGACGACATCCAAACACAACGGATCTGTTGACAATGGAGGTGTTGTGGGCAATTTCCCTCCAACTGACACTTCCTGGCCTGCATGTTCCCCGACCCTTTCCTCCGTATCTGTAGTAGCCATTCTGCTCTCTTGGGTTACTTTGCTTTCCCACTCGATCAGAAAGTTCAAGTCCTGGATCAAAATAATATGTAGCCTTCTGATACCAACTAGATGTTATCGAGGTCGGAAGAAATTCATGCCCCTTCTGCAGGTCATTGTGTCCCAGAAAGCTGCCAGCCGTTGTGTGTTTGCCGAGGCGGATGCTGAAGAAGGTGTCCTGGAAGGACTGAATCTTTGGGCTCCCGTGAAAGGGTGGCAGTGGAAGGTCTCTGGGGTATTCCAAAAAACTCGGACGTCTGAATATTTCTCCCACAAGGTTTCGCGACGGGTAGATGTGTCAAGGAATGGTCAGGGAGTGTATTGGCGTTGGCGCGTTAAATATCGTGAGCCGGCATATCTAATCAGGCTTCAGCACTGTCTTACGAGGACTCGAGATAGCTGGAAGGATAGAGTGAAAGCCCACAGTGATGAAAGAATATGGATTGAACAGTAAGGAAGAGAACAGGAGTGCTGGTTGGTGTGTTCTCAGAACAATGGACAATGGACAAGCTTTTCGCACCCCACTCTTTTTTAGTGACGTCGAAGGATGTTCGATGAACCGCTTTATGTTAAAGACGAAGGGTAAAAGGGGGAAACAACGGTAGAGACAAAGGAATGAAAGAGCGTTGAGATCAGTTTGGAGCAGAGAAGAATTGTTGAACAGCTTGAGAAAGCAATTGGGGGGGGAAAAAAGAGGCAGAGACAGTAGTACATTAGTTAGTGTTAGTAGACCTGGAGAGTAGAAAAAAAGGTCAAATTCTTTCAAGCCTAAGGCCGCCCCGCAAATAAGCCAAAGCTACGAAAGGCGGCGAGCGGAAAGGGAAGTAAAAAATGGGCTTTAGCGTCCACCTTGTGTCACCTTGAGGCTTGCTCAAGACCCCGAAAGCTCTGAAAGGTGCTAGCTCAGCGTTGAATCAAATTTCCGTCGGCCTTGTCATTGGCTATCATCCCTACAATCAAGGGAAGGGATTTCTAAGCCTAAGTCGAGGAACCCATGTTGTTGCACTATCTCTGAGTCTGCGGTGATCCCACTAAGTATGGATGCATATCATTCTGGCACCAACCGCTATCAAGGCTAGCCGGCTGAACGCCTATCATTCAATCGCGAATAATGCAAATTATGCAGGCTGTCTTTCTGGCAGAGCTTGGCAGAGCTTGGCTCATCTTCGATGAGCGTTTCCTTGCAATTGACCTACCGATCTTGTTCACCGGACATGCAGGGTAAACACTCGGATTCTCGCCTCAACACCTGCCATCATGCAAATCAACGTCTGAGCTAAGCGACAAGGTCTTGAACGAGAATATTTGGTAACAGTCGAAACAGTGGAGGCAGGAAGAAAGCAACGGCAGGCGTGATGACTAGATACGCATTTCCCCATGCCACACTGAGACGCTTTGGCATCCAAGATTTGCATACATGCATCATCTAAAGCCTCCCTTCCAGCCAATCATACCATTCCAACTCGCTTCCCCAGCTTTCCCGTCCTGAACTAACAGCTTTCTCCGGACCCATCAGCATGTTGGCTAGACTCTCCCCCCTTCCCTTTCCCCTTTGCACCATCGACAGATCGCTCGCCTCGCCACGCTTGTCCAGTTACGAGGAGTCGGCATGAGCCGGGTGGTGCGCTAACTCTACGGCAGAATTGTTGATGCATATGCAGTCGTCTCGGGGTGGAGGAGTACATTATGCAACAAGCCCGAATCGTCTGTCCAACCCCGCCAGCAATGCCACCACTGCAGTTGAGGCATTATCGGTCGAATAATACCTTTTTGGGTGGAGATTTCTTTCCACACCTCTGGCTCATCAGGCTTTCCTCTCATTAGTGTCATGATAAATGAATCAATCCAGAGCTGGGGTCGCAAAGGGGTCCTACGTGGCGTGCGTAAAAAGGGGCCTCAAATACACTAGCGAAAGTTGTGGTCAAGCTGCGCGCTGGGAGGTGCATACGCCTCAAACGACTTTCTTACAAAGGGATTTCCCTCGAAGCCAATCTGAAGGATGTAGCAGTCCATGAATCATGGCTAAGTTCAGATGATCGCTTCGTTGTCCTAAGCGAGTCGTTCTTCTTACGAGTCTTTTCAATGCACCAAATGAACTCAAGTGCTCACATTACAATTCAGTTCAATCGGAACTACTGCCGGAGAATTGATCGGAGGATAGTCTAACAAAAGTAGGCAGTTCTACGAAACCTCCGACTTGCATACCTACATGCCCATGCACTCCCATCTACATACATACATACGCCTCACGACTGCAACATCCGGAGCGCCGCCATGGAAGAAGGATCCTCACACCCTCTTCTAGGCTTTGGAGCACTTGTCTTATCTCCCTTTTAAGCAAACCGTGTCACTCCTTGCGAAGATCAAAGATTCCCTTCCTTCGCGGCTGCTCGCACAGACTGATTCAGGTTGAGCCAGGCTCTTGGAGGCGTGTGCACGTCGTTAACAAGACTGATGCATCGATGGACACGCCTTCTTCGTTGCCACTATCTACAAATAGTATGCGTTTTACGTAATCGAAACGTCAAGAAAGTTCACCTGATCTTTATGTCACATTGTCAAGATACAGCAGACCCGTGTCGTCGTATTTCTGGACCATGGGTCATGTGTCTGTTCGTGCGTTGAGTCGTAATGTAGAACACTCTTGGAGCAGCGCCTAGTGCTCTAACACGGCACTGCTCGGGCACGTATTCTGGTTTTTAGTACCATCTTCTCGGGGGTTGAAACTCATCAATTCGATACTGTATTGGCTCATTCTCCCAGTATCCAACCTCCGAACGTTCGAAAAGCGGCCGGCCTCGTCATCGCAGAGTAATGGCATGACTGGGTGGGTAAAGCCCTTCCTCCATCTCATATTATGCCTGGTATGATAGCCTTCCTGCTTCCTATCTTCTCCTTTCCAAATCTCTCGATATACCACTGTTTGCCATCGAGGGCCCTCGGCAGCATGGTGGCCACCTCATTGATTAAAAACGTCCTCGCTGGCACACAGGCCATTCCCCCAATCATCCAGAATCCACCCCACTCAATCCATTCACATAGATAATGCGGAAACAACACCAAACGAAAGAGGCCATTCTCAGGGACCATGTACACCTTCTCGACACCTTTCCCGTCACCCTTCTCGCCCCGAGCCTTCTGCTTTCTCTCCTGATTCCGCGCTGCAGCCCTCCTGATCTCGCGCAACTCATCGTCGTGATACATGTTGCCCAGGAGACCAACTGCAAAGATCATTAGGCCGAGTTCAAGTCTCATTGCAGCACCGGTCCATTCGTCCTGTGTCGTGGGGCCGTATCCGCCGAGCCAGCCTCCAATGCACGTGGCATTAATCAGTTGGAAACTAAGCGCCGAAGCCCAGACTGAAATGTGGATAGGTGACATTGAGGGATTCAGAAACAGTGGGGAGATGAGGGCGCGGTAGATGTAGTGAATCGCCTTAGGAACGCAAGGAGTAAGCAACACATCAAACACACAGTATCAATGTCTTCAAGGCAGCGAGGGGGTACTCACAAATAAACTAGCCATAGTCCAATTGGTGAATGGAAGACTCTCAATCCCCTCCTGCTTCGGCAGAGCGTACATCAAGTACAAAAGCGTGATGAAGCCAGGCGCCTCCATAGTGGCCCACCCAATCTTGCCGGGGACATTGAAGGAAGATGCGGTCGAGGTCTTGCCCATGGGATAGTACTTGACGAGCCATTGGAACAAGGTGAACTGCGTAGCTTGGATTAGTGAAAGACATTTGATCTTTGCGGATGGCATAACGTACGATCGGGAAGAACTGCCAGAGGAATGTGACGAGCTCCCAATGCTCGCGGGAGGGCGGACACCAAGTTGGGATGATAATGATCGGCATGGTTATTACTGTCGATTCTTTTGTTTCATACCAGCCGTGTACGCGAAGAGACTAAAAATTGTGTAGGGAGCCAATGAAGTAGCAGTGGCTTGAGGACTAATAGTTTGAAAAGGCATGAAGGATGCGATGAATCCATCATCACCTCAGCTGGTGTCAGCAATATCCCTGCAAAGGCGATAACAGATTAGGGTTAGAATAACCGGCTGATCCTCTTCGAGTCCGAAGCGAATGAAAAGGCCGAGGAAGCACGAAATTTGTGGGGCGCTAACAAACAGACACATAGCCTCACTCGGTCTCAACTTCACACATCTCGCCGAATCTCACCTCGAATCTCTCATCTCTCGTCTCTCAACTTTCACCTCTCACACCTTCTTATTACAAACAGTTTTCCTTTATCTCTTCATCACCATTCTGATAACCATTCTAATTCAATCTTCACTCTACATTCCCTCTTCCAATCCTTCAAACCTCGTCTGCTCCATTTCAAGTTGTTTCGAAAGCTGACCGCCAAAATGGTTCAATCGTAAGCAAAGATCCACCCTTTGTACTCGGAGATACCTGCTCAAGATCTGTTCAGCTCCGTTCTTGGATTCCCTCGCATGGGAGTCAATCGAGACCTCAAGAAAGCCACAGAGTCATATTGGGGTGGTAAGATATCACAAAAAGAGCTTCTCGCCGAAGGAAAGCGTCTCCGTGGAGAGCACTGGAAGATACAGAAAGAGGCCGGCATCAACATCATTCCCAGCAATGACTTCTCATTCTACGACCATGTCTTGGACCACATCCAGCTATTCGGGGTGAGTTGGCATCGTCTGTGCGCAGTGTGCGTGAATGGGGTTTGGTGGCTAATTGGAGTCGCAGGCCATACCCGAAAAGTACTCTAAACACAATCTGGACCCAATCGATGAGTTCTTCGCTATGGGTAGAGGCCTGCAGAGCCCTCATACACCCGAAGCTGCCGCAGTCGATGTTCCCAGTTTGGTCCGTTGAGTTCTATCCTGATCACGATTCTAGAAACTTGCTTACAGTCGTACAGGAGATGGTAAAATGGTTCGACTCGAATTATCATTACGTCAAGCCCACATTCCAAGATGGACAAAACTTCAAGCTTTCATCAAACCCCAAGCCTGTAGCGGAGTTTCTTGAGGCCAAAGAAGCAGGCATCATCACACGTCCTGTCCTCGTTGGCCCTGTGACATTCCTTGCCCTTGGCAAAGCAGACCGCGACCAGAACGTTGTACCAATCAGTCTACTACACAAGCTACTCCCACTCTACGAGGAGATATTGGTCAAGCTGAAAGAAGCTGGTGCTGAATCGGTCCAAATCGATGAGCCCTGCCTTGTCCTCGACTTGCCTCCAAAGGTAAGGAATGCTTTCAAGCCAGCTTATGACAAATTGTCAAGCCTTGGCGGCAAGATCCCAGAACTAGTGGTTGCTACCTACTTTGGCGACATTGTTCACAACTACGATGTCCTCCCATCATTCTCTAGTCTGCATGGCCTTCACATTGACCTTGCTCGAAACCCAGAACAGCTCGAGACTGTCATCGGCGCTCTTGGCGAAAAGCAGGTACTGTCTGTCGGAGTGGTTGATGGTCGTAACATTTGGAAAGCCAACTTCAAGAAAGCTATTGAGACCGTTGAGACGGTAGTGCAGAAGCTTGGCAAAGATCGTGTCATCGTCGCCAGCTCGAGTTCATTGCTCCATACACCCCATACTCTTGCGAGTGAGAAGAAGTTGGATGAGGATGTCAAAGACTGGTTTAGCTTTGCAGTCGAGAAGACTAAGGAGCTGGCCATCATTGCAAAGGCCGTGACTGATGGTCCTGCCAGCGTACGCGAGGAACTGGAAGCCAATGCCAAATCCATGGAAGCCAAAGCGACCTCAAAGCGTACGAACGACCCCAAGGTCAAGGAACGCCAGTCAAGAATCACCGAAGAGATGTTCAACCGAAAGTCACCATTCCCAATACGCATTGCCCAGCAGCAGGAGAAGCTCAACCTTCCCCTGTTCCCTACTACCACGATTGGCTCCTTCCCTCAAACCAAGGAGATCCGAATCCAAAGGAACAAGTTGACCAAAAGCGAGATCTCCGAGGAGGAGTATGAGAAATTTATCGAGAGGGAGATAGAAGATGTCGTGAAGATCCAAGAAGAGCTTGGCCTCGACGTCTACGTGCACGGTGAGCCAGAGCGCAATGATATGGTCCAATACTTCGGCGAACGTCTTACTGGATACGTCTTCACCACCCACGGTTGGGTGCAGAGCTACGGCTCTCGCTGCGTACGGCCTCCGATCATCGTTGGCGATATATCCCGTCCTGCGCCTATGACCGTTAAAGAGTCGAAATATGCGGCCTCCATCTCAAAGAAACCCATGAAGGGCATGCTCACTGGCCCTATCACCTGTCTGAGATGGTCATACCCTCGCAACGATATCCATCAGTCAGTACAAGCCGAGCAATTGGCTCTTGCCCTGCGTGATGAAGTGGTTGACCTCGAATCTGCTGGAGTCTACGTCATCCAGGTCGATGAGCCTGCCCTTCGTGAGGGTCTGCCTCTCCGCCAAGGTCTGGAGCGTGATAATTACCTCTCATGGGCCGTCAAGTCCTTCCGCCTCTCCGTCGCTGGAGTGCAAGATTCCACCCAGATCCACTCCCACTTCTGCTATTCCGAGTTTCAAGACTTTTTCAAAGCCATTGCAGACTTGGACGCAGATGTGCTCAGTATCGAAAACAGCAAGAGCGATGCAAAGCTCTTAAAAGTGTTCGTCGACGAAGCCTACCCCAGGCACATTGGCCCTGGTGTGTACGACATTCACTCTCCTCGTATCCCCAGCGAAGATGAGATCAAGGATAGGATCGAGGAAATGCTCCAATACCTTAAGCCAGATCAACTCTGGGTTGACCCTGATTGCGGTCTGAAGACCCGTCAATGGAAGGAGACCAAAGCTGCTTTGACCAACATGGTCAACGCTGCCAAGTTCTACCGGCAGAAGTATTCAAAGTCCTCTTAGGGCTTGATGCGTTATGACTAAATGTTCAACAACATGACTCGATGAATTTATTGCGGTTGTCTTAATGACCCTGATCTCAACGATCACAAAATTGGCGTTGCTCGCTGGCGACCTTCAAAAAGCGATATAGACCTGCAGCTTTCAACATGGCATAGCGGATCTACATTTTTTGATACCTTCTCAACCGGGTATCTTGCGGTAAAAAAAACAATGCGGTCTTTGGAGCCGCTTTCAACCTGGCATAGCGGATGTACATTTTGATACCCTCTCAACCAGGTGTCGTAACAAACAGTGCGGTCTTCAGAACTGCAACTAGATAATCACAATTGAAGTGACATTTATGGAACCCAAATGTTTTCATTTCTTCCGTCAGACCTCTAACCGGGATGAAGGGGTTTCGATGTTCCCTCGGTATCAAGAGTTGCGACTTCCGTTATTCTGTGTATTCCTGGTCCAGTACCATGATCCTAATTCTTCCGGAAAGAAGAAGGAGCAGAGACACGGCAACCAGGAATTCTTTCTGCGACTCACTCCTTTTCTTCTATCAGACACGAAATCAGCATTGCAAGCCAATCCATATCAGCATTGACTATATTGCAAAGCCTTACAGTAATAATTTTGAAAGTTTCTTCATCACTGCTATATTCCCCTCTCTCTGTATCACTGCCGCTCACATCCATCCATGGCCCCTTTCAATTGTTGTAGCTTCCGGCGGGCCGTATCCCCAGAGCCTCAACCGGCCGTACTGACTGACATCTCGCGGACAGGAGAAAGATTCGCCTTATCAAGTCATACTCCGTCGCGAGCCGCGAGTCACGAGAATGTCTCAAATGCTCAACCCATTGCCGAAAGTCTTGCTTCAGCTACCAAAAACGACGTTGCCCATGAATTTTCCACAGCATCGGGAAATGACATGGCTCCAGCACATGAGACGGAATCAGGTGTTCATCGTAGGGGTAGTAATCGCCGGCTTCACGACGTTGCAAGCAAGGTTCGAAAAAGGATGTCACGCGATTCTGGCATGTCCAAGCGGAGTTCAAAGACGAGGCTGAATAGCAGCCTCAGCGAAGATGGATATCAACGGCGGGAAGAGCTGAAGCGTGCTCTTCATCAAAGGGTGCAAGAGGATATCGATGAAGGCAGCAAGATCAGTGACGGTAGCTACGATGAAGATGCAGTGCCGATCAAGACTCCTAAAGGCACTTGGGGTCGACATGAAGGCTCTATTCAAATCAGTCCAAAACACCTCAGCCACGCCATTAGAAGGTCAGAGTCTCCGTCAGCATATGCCGAGCTGGACCCGCGAACTCTGTCTCAAGTCTATGCGCCCAAGAACACCGCTGTGGCCCTTTCTCGAATGTTGGTCCAGAGAGGCAGCAACCTGGCAAGGGAGTCCGAGGAACAGGCCGTCGACTCAAAAGTCGAGAACGCCCGGAGAGCAAGTATTACGCAGAAGTACAACTTTCGTGACGACGATAGTCCCATACGAGTGCTAAAGACTCGATCACATTCACCCCTAGGTCGGTCGAATACTATCTTACATGTGCCATCTTCAACCAAGGCTTTGCAGATTGACGTGGCGAATCCCGAGTTCTTGAACACGCCTGGAGTATCATCAGCGCCAGATCTGCCGCCAATGTATCTCAAGACAGTCCGCGACTCAGCGGCCGGAGGAGACTGGCGGCTTTCGTTTGCCGATATTCGCCAAGGTGCTTCGTCAAACGAAGCGAACGAGACACACAGAAGCACCTTAGGTTCTGCGAGACTTCCAGGAGTCTACGACACCAGGATACGACCGGCTAGCGAGCAATTGCTTCACGGGACCTCAGGGCTATGGGGGCATCCAGTCCATTCCAAGCACAGCAATACCCACTCCACTACCGACACCCACTCCAGCTCCCCAAATGGACATTGTTGCAGCCCTGGTAGCGAGGAGATGTCGTTCGGGGGTACGGATGGAAAAGGTTACAGCCCACCAACGTCTGAAGAAGCTGGATCTCTCGCCAGACAAAGGGGTCGCTCAGAAGGAAGTGACCCTGTCCATCTCTTCAACATGCACATACCTCAACGCCTGGCATCTAGGCCTCTGCTGCCTTCCGTCTCTTTACCTCAATTGGAGCATCCCAGGCGGGATCGGAGTTATACGAGTGGCAGTAGCTCACGAATGTTTTCTGTTATACCTCGAAGTCAAGTATCGAGCTCGGCGTCCAGCGGTGGTAAGCAATTCAAGACTCCAGCAACTCACCCCACGTCTTCCTCGGTCTACAGTTCGGGAAGTTTGCCCCCCAGCCCACCAGACTCAAGACTGCATTTCCACAGCCTCTCGGACAGGTTGTATCCACTCGAGGTGTTCCACCCCAGCGAAGAAATCATAAGTGTTCCTGCATCGAGGCCCAAATCAGTCGATCTGGACAACCTTGAACGACGCACGGTAGAGACAAGCTATCACTCGAGCAATGAAAGCCTGATGAACCGCGAGCTTGCGGCAGCCGAGACACGCATCTCCCCAATGCCGAGGGCAAACACACTACCCAAAAACAGTCGGTTTAGGGAGGACTTGGAGCGGATCTCTGCCGAGTTGGCCCTCACAAACCCTCCACGACGCCGAGTCAGCAACCTTGATGGTGCTAGATCTCCTACTAAAGAAGATGCCACATCTATATGGGAGAGGGCGCTTCGGGAACATTCGCAGGAAGACAAAGCTATTTCGCAGACCAGGATTGGAAGTACGTCCCCAGATTCGGTCGAGCCAAGACAGCTTGACCCCAAGACAGTCGCCTCAATTGAACAAAAGGCTCGGGAACGTTCATCCTTTCTGCGTACAAAGGACCGCCGAGTACCCGAACCATTGGAAGGAGCGCATCTACAAGCACATTTGGGCGCATACGCTCTGCCTCCACGGAGAGCAAATACTCGCAAAAGGCCCACGCGCGAAGGTATTAAGAAATCTCCCACTACGATTCGAGCATCATCGTGGGCACGCTACCCATCCCACACTCGCCCTGAGCGGTCTACATCTCCGGCTGGAGAATCAGACCAAGTGTATTCCCGTGACTTCGCCATTACCCCGCCAGGCACTGAGCCTAAAGTCTCTTCAGAACACGGATCCTCTCCCTTGAGCAACGGCAAGAAATGGAAGACAAACCGTATGACTTTCGGCAAACAATTACTTTCGACCATAAGCAACCTCTACAAAAGCCAGAGCCAGGAGTTGCAGAGACGCCTTGCCGATGAGGCTCGTGGCAACCGCTCGAGTATTTCCGAGGGTGGTGGGTTGGAGTATCCCGAATTAGAAATGCTGGGTAGTATCTCGCCACCAATGCCGTCGCCCGATATTACCACAAAGCTCCAGTTGGAAGATCACGTCAGAAAGGCAAGTGAGCCGCCGAGCGACACGCAGACGGGCGGTCCTCAGTCAGGCCAAGTATCGAGAAAACAGTCGCAGGACTGGGCGAGGGAATACCAGGATTGTATCCAGCCTCAATCGGGACGACCAATTGAGCTTTACATCCACCCCGAAAGCCCACCTTTTAATCCAAGGGACTATGACACTAAATGGCCAACGGAGTTTTCTGACGAAGCCTTGGAAGAAGCGTCTGTTCCACCCCGCAGGGCCAGTGGAACCATTGGTCCCAATGATACGCCGGCTGAGGGATCGGGCTCTCCTGATGTGAAAGCTGGTACGCTGGACGAGTGGAAAGCGAGGGAAAGGATCAGGTTGCTAGGCCTTGAGACCGGAAGGGGCGTCCGGGAATAGGAGCCGGATGAGTCGGTCCAACGTGAGGGAGGTGTCGTTCTAAAGTTTCCGGGCATTCTCCGTCGTTGAATCACTTCCCCGTCGTTGAATCACTTCTCACCAGCGTCAGTAGCTGTATCTTGTATCTTGTATCGTCAAGCGCATAGCATATTTCGATAGGATCATAAATGGATTCATCGTTTCAGTGGAAGCATACTTCGATAGGATCATGAATGGATTCTCATTTCAGTGGAAGCATACAGGTACTTCGATAGCATCATGAATAGATCGTTTCAGTGGAAGCATACTTGGATAGGATCATGAATGGATTCATCGTTTCATTGGAAGCATACTTCGATAGGATCATAAATGGATTCATCGTTTCAGTGGAAGCATACTTCGATAGGATCATGAATGGATTCTCATTTCAGTGGAAGCATACTTCGATAGCATTAGAATGGATTTATTATTTCATTGAAACATACTTGAATAGGATCATGAATGGATTTATCGTTTCAGTGGAAGCATACTTCGATAGGATCATGAATGGATTCTCATTTCAGTGGAAGCATACAGGTACTTCGATAGCATCATGAATAAATTCATCATTTCAGTGGAAGCATACTTCGATAACATCATGAATGGATTCATCATTTCATTGGAAGCATACTTCGACAGGATTATGAATTTATCGTTTGTGGAAGTATACTCGATAGCATCATGAATGGGTTTATTGTTTCAGTGGAAGCATACTTCGATAACATCATGAATGGATTCATCATTTCATCCGAAGCATACCGCGACGCTGTACGGATTGGAAATATCCGAGTCGGATACCTGCAGAGTGGACTTTGTCCGCCGGGGAAATGAAAGTGTGGGAATTGAGATACTCGTGCGTTCCAGAAGTGAGCTACCTGACAGAGCGAGGACACTAATGAATCTTTTTCCTTACAACAGTGGGATGTCGCTTGATCTAAGATTATTGGTGTCCTCGCTCTATTAATAAGTAGCTCACTTCTGGAATGCACGAGATACATTCATTTATTATTGTCCGAAACATGAATGATGCCCTCGATGGACACGAGGGTTTTTCCCCATTCCCATGTGGGGGTATCGGATCGAGTGCGTTCTTCTTCTCCTCCACCAGATGGTTAATGAGATAGAGAAGAAAAAAGAAAAAAAAGGGGGGGGGGGAGGTGTTCAGCTATTCGGATCCTGCAAAGTTGTGATTGAGACGTATCGAAGGGCTGACGATTTGATTTTTAGATTTGATTTTGGGGGAAGAATGGGTTCGACTGATATATTTCTATGCGGACAGGCATGGAACATGAATAGCGTTTGGGGGTATCAAATACGCAGTCCGATCGAAACAGATTCCAAAAAGTGCAAAGCCTTTCAAAAGAAGCAAGCAAGCAAGCAAAGCAATATGTACATGCTCGTCTCGTTGTCCATTACCGCTCTAGTGTGATATTCGACATGTGCATTCGCCAACCCTTTATTTCAAACCATCTGGTCCTACTTCCATTTCACAGATTGCTCAATATCCTCTCGAGCTCCGCTTTCCTCGCGGGACGACCTGCTCCGTGGCTTTGGTCGTCATCATCGCCCTTGAACCACGACTTCCTCTTCTCCGCCGCATCTGTATGAGCAGTACTCCGTGGTGCGCTTGTTCGTGCGTTTAACCCAGGTCTCACCCTCGGCTCAAGTCCAGACCTCAAACCCTTATCTTGCATCTTTCGCATCGGTGGAAATTGACCCCTGTATCCGGGGAAGAGCAATGGAATGGAGGGAGCGGCAGTTCTCGAGACGGACACTGGGATTGGCGGTTTGCCTTGTGTAGCTTCAGAGTAAAGAACGGCTTTGGGAGCGGGCGTTGATCGTAGGAATGAAAGTAGTGACATTCTGCTTTCTTTTTTGGGCATTCTAGCTTGGTATGATTCAGCAATGGCGTGGGATATGCGTCTGTTCAAGCTGATGGGTGGAGGAGCCGCGGAGTCGAAGGACGAGGCACGAGATGAGACCCGTCTATCACGCGAGACTTGTTTTTCAAGTCCTGGTTGACTGGCGCGAAAGGAGGCTGGCCCGGCATCGTGGTTTTCGTAGCGAGGTGAGACTGGGGTTTCGAGTCCTAACTGAGTGGCACGAAAAATGGCCGGGCCGGCGTTGTGGTCCTCGTAAGGTAAGACATTAAAGTCAATCTCTGAAGGTAGAGACTCAAGATCTGCGTCCTCGAAGTATTCCCTGTCTCTAGACTGGCTGAACGACACCCGCCGGGGAGATGTCATTGTCTCACTAAAATTAGAGAAAGACACAGATTGGGGAGACATGGCTGCGTTGATCGAAAATCTCCGTGGAGAAAACGTTGGAGAATGCAAAGCCGTGCCTTCTCTCGAGTTGGTCGGGGAATCCATAGCTGAAGAGGTTTTCGGTCTTGGAGGCTCCGAAGGGAGGTAAACAACCGACGAATTGGTCGATCGTAAAATGGATCGCTGTCGTGGAGGGCTGCGCCTTGCGCTACGTTGTGGGATTGGTGGAGGTCTTGTCCTTTGGAGTTCTTCCGCCCGTTGTGTCAGCGAGAAGCTTTTGCTCGAGTCCGGCGTCGCCGGGGGGGAAGGTGGGCGTTCAGGAGGAAATCCATGGGTTTGAATCAAGACGTTGTCGTAAGCGCCTTCGCTGGTGGGTAGTAGTATTCTGTGCTGCGAAGCAAATGTACCTGGAAGCGCTGAGGGCCGATCCCGGCGTGATCGAGGGCTATGCTCGAGCGACGTGCTCCTGGGAGTATATCTTTGAGCGTTTGCTGAGTTCGTTTGACGTGAATTCAATCTCCCCGTGTATGATGATGACAGTTGAGGTGAATAGATCTGCGAATCAATCGAAGGATCCCGAGTGTGCTCCGACTCTTGGATGAATTGTTCCAAAGATAGCTGCTGGGTGCTCAGAGAACGGCGAGGTTGGCGCTCTTGTGCAGTGTTCGGATCAATGGATTGTCTCCGGCTGTGCTGTGTATCCTTGATACACTGATTCAGAGATAATTGCCGAGGGCCCAAAAGAGGTGGATTTTGGCGATCTCTTGCATTTTGTGAATCAATCGACTGTCTCCGGCCGTGGACTAATCCCTGCATAATCTGGGGTCGACGCCCAGAAGAGGAGTGCTGCGTCCCCCAAGAGGGGCGACGTTGGTGGTCTGATGTTAGAGAAGACGACTGCAATCGCTGTATATCCAATGAAAGACGATCCTGGTCATCCTGGGATGGAGTAAGCAAGGCGGAGCGGGCTTTCACGGAGGAACCACCTCGACGGTCTTCTGTCGCAGCAGGAGTTGACTGTGAGCCCTGCGTTGCTATGGAGAAGTAATCTTGGATTTCTCGAGCAGAGGGAAACAAAGGCGAATTCTGCGTCCCAAAAGGAGAATGGGCTTGGCGACTTTGTAAGAGCGTGGGCGAAGCTAGGGCCTGAGTCTTCTGTGCGAAGTTTTGTCGGCGGTCTCGTGTTGGAGAAGGCAAATAGGCACGCTGAGTCTCCGATGGAAAGCGCCCTTGGCGGTCTTCTGTGAATATAGGAGGTGGGGAAGTCTCCGGGGACCCCATCGAGAATACATGCTGGCGCTCTTCTGTGAATGATGGAGGCGTGGGATAGGACTCATGTGTCTCTACAGAGATTAGGTCTTGGCGTTCCCGTGTGGGTGGAGGCGGTATGGTGGCCTCGGGAGCATATATCTGTGTTTCGACAGAGGAGCTTTTGTGGTGCAAAGATGGCCTAGGGTTTCCAGGACGAAGGGGAAAAGGAGTCCCTAGACGAAGCCGCTCTAGGGATGAAGACTCGGGATTGGGACGGTGTGGAGAGGATAGTTCGTAATGTGCATGCTCTGAAAGCGTAGGCTCGAGCTCGGGAGGTGGCGAAGGCCGGGTTTCTATTCGAAAACCGAAGGGAGACTCGAGGCGAAGCTGGTCTGAGGGTGGACGTGACGGTTCGGAAGACGTCGACTCGAATCGGGGAGGGTCTGAAGGTGTTGATTGGAAAGATGGAGGACGTTTACGGGTAGAAGTCCTGTAATCGTACGAAGGCTCTGGTTCGGGGTCAGGCTCGAGACGGAGATAATCCGAATACACACAACGTTGAGTCGAGTAGTTTGAGGAAGAGCGAATTGACGATGCAGTGGAGTGAATATGGGATCTGGAATTGCGTGCAGGGGGAGTCTTCAAGGACAGAGGGCGATCGGTGTTGTTGATGATGCCCCGATACTGTTGTTGAGAGAGAACAAGTCCATGTGAATACTTGTTAGGCATGGTGAGTGAAAAGAGAAGAAAGAAGGAAGAAGGAAGCCGGAAGGAGATTGGAAAGATGGTTTCGACGCCTACAGCGAACCCTTTAAGGAAGGAAGGAAGTCAAGATGCAAGAGTTGGACCCTTGACAGCTCGCTTACATGCATCAACATAGTTCGTGCATGAACAGTGCTGCAATCGAAGGTTCTCATGTCGGACAAACTGCAGTAGCCTGTCAGTCAGAGTCAGACTGATTTCCCGGCCAGGAGTTGATGAAGCGCTTCGGCGAGAATGAAAAGATTGGTGGGATTGTTCGCTGACCGAATACGTATTATCATTTGACGGTAAAGTATTATAAAGGTAGGGGATTGTTAGTCGACATTATGATTTTCTAGGGGTTCTAAGGATTGCGGATTCATTATTATTATCATCATGATTGTTGCAGTATTATCATTACTACAGGGATGTCCTTTGGCGTCATGATTGAGTTATTCATCTGCCGAAGCCGCCTCGCCGCGAACTAAATAGGGGGATTATAGAGTACGTAGGTAGGCTCCGATTCGTCCAGTGCATGAGATCGATCTTCTGCCATCCAATCGTTAAAGTAAATGAACGCTCGGCATTTCAGACAACATGGAATCATCCTAATTCATAACCGATCTTACCTTGTTCATGTTTGAGCCTCTGCTGTTTCGACACGAGTTGTGGATTCTAACATTACTCTATTCCACAATCTCACGTTTCACCAACCTTGTTGGTCATCGCGCATTCCGGAGCCCCGTCGACCTAGCTTAGACTACCTGTTGGACCTTTACGATAGTGGTGCCAAAGTAGTTGGTGCACCTTATCATTATTGACGCTTCATTCTACCTGTTGTATCCTTCCAAAAAGCCTAAGATAATTCATTGGATCTTAATTATCGCCATGGAGCTTCACATCTCTGAACACGACGAAGCTGGTAGAGATGTAGCAGCCTACGTCTCCTCCAAAAGCAGCGACAGGATCGAATTCATCGTATGCCTAATTGAATCCCTCCCATCTATTGGCCGAGGGCAGTAGGCTGACCACGACTTGATTACAAAATCTAGAAGACAAAGGAGCAAAGCAGTCTATGGATGCGGCTACTCGACGTGTTTTTGCCGGCGGGCTATCCTCACAGCGTGACCCGTGATTACATGTGGTACATATTGCGCTCTCTGCTGTCTTGGAGAGCTGTTGAACGAGGAGTTGAGACCCCCAAAATCTCTGCTTCAAATCTGGGTATAAGCACGGAATAGCGCTTTATTCGTGGTTAGATGTTTCAAAAGCGAGAAGCTGAACATCGCAAAAAGCTCCTCGTTGATGTTGATTTGGTCGGGCTTTTGGGGATTCGTACCCTTTGGACTCCCACTTCATGGTACCTAGCCTAAAACCAACAGATACGGGTTGGCTAACGGCTTCGGGACAGGTACCAGATCTACGTATGATTGCCTTCTCACGATCTCTTGCCATTGCTGTCTGGGCTGTTGTTTATCGTTCTACAGGATTCTCTACAAGCCTTCTCAAGTTCCATTGCCGGACTGCTTGCTTCTAGGGCTGTGCTTCAAGGTGAGACACTCCAAAGCTCCGATCATACGGAATTGATCATTGTCACGTTGGGGGTGTGACAGCGACCAACATGATTTTTAGGTGTCGGAGTCGGTGATGCCTCGGCGTCACCAACATCTGCCCTTCTCCTCTCTGTGGTCCAAGAGAGCATGGGCCGAATAGCAACGATTCTCTTCGCCCACAGGCTCGGTACCTCGCTCGAGCCTGAATGCAAAATGTACAGGCTTGCCGCGGACGTCTTCAATGACACGGCTATGATTTTTGACTGCCTCTCCCTTGCACTGCCTAAAGCGCTAAGGGTAATTTTACTCAGCTTCTCAAGCGTCTTGAGGGCGTTGTGTGGGGTTGCTGCCGGCAGTTCCAAGGCTAGTTTGAGTGCTCATTTCGCAAAATGGGGCAATCTAGGAGAATTGAACGCAGTGAGTCCGCCATTTTCCTTCCGGGGCGGGTGGCCAGTCATCAGAGGGGAGGGAAGACCATCTCGTGTGTTTACCACCCCCGATTCCGTGCAGCCTTGGCTACGACGTACGGGGTTGCTTGTCGCGCATAGCAGCCAGAACCATCACTAACGGTCAAGCAGAAGGACTCGAGCCAAGAAACCATAATCTCGCTAATGGGGTACGTACATTCCGATGTCATTGCGTCCCAATTGGCGCCAAAATCCTAGAACTGGAGGATCTTTTCCTTCTTTGTGCTCCCTGAAACTGTCCTCTGAACTGAAGTCTTGTTTGAAATTGGGTTTGCTGACTCCCAGATTTTCGCAGGATGCTGGTGGGTACAGGTCTGCGCTTTAATCGTGCCGACGGCTACTTACCGACGTGTAGGCTGGCAGTATTGTAGTCTCATACGTATCATCTCCAATAGCCACCTGGTCATGTCTCATTGTCCTCCTCTCGATACACTTGGCTATGAATCACGCTGCAGTCAGAGCAGTCAGCTTGCATAGCCTCAACCGCCAGAGAGCCAATATAGTTCTGTCCAACCTGCTGGTGGATAACAAGGTGATGACACCCGAGGAGGTATCGTCTCAAGAACGCATTTTCGAATGGGATGGCGCCCTGCGATGGCGAGGCTCATCACCCTTCGCCAAAGCTACCATAGGTGTCAATTTGCTCAGCCTGCTGAAGACTTTGGCGCCTGCGCACACTGTGACGGGCGCTATACGCGACGGCGATCTTATCTTAGAGAGATTGGTCAGAATTTACAGCCATGAGGATTTTCTAGTATGGTATGATTCGCCCAAGAGGTCAGTATATATTGTTCTCAAAGGTCAAGCTTCGGCCAAAGCACAACTGAAAGCTTGGGCACTAGCACTTTGGGGTGCTCACCGCTTTGGAAAGCAATATGCGACAGGCGCAAATACAGAAAATTTACTTCAGCTGCTCGAAGTGACATTGAGGGACATTTCTAACCGATGGGATGATTCCATCGAGCGAATTAGAGCCGCTGGATGGGATATTGACATTGCAAATTTGGAGACTTCATCCGGGTCGCGCATACGTGTCACCACAGAAAGCCTGCAAACAATGTCAAAAAAGAAAGATTGATCAGGGCGCGGATGAGGTAGAAGACATGGACTGGTCTGCGAAGGCAGTCGGCCTCAGTGTATAGCCGCCGACCAGGTAACTGGGTTGGTGGATTAAAGCAGTTTGGCATGAAGCATCAATAAGATGATGGAGATCATGCGGCTCCGATCATAGAACTTATCCTCCTCCCTGATAAAGATCTTATCCGTGCCGGTACTCCGTACACGGGGTCCGTAGCCTGATCAGGACATACGCGACAATGCGTTGGCATGTATAAGCGCAGCCTCAAGTCGAGGCGAGTGAGCCTGGAAGATCTGTGTTGCTGCTGCGAAAAGAAATCTTCCGGAGTCCGGACGTTTCCTCAATCCCCAGGGCTCGAAAGTCGAAATCAATGGATGACGGATGATGTAAGCCAAGAGAAAATTGAAAATGAGGGTGGAGTCATTAGAGGCGCGCGTGCTGAACATGCTACTGAAGGTACATTTATGCGCAACAATTAGATGTCGTCTCCCACGCTGATCATCCGGCCTAGCGACGCCATCTATAACTGGTCGTGGGCTGTGAAAGTGAATAATGCAGCATATTGGCGAACCCTGTAAAGCGGCGGCTTCTGGCCGTAGTATGTCCTCCAATCAAGAGCGATTCCCTTAGGGCTGTCTACACCCGTCACCCCTGTCTTCTTCTGACTCAAGAGAAAGCGTGGGATTTCGACAAATTCTCCGAAACGTTTGGACCAAAGAGGCGATGGGTCGGAGAGGCGTCCCTCTACCTCGTACCAAAGCGAGTATCGGGCGAGTATCACCGTCTCCACTGTCGCGAATAACAATATCTTTAGCCGAGTCGCACGTCGCTTAGGGTGGCTCGTGCTTCACACTGGAGCGATTCGAGTCATGGATTCTGCCTTTTATTTTCGCTGTTGCCTTACTCACCATTCCTCACTAGCGTCCCATCTAAGTTTGCTTCTCGTCTGTTTGCCGCCGAGGCCCAAGACTTGGAGTCTCGCTAGCAAAGACGGACACGGAAGATTTGGTCTGTTTTTGTCGCATAAGTACGGAGGTGAAGGGGGCATGATGGGGAAGAAGACTTAGAGTAAGGCTTAGTAATTCGAGAAGACAAGCATGTGTGTGATTTGTTGTGATTTGTTATAATTGAAAAATAAGGTTGTTCCACACCCCAAAGAAAAACCTTCTAGCGCTGAATTAGCGTAAATTTTAGTTACTTCCACTTACCTTAGTGAATGTGAACCCTTGCAATTCCTTGCGCCGCCGCTTCCCACTTATTAGCCCTTTCCCCGTTTCTTTTTGGTTCAATAATTTGCTGTATTATTACAGTCATCTGTGTCGCGAGAAGACACTCCTTTCTTTTCACCATTCTCATTCCTCATCCTTGATTTCAACTTCTCTTGTCTGTGTCCACCCTCCTTACCGGTCTCCATAACGAGTAATCCGTGTCTCCTTCACTTCAGCCCTCAGAGTTTGCCGACAAGACAAAAACCCCGCAAGTCACCAATTCCGACGAGTTTGCTTCAAGTCCTGCAGGCTTCCGAACATTCCGTGTGCCTTGGACCTCCTGACTCACCAGGAAAAGAGAAGGGTTAGGCGTGAGAGGAATATTCCGGGTACTCGCTGTGTCTGGCCGAATACATCGAATCGATCAAGCCAATTTTCGTCATCTCACAGAGCAGCAAACTGCAAAAATCAAAACCGCAAATCAGACCCAGCACTGAACTTCCTATACCCGTCTCCCTCCTTTCAATGGTCCACGTAACATTCATCACTCCGAAAAACTTCCTCGAAGACTTCGAGGCCTCGTGTCAAGGTGGCTCGCCCAGACGTGTTATCCTCCTATAGACCGGGCCGAAGCCGCTCACAGAAAAGGAAGGCTTCAGCAAGCGAAAGAACAAGGTCCAAAATTAGGGACTGGAAACGAGCCATGATCCGCAGGAAACCTGAGACACCCCCGTCGTCATATCTCTCCACACCCCCACCAGAAACGTCACCTCGTTGTTCTATCGTCATCTCAGACTGGGACGCCGACGACGAAGACGCCATGTCTATAGAAGACATCAGATCATCTCGACCACCAAGTCTTGAAGCCAGCCTGCAAAATGAAGGGCCCTATCATCCTCAAAGACCAACCCTCCCAGATGTGCTCTCGAATTCCGCTCCACCACCATGGACGCTCAGCGCGTTCACCGCCTACCTCTCGCAAAATCATTGTCTGGAGAATTTGGAGTTTACAATGGATGCCGAACGGTATCGGAAAAGGTACGGTGCCTTGGCTGCACAGATGGCTGGCATGCCCATGACACCTGAGGTGGAAGAATGCCGGTACGTGAGGATGCTATGGCAGCGTTTGATCAACGCCTACATAATGCCAGACTGCCCTCGGGAAATCAACATTCCTAGCAGCGTGCGCGAGAGATTACTTCTACTCCCTAATCATTCAACGCCGCCGCAACCCGAAGATCTGGAGGCTGCAGTCAAGATCATCTACAACCTCATGGAAGAGTCAGTGTTGATCTCTTTCCTGAACGAGGTCCCATCATCCAGATCTCAACAACAGCAGCACCTCAGTCGGCAGAAGCCTGCCGAGGTCAAGCCTCGGAAACGAGGCGGCTCAGATAGCTCAAACGAGAAGAGTTCAATCAGGAGTAGATCTCGAAAACGAACATCTCCGACATCCTCGCTCGATGTCCCTTCGTCAGGGTCTAGAGATGACCCAACTGGTCGTCTGACCCCCATTCCTGGATTCACGAGAGGTAGTCGTGCACCGAGTCACACATCAAATGGTAGCGGAGATCCAGGGCTACTGGACGATGATTCTGCCAGTGTGTCAAGTCCGGGTAGAGAACCAATGACACCACCAAACTCACCTCCTTCGAGCGATTTCGGCGGACACAGTCCCAGAAATCGCAACGATAATACTTGGAAGAAGATGCTAGGATGGAAGAAGAAGTCCAGCACCGGGATGAGAGACGGTCGATTTCCAACCCTTGAAGATTGAGCATTGATGAGGAGCGAGATCTGACATCGATTCCCACCTTTCAACACCACCCACCAACACCATGCGGCGCCTTCATCATTCCCACCTTGGCCGCCAGCGCACCCGTCTCAACTCCTCACGTACCTTTTCTCTGAGTTTAGCGTACAGCGGCAAATTATCTTTTCGTCCTCCACGGACACGGCATATGGAGGATCAACAAAAGGCGTCAGGATTGACCAGTCTCAGGCATTGACGGTTCGCCATCTACACTTCTAGTCCGTTATGTTACAAGCGCGGGCCGCCCATACAGCATTGCACTGGGCGCGGAGCAGCATAGCATTGCGTCTTCGCATACGATATACCTTTGATTGTCTGCAGCGCTTCGATTGTAGATATTTGAGTTACCATCATGACGATCTTGAACGAAATATAGACATTGGGATATCCAAGCCCATCAACCATTGACTGCCATTCACCGTCATCTCCTATCATTTGCGTACTATCGCCTACTGCGCCGATCTCAACGTCTCGCTGACCGCTCCTATCCTCTAAGAATACTAAAATTTGTGAACCGTGATCCAGTGGCATCTTATGATGGATTTCTATGATGGCATCTTAGTTCCGCTACTCATGCAAGTGCGGGTCGGAGAATTTTCGATCCGCCGTTTTTATTCCAATCTCTCATTGTTACCCCCATGACACCAGGCTGATCCTTAGCCTCCAATCCTTGCCTTTAGGGCAGCGTCACTGCGGCGCCACTGCATTCAAATGCGGGGTTGATGCTCAGATAAGATTTTGGTGGCGAAACGCATTCACGTCCATGCGGTGAGACATTTGTCTCCAGCATTCTTGATGTTATTCGCACGTCAAACAAAGTGTGCGTTTGCTATCTGTCATATGCGACCCGACGGAGATCACTTTCTGACGGTCGCTTCTACGGGCCTTCTGGAAGATGCAAATGCTGGGGAAGATTATTACGCGCTCCAGTGCGAATGTGCTAACATGCAGCTGTCACGCTCCTGGTACTGACCCGGGCATCTTGACTACCTATAGACCATGGGTCTTAGAGACACTCGGACAAAGCAACTGTACTACTACACGCTGCAACTCGTTGCTGTTACGTGACCTGTGTCAGAGCGAGCTTCTTTTCGGCTCCTTCTTGATCCGAGTGTCCCGGATTCAGTGGATGCTTGCACTTGATTTCCCCACGTTGACCGATGGAAGGATTTCCTGTGAGGAGCGCAAGAAATGCCGACGATGCGGTGGCATTACGGAAGAGAGTCCTCTGCATTTCCAAAGTGTGCTCTTTTCCAACCGTCTTCAACTGCTTGAAAGAAGGGGAATCCTACAGGCGTGCGTTTGCAGCTTTGCTAGTCCTTGGTCTCGGGTATCTCGAGGGGCTCGAAGCCGGTGCTGGGACCATTTCCCCGCCCACTCATTGTCCGCTGCCCGGCGGTATCGTCGTGGTTCCACTCCTGTGCTTTCGTGTGTGCTTAACCCCACGCTCCACTTACTGCTAGGTAACATATGTTGAGGGAATTCACCCTGCAGACATGGGCTTGGGACTCTAATGCCTGCCTTGATTGCAAGGGGGATGGAAATGTCTCTGAGGGGTTTTTCTGAGCCGTGGCCGTGATTCCAGGACCGAGTCCTCGCACCAAAGGCTTCATGGCGATTTGATGCGTATTGTGTCCATGGTAAGTACAGAGTACCTGGAAAGAGAAGCCACAAGTCTGGTAGATGCTGATCGTACTCTGCGTATCTGAATGGAGACGAGGGTCATGTCCAGAAATACCGGCCACGCCAAAATTAAGTGTCCTCTGTCGGCTTACAGGAAATCTCTAAAAGGTGAATAATCTTATCGTTGAGATCGAAGATACTACTGCCAAATTTTGAATTTGTTTGCTACAGTGTGTGGGTTAGGAATAAAATTTTGAAAAGTGCAAGTATTTTGGGCGCGGCCGGTTTTCTAGAAATGAACCTCGAGATCACGTGCCGAACTCGGCACGGAGAAACTCGCTTGCCGATTGTTTGTAGATCTCTTGCGAAAGCTCTGCCTTCATTCACCCTGATCTTTCACTAGAGCCATGCACGCTGCATTGAGTCAAGTATACCTCCTCGATAATTTGAGATCTTTAAATGCGGGAATGCTAATTGATAGAGATACGTTCCAGGTTCATAGAAAATTAGCGAGCTGGTCAACATGTCGACTCAAAAGACACGGCCAACGGAGAATAAACCGAGGAGGTCATCACGCCGCATCCAGGGCCTTGAACCGCTGATCGACACCCGGTTTCGGAGGACAGTGTACCTCCCGACCGAATTGAAGGTCGCTGTGCTTGCTCAGCTCGACAAACGGGACCTCAAGACCGTCAGACTGGTATCGAAGGAATGGAACGCATTGGCCACGACGCCTTTGTTCGATAGGGTCTATATATCGTGCCAGGCGAAGGATATGGAGGTTTTTAGGAATATCACGACGCATCCGGATATGAGCGCGGGTGTTAGGGAGCTTGTGTATGATGGCTCGCTCTTCAGAAAGGATATAGATTTCAAGAATTATTGCTACAAGGTCTATCGCCAAGTCCGTTGGATTGTGCCGCCGTGGGGGCCTGACACACCTTTCAAAAGTGTAGATGTTCAGATCAACAAATTCGTCCAGGATTACAGAGAGAAGAAATTTAGCTTTTCCAAGCTCTATAAGACTCACAAAATGGACACATTTCTCGTTGAAGGCTATCAGAAATACAGAGATCACTCTGCATTTGAGTATCACAGTATTGAAAGGGGTTGGCTTTTCGATGACCTTTGCACGGGGCTCCGTTCCCTCAAAAATTTACGCTCGGTGGTGCTCGGTCAGAAGATGTGGCACTACGACCTTGACCAGAGTAAGTACTTCGGGACCTCTGATCTCAACACCTTACATGGGCCATCTTCAGGCTCGCCTCTTTGCCGCAGCTGGAATCCATTTCATCTTCGCCCTCTTGGGTGGAAAGAGCTTCCAGACGTGGATGGTGGTCATTCTCATGTTTGTGCTCATTTTCATATGCTTACACGAGCGATATCCACAACCAACCGAAACATAACTTCCCTTCAGGTTCCAATGGACCACATAGGAGGAGGTCTCTCGCAGCAAGCGCTGATGAAATCCAATCTAAACGACTGGGAGTTTTGGTACTTCATGACAGCGTACTCAGGTTTGAGCTGTCTTGATATCGAAATCACTACGAACAACTCTGATCAGCGAGACGCCTTGACTGTCCTTCCAGAACTCCTGGCGCACACGTTCGGGCTTAGACAATTGTCATTACACCTCTTTAAGGACGTCGACCAACCGCTTCTCCCTGCAGGTGTGAGTGAGTACTATCGTTACGATGAAATATTTCCGGCCATCGGCATCTGGCCGAAGCTGACAGAGCTTTCAATTTCGGGACTTGCAATCGGCGGCTGGGATCTAATGGTCCTGATCCTCGGGCGAGCGCGAGTCAGACGGCTTGCCTTATTTGGCATCGACCTGCTGGATGGTGCTTGGGAAGGCGTTATTGAAGGAATGCGCCGCCGGCAACAATTGACCGAGCTGCATATGGACGGCGACTTCAGACACTGTGGAGGCGCTGTCTTTAGACCTCGCAGTCCAGAAGGTAAACATACCGACTTCTCGTGCCTCATAGATATCGAGGCTTATGTTGCCCGTGGTGGTCGACATCCGTGTCTAACCCAGGAGGGTGATCCTGATACTGCGATCTGGTGGTATTTCGACTTGATGCCAGAGAAATGGCTTGACGACCTGAAACTTATGACTCGCGAGTGTGACGAGTACACGGACGATCTGTTTCGCAATAAACAATGATTATACTGAGTCCTTGGTTTCTGTTAGACCAGGCTCAGTTCCAGCTCGGTCTCTAGTGGCGGACTTCGGATACCAAAGGCCCCAGCTATGATCAGTGCAGCGGAGGGAACGGCGGTCAGCTGAACGGCGCAAGAAGGTCCCATGATCGGAGCTGACGGTGGCTTTGATGTTGCTGTAGACCCAAGCGACAAACGACTTGGAACGAGAGGAACGCGAAAACGTTGGCTTTTGGTCAACAGACCTTCTGAACACTCCTGACATAGAAGCCATCTACCAAGCTGCCAGAAACAGTACCGTGCTCCGTACTGCCATCGTACAGATTTCGTGCACTCATGGGTAAGAAGCCAAGAAAATCTGGCAATCGATTATCAGAATCAGTGATCATATTGTCAACATTCAAGGGCTTTCTACCACTACAACTGCCACTTTTCTGGCAAGGCATCTGCCAACAAATTACCAAAGTTACCATTCAGGCGACCCAGAAGATGTTACGTGAAGCTGGAATCCGTTTCATCCACGAGCAGGGTATTGGCATGAAAATTAGGACCAATATCTGAACGGTTTTCGAGGACTCCTTTACCGGACGAGATCGAATACCCGGTTGAATATGGCGGTCGCCAGCCTTGTCTACCTACCGACGAAGACGCTTCCTGTGTAGGATACCACTACTTGGAGATCTTGCCGGAAGAATACTTGAAAAATACTCGGGCGTGAGGATCGCCTGCATGGCCCATCGGTTGAACAGAAGCTAGGTCGCCATCCCACTTCCACACGTGCCATCCATCGAAGCAGCCACATAGGGCAACGATGACTGTTCGCAGCATTCCCTACAGCGGACCACTGTCATCCCCAAGGCTGCTTTTCATTCAACTATCCTCAGGATGATGCTGCCCGTCTCCCGCTTCCTTGTGCGAGAACGATCTGTTCCGGTAGAGAGGATAGATGAACGGTGGAGCGATATCCAAGGGCATTGATTCTTTGGACGGAGAAGAGCGCGGCAAAATCGAATTATGCGCCCCACTCTACTCACTCTTTGAACCTGAGCCGTGGGTCGACATTATCATGCCAGCCGGGGACCGAATTGTCGGTTTACTGGGAACCTTGCCAACGTTGTTCGGAGATTTTGAATCGCTCAATGGGTGGAATGTAAGAGGTTGTGCGGCGTCGTTGGATTCTTCTTGATGGCTAGAGACTATTTAGGGGTAGGGGAAAAGGGGGAATGCATTTGCAGGTGGTATATGTTCGTTCGATCAGAGTGGTTTCAAGAGATGTAAGACGGCGAGGATTGTTGGTATTTGAAACCTGTCTATGGACACTTCGATTTTGTGGCCCGAGTCTTGTACAGGAAACATATCAAAAAATATTCCACCACGCCGCAAAAGGAAATACAATCAATTCATGAACCCTCACATTTATCGCATGAGCACGCAGTCCCACGGCCACCCTATCCGTCAGGTTTCCAAAACTTCCAAGCAGCTCCAAAAGGTTTACTTTCATTGCTCATATCCACCTCGCCCTTTTGCGACCCAAAGACCTGCTTTCCAATACAAAGCGAGGCGCCAGCACCCACATCCACCAGTGGAATCATACTCGGTCTCCCATGTGCGCATTGGAAGGGGAAAGCACAATTCCCAAGCCGCCTAATAAGTGTTTGGCATTCTTCATTTGTTAACTCGTCATTGAACATGATAGCACTTCGGCAGGCCCGCGAGTTGAGCATGTCGAGCAGTCCCTGTGGACAGGTCTTGGTGGCTAGGAAGCCTCCTCCTCCTCCTTCTTCTTCGCACTTCCAAGATTCGCTCCTGATCAGTTCGATCAAGACCTTGGGCTCGAGTCTGCATCTCTCTGCGATTGCCGCTGGTAGTGCTTTCACGATGATCTTGCACCTTGGAGATCGAGCTGGAGCGCTCATGTCATAGACGACACCCAGGGCTGCGAAAGAAGACGCAAGACGGGATAAGAGGCGGTGCTCGCGAGCTTGGATCTCGAAAATCAAGGGGTTTGGAAGTAACACTGGGCTTGCTTTCAGATCTGCTAGTAAGCCTTCAACTCGTATGCGCTCGTCCGCCGCGTGCTGGTCGACGAGGACTAGAAGCTCTGCGTCTTCTCTATCACCAATATTTGGTGACTTCTTCACGCAGATGAGGATGAACTTCTTATCGACTTGAGAAACGACCCTTGCCGCGTTCAAGGCCTGCGGAAATTTAATGGAAGGTCTGCGACGAGTTTTGGAAATGACATGTGGAGTAAGTTTGTTGTAGTCTGATTTCGAATCACATGCTGATCAAGTTTTCAAGCAAGATGGATGGGCCGAATGTCTTCTGAAAGAGACACACGGAGCGGAGTGAAAACCCCACAGTCGATATCGACCTTCTCAAACCGTGTAGAACGCTTCGTTCAAGGAAATACCAGCAAGGGTGTGTATGCATGCTTGGCATGATGGCACAAAAGGCAAGGCATTCAGAAATGATGTCACCGCTTCATCTAGCCTGCAAGATTGTGTAGGGAGGACTACACCGCAGAACCGATCCCAGACTCTGAGCCCACGCCGCATCTGAACACGGGCGAGAACGCCAGGGATGATCTCAGTCATCCCTCGACATCTACACACGGACTCTCGAGCGCGATGACATCCTCCGACGGTTCGATGGACCGAGAACACGACGCTCGGTCGATTGAAGACAACTTCCGGCGGTCTTCCAAGCATGGGATATCAACGAGCGACTGACCTGTCCTGGACCGAATCTGTTCTCGAGAGATGTGTCTGATCGCCACCGAGCCTTTATTTTAGGGCTGGGCAGATTCCAACGCGCGAAAGGCTGCGTTTTCAATGACGTTGCGATGGCCTTTCGGCCCCGGTATCGTAGATGTGTGATGCGCGTGCACAGCGTGAGGGAGGTGACGATTGTACGACATTGGAGCCACGCGAGGTTGGTTGCCAGCATGGTCAGGTCGATAGTGGCACATTTTGCGGTATAGTCATAGTCACACAATGTAGAAAACGAAGCCACAAATTTCAATACATGAATGGAATCATGGACATCTTGGAATTCGCGCCGAAGATCAAATCCTTCCGTCATACAAAGGCTTACGACCAGTCTCCAGTAGTCGAGGTAAGCCAAAAAGCGAGAGTCAGGAACGATGTCAAGTTATGCAAGAATCCGATTAGACAGACGAGTAAGAAGGTAGAGATAGGGTCAGGAAATAAATTGCTTGCGCAGAACATCTAATGCTAAAGACCGTGAAGACGGCAATCGGCCGTAAAGTCGTGAGCGGCTTGCGCCAAAGTCTAGCTAACCAAACAAATCTAGAACGTAATATATGTGCTATGTTATCATGTAGCGTATAGACCGTGAGGCGTGAGAGTCATTGCAGTGTCGTCTTGGTTGGCGAGTGAGAGGCTGACTTGGGAATCAAAGGAGACTAATTTACGATACGATGAGCCTCAGATCGCGCAGAACGCTGTAGTGAAAAGAGAGAAAGAACAAACTTGAGGGGGACGTTGGGCGACATACTCGGATTCTCTATGGCCAAGGATGGAGGCGAAGACAGCTAGAAGTGTAGGTTCATAGGAGCGGCAGGCAACGAGCGAGCGATGTTTTGTTGGACTTTTGCTACCTGTACGATTGTTTGGCCCTTCTGCATCCAAGCATGGAAGCCATCAAGCGAGTCAACCAGAGGAAGTTCCTCATAGATAGGCTCGACGTCCGCGTACACAGATCGAATCTTGCTCGGAAGCTGACTACCCCAGGGCGACATTTTCTTTCTAGCAACAAAGTAGTAGCAGTATAGTATTTGGGCGATTTTTGTAACCCTGGAAGTGAAACGTTCGTCTGGGCTGTCACCAACGACCGCCCACCATGAGATGCGCCAGCGCAGGCTCATCAGAATTTGGCCAAGCTGGCCGGCCAAAGTTTCGATATCTGCATCAGACTTGCCGCCTTTTGTGAGCTCATTGACTGATTTCTGCAACGCCTCGAAGGCTTCAATTTCTAGTGCTCGTAGAATGATGCGAGAAAGTTGCACGGCGAAGATGATCGTGCTTCGATCCTGCTGATCCTCAACGTCCAAAGCATGTCCGAGCACAGATGTGTTGTGCGGCGAAATCTCGTAGCCATTCCGGCTTGGCATATTGTTCCACTGGATTGATTGATCCTTTTGTGAGTGGGACTGTTAGCAATCTGGAGACACCAACACTGGAACGCTCTCAGCTTAGGCTCACCACGACGCTGGCCGCTAGATCGTCTTCTCGGACGCATTGCAACCATGCTGATCTCAACTGCTTATTCTTCACGAACTCGTGGAGCTCGCAAGTCTCCGATCCACATGACTTGTGCATCTTCGTCAGGAGTTCAAAGCAGTTGGATGAGTCCAATGTGTAAAAAGAACCTGACGAGTGTCGGACTCGGATATCATATCGCATTTGGCAGGACTCAAGACGATCGAGGAGTCCAGACACGTTGAAAACCGTTGGGACTGCCACTATCAGTCGCCGAGTTCCATCAAGAGCCAGGTGGCTGATAGAGTATTGGACTGGGATCAATTAGATCATCTGACAAGGCACAAGACAACAGTATCAGCACTTACAAACTGCGTTGCACGTGTCCTCTCTGACCATGTCGGTGAAGTTTGCAGGGGTACAGGACTGGTCCCACAGCTTGACTTTGGTAATCTGACGACACCCTTCGCAAGGAAGGCCCCCTTTGCACTGCAGTATGATCAGCCAGCTCCAATAATATCTTGCCAGGTTTGCCTACCGTCATCTTCATTGTTCGGCACCGGATGCAAACACTGCCATCTTTGCGTTTCTGGGCAGCAGCTAAGGCAGTCGCCGTGGGGAGTGGTCCTTTTCTCTTGCCTTTTCCTGAAGCGTTCCGGGAAAGGATTGGGCTTCCATGTCGAGAATGCCCATACTCGCGAATGATCGACAGAGAACCCGACCTAGAACCCCTGGCAGATGTAGGTTTGTTGGTATTCTTTGGGAATGCGGGATTGGGCGGACTGGATGAAAGGACGGTGGGCTGAGAAGTTGAAGGAATTGCTCGGTACGCCCTGGGTTTCTGCATCATGGGCATATAATCCGGAAAAAAGTCTGCAGAGGATGGAAAGGATGATGGGAGACCCGACTTGTAGTGTCCGCTGGATCCCTCGATCTTGATAGCACCTGGGTGATCTAGTATTTTGCTATCGTCGTAACTCTGATGGCTTGTAAATCCGAATGCTGGGTCTTGTATAAAGTCCGAAGACCAAACGTGATCGTGGGCGGTACCACCAAGATCATAGGATCCATAGGCTGTGTCGCCCGAGGTACTGAGTGGGTGCCCGAAAAGAAGTGGATCATTCTGTCGCCATGAAAACTCTTGTGGTGTCAGGTCATCGTGACTGGTAGGCAGCGAATTACGCCCGATCTCATCAATCAGGCCCGGATTGAGAGAAACATCGACCTCAAGGCTTTGACGCAGCCCGGTACTGCTTTCCTTCACTTGGTTCGAATTCGGATGGTGGAGCGGATAGGCTGAACGGGTGTCAAAGAATTGCGCAGAATTGCTCTCCATTTGCAGGCCGCTCGTTGCGGGTCGAGAAGAGCTTGAGCTAGTGGAGCTGCCCGCCACCTGTTGCTCGCCTGCATGTGACGTTTTGTGTCCGAACGTGCCGAAGTTCGCCACATGTAGACTGCGAGCGCTCCTAGCTTGACTGCGAAGGCGTGGTTGTTGGGTGGAATAACCCTCGGCGGAGTATGGACTCTCCGGCATCCTCTTATGCTTGGCGGAGGCTTGACGCTGATGACGAGACTCGGTCGTTGATGGATGGAGCATATCACTACCTTGCAAGGTCGACGGCCATTGGGAGATAGCCTCGATCTGAAACTCCTGTGAGCTTTGATGATCACGCCCAGGGGCCGACAGAGCGAACGTTTGTAGGTGACTCCAAGGCTCATTTCCCCTTACTGGAAAGGAGCCTTCGTACTGCAGAACAGCACCGGAATCAAACCTTCCAAACCTTCCAATGTCCCATTCCCTTGCAGGTGCGCTATGTGCTTGGGTTGAGCTACATTGATGCGTCAGCAAAGGCCTTGAAAGCCTCTAGAAGAGGGATCTTGGCGATGGAAATACTTGTAGTCAAAATCCTCCCAAACATCTTCTGGATCTCCAGCCAATTCATGAGAGTGACGTGAATTGATCCACGAGCCCACTTTAGGATGAACATCTCCGTCGTCAAAGACCGCCTGGCCAGTTGCAATATCTACATCATCAAATGACGCAGAGCAGTTGGAAGCGAGGTGTGCAGAGTCTATGTGTTCATTGACGTTGAGAAGGTTGGGATCAATGCATTGGGGGTAAAGTTTATACTGCATAGCTTGTGTCACATGTGAAAGGATAGTCGCAGAATGCGTCTTTGATCAGCTCTAGAAATTTGAGCACGGCGACTTCTCGCCGACCCTTTGTAGTAGAGATCCGGTGAAGCTGCGCACGAGCCAATGCCGCGCAAGGCTATGGAATGTCATGCGATGCCACCAATTATCTTCAACGGTTTTCAGGCAACGAGGGTTTCATAAGCGATTATGTTCCAAGAGGACTAGTGGGTCCGGTTACCAACGGTACTACACGTGAGAAGCGAGTTCCCGAAACACCAAATTCAACGGTAGAATCTTAAGCCATGCGATGACGCCATCTGCCCTGAGCAGTGACGAGAAACCTGTTCTGTCCTTTGTTGAATGCGCTTTAGAACCGGCGAAACTTCGTTCACCGAAAGGAAGCGATCCCGCCAGATCGCCAATGCACATGATCGCTCTGCATACTTTTGAGGGGTCAATGCCGGATGGTTACATGAAGTATGTGCCATGACGACGCTCGAGTACACTCACCTCTGCCCTGAGATGAGCCATTGCTTTAGCGCGCATGTGTCAAGTCATAGGACCCGTCGATTGGCGATAAAACCTCCGAAAGATCCCCAGCCGCAGGTGCGCGGCGGTTTCCGACATATCTTCGAGACGGCAGACGAGGCGGTGTCAGAGTCAGGAGAACCTGATGGTGGCTATGCTATGACAGCGCATCAGACACGTGAGCTCAATGGACGTTTATTGGCCAATGAACTCTTCGAGGCTCCCCGGCAATCGCAACGATGTTGTTATATTATCCTTCACCCTGACTGGGGAAACAGCAGTGGAGATATCATGGCCTGGGTACAGCAGCACCGACTTCGCCAAAGGGAAGCTTCGGGCGCTGGTACTGCACCACCAGCATTTGCGATCCAAAGATATTTCTCAGACGGTATTCCATTTGTCTGCTACTTGTCATACAACCCCTGCTGACAGTAATTCTGGGGATATTGCATATAGTTGTTGCGATCGAATAAGAATAAGAGAAGGACAAGGAGTGGATCATGAAGCATTAACAAAGAAACAGGCGATTGAAAGAAAAGAAAACACGATCCTGAAAAGGAAGGTATAATTAGCAAGGCTCTACCCGCGGTGGAGAAGACGTAAGCATGCACAGGTGGAAAAGGTCTTATGACGCTTCTTTTCATTCCTTCCGCTTCTGCAAAGTAGGCAACATGTGTCCACCAAATGTTACTCTGGCGCACAGGGCAGATATCTAGTAAGCGACTTCATTCTCCTGGTTCTCATGAATAGCAGTTTGAAGACTTTCTTTCCCTGTTTACCCCAGATTATTGATTCGGCCCAGATCTACGCAGGGATCTGCCCCAGGGAATCTGCCCGGCGAACCCTAAGTCGCGCTGCGGGGAAAGCCTCGTTTGATCGTCCGAATCTCAGAGTCAGAGCGCCCCCTCTTCCCAAGTGCCCTTTCCCCTGCTCAACGCAAGCCTTGGTCAGCACTCCAACACATGAACTACCAGTCTCTATCTGACCCTCAAGGCACCTAATCCGCAAAAAAGGGTCTCAGTGCAATACCAAGTCTCCGCTTGGGCAACCATTGGGACGTCAAACATGGCAGATGTTTTACCAGCAAACCCGAGGACCTCATTGACAGCACCGAAAGCCATACCGCACCCCATAGACACAAAACAGCCACTTCCAGGCTCAGCGCCTGCATCAACGACCCTGCCCAAGATCGCCTCAGGTGTTCGAAGTGGGCACCTCAATCTCGACACCTTTTCTCCGGTCAACCAGAATGGTAGTTTCGCCTTTGATCGTGTACTCAGAAGCGGAGAGGTGCATAAACGCACCCGAAAGACAAAAGTATCTACATATTCTGCTCCCGCCACGTACGTCTCACTAACGTACCTTCTGCCAGCAATGGAAATCCTTCTACCTTGTCCTCCGCCCCAACCTCCTCTCTCTCTACAAATCTCCTACTGAGGAGCGTCTCCTCAAACAAATCCGCCTCAACGACCTCAATACCGTCGGCTACCTTAAAGACCCAAAAGGCCGCCGTCAACACCTTTTCGGCCTCTTCTCCCCCGAGCGCAGCTATCACTTCCAAGGAAGAAGCGACGCAGATGCCAAGGCGTGGGTCGAATTGATCAAGCGTGAAGCACCACAACTTGACGAGGATGAACCGGTGGACCTTGGTAGCCCCACCGCTCATGACAGCCATCCGGACAGACATTCGGGCTACGAGCGCTGGGGTTCCAGCTCGCCCGAACCGTGGGAGGTACCAGGCCGGCGGTCTACCACAAGAGATGGGATCAGGATACCGGGCATACGACGGCTCTCAGCGCATGAGCTTGATTACTCAGGAGATGAATTGGCACACTATTCCGATTTCTCCGATACGCCTCCACAAAGCTGCGCTCAGGCTTCTTCTGGGCCCTTTGCCAAGCGAAACGAAAGGGGGGTGCCAAAAAGCAGCAATGCTCCATACTCGACACCAATGCAACCGCCAGCAACAGCACGGAACGTTAGTGAATCAAGTGGCTTTCACGCTGATCAACAAGACGACGAGAGGGTGATATGGCATGGTTACCTGCTATGCCTGAAGACGAAGGGTGGCGTCAGGCAGTGGAAGAGGTTATGGGTTGTACTCAGGCCGAAAAATCTGGCTTTCTATAAAAACGACGAAGTCTGAGCACCCATTCTTCGACTCCGAAAAGATACTAATACTACTACAGGAATACGCCGCCAGCCTCATCATCCCCCTCTCCAACATCATTAACGCAGTTGAGATCGATCCTATATCTCGCAGTAAAGCGCATTGCATGCAAGTTATTGCCGAGGAAAAGAGTTATCGTTTTTGCGCCAGTAGCGAGGATGCTCTGGCGGAGTGGCTTGGGGCGCTGAAAAGTCAGCTTACGAAGAGGAAGGACAAGAAGGCTGGGACTTCATGACACAAACGAACAGGAAGTCTCGTACTTTCGGAGGATGTACATTTATAGGATATCATGTCAAATACCCAAAAGTCCTTTTATATTTTCAAACACTTACCTTGAAGCTTCAGCCATCTACTGTTAACCTTGTACTACCTCATTAATCAGCTTGAAATGGAGCCGGTGATTTCTACGGCCTCTGATTTCGCTCCAGAGGGAGTACTTTTGGCCGCCTACCGCAATAAAGGACCAGTTCCTGGGTATAATGCGCTACAATCTGACCTCAGCTCATCGAAATGCTCCATCCAGCATCCACGCTTCATTTACTCTCTGATCCCTTCCCCCCTTCCACGGCTCACGGCGGCTTCATCCCCACATGCTCATCCGGCAGCCAAAACACGACCTCCCTATCCGCCGTCGCACACATGTTATACCGCGGATTCCACTCCACGACACTCGCCCGCCCTTTACACGGTAGTCCGCACATGGGCTTGATCTCCTTCGTCTCCACCTCCACTTGCCCTTGCGTATCCCACACTATCGCGTCTCTATCCCCCCCACTGCCCCCGATCAAATACCGCCCATCGGAGCTGAAACACACGTCGCCCTGTCCCAGCGCGCCAGGCATTCCCGGCGCCGCGCGCAGATTCGTAGGCGCATGGGAGCGCTTGCAGTGAGCGCGGAGGGTACCGTCGAAGGCGTCGAGGAGCAGGTGTCCCTGCGGGTGGTTCGACGCGAGGAGGAGGGATTTCCCATCGTTGGAGAACTCGAGGCGGGTCCAGTCCGGTTTCGGCGACTGCACCTGCTGGGCGGTGAGGTAGGGCCGCATGTCGAAGGTCGCAAAGGGCGGCTTGTCGTAGTTCCGCAGGTCGTAGAGGAGGACGCTGTGCGTGGAGGCCGAGGCGACGGCGATGACCGTCGCGGAAGGGTCGTAGGCGGCGAGGTACGGCGTCGACAGGTTCAGGCGCGCTTGCGGGGACGGCGAGGAAAGCGACCACAGGCGCACCGTGTTGTCGAGCGAGGTCGAGAGGAACGTGTCCGCCGACGGGCACAGGCACAGCGACGTCACGGGCTGGGTGTGGCCCCGGAAGTAGCGCAGGAAGGCGTTGTCGTGCGTGGAGAGGTAGCGGATGCAGTCGTCCTCTTTCGTGCTCGCGTAGATGATGGACGTGGCGTGGTGCGTGAAGCGGGCGAGGTGGGCGCCGTACTTCTGGCTCATGAGCGTCTTTATGTTCTTGCCTTCTTTGGCGTTGTACAGGAGGAGGGAGTCGTCGGAGCAGGCGGCCAGGCAGAATTCGCCCGAGTCGTCGAAGTCGAGGGATGTGACGGAGGCTTCGGGTTTGGAGAGTTTGAATTGCTGGTGAGGGGGGTCAGTGTTGGGGAAGGAGGGATTGATAGGCTTGGGAAGGGAAAGCGGGGTTCATACCTTGGTTGGGCGGAAGGTCCCTATGACTTCGGAGGTCTTTTGGGTGAGTTGTGGTCCTCCTGGAGGAGGTGGTGGGACTACGAGGGGGCCGGCCATTGTGAGCGACCTCAGGCAAGGATGGATATCCGAAGGCTCCTATCGCGGATATAGATCACCCCTGCTCGAATTTGATAAGGGCTTGAGCCTTCCAAAGAGTGACTCGTGACAATGGGATGTTGTAGAAATTTGTGGAAAGTCAGGTCTATGTGCTGGATTCGGTATAAATTGACAAGCCCTAACACTAGATCCAAAAGGGACGTCTGCACCAAGGCCATCACGTGACATGTGCGTCTTCACAGTCGAATTAAAGTTGAAAGTTTACCCATTCAGAAGAGATAAAATACGAAGTTCCGAAAGAGTCTTCTATTTTGGTCAGCTACTCATCCATCACTGCAGCATTATTGGCTTCGCAAGACCGATCCTTTCGCGAATATCTTCGCATGGACATGCATTCACTTTTCAGTATCCTCCATTCTCCTCTCGCCCTACATGGGCAACATCATGCTCAGCAGTATTGAAACCACTACCCACAGATGAAACAGCTTTTCCCAAGTTGACCGTGATGTCCCTGCTGCTTGTGCCTTGTCCTATCTTCAAGACACATCCCGTAGAAAGGCGCAGGATCATGGAGCCATTCACCAATCTTCTTCAGACCACACATGTCAATTTCGAAATCCGCGCAAATTGCTGTTGTAACTAGCGTCTGTCCTCTTATACGTGCTTGCTATGCGTCCCTCCTCACCTTCCTTGCGACAGGAACCGAAGTAGATTATCACCGCAGTATCGTCGATAGTGAGCATGACGTTAGAAGGATTGATATCGTTATGGACGATGCCGAGACTGTGGAGGTGCTCAATGCCTTTCTTATGAAGACAATCTTGTATATCGAAAGGTCGAGTGACCGGGTTCTGACAGTACCTGGTGAAGCAGAGACTCGCAATACGGCCTTCTCTAACGACGCAGCCGTGATGGGAAGCGACGTTCGGGTGTGGGTGGTCGATGAGAATCTCACCGATTCCAGCTCCTCGAAGCATAAGTTCGCCCAGACGAGTTGGATCCCTTGAGTTGTAGGATGATAAATTAGGGAGCTACTCCCAGCAGTCCTCGGACGTTAGGTTTGGCGCTATTGTACACTTGTCAGAGAAGGAAGGGCGGTAGTCGCAAATAGAAATGGGCGCGGGTTCAATCTTAAGCCTTGATGTGATGACCTGCGTGATGATCGTGGTACGCTGGGAGCTCCGTGCTTTGTAGAGGTTGTCTCCGGCTTGAAACAAGTGCAACAGAACTTGAAATCATCCTCGCCCCTCCCTCTACTCGGCTCTCGGACTGGTGGGCGGCGAGAAGCTTCATCATGCTGTGAGAGCGTCAGGTAAGGCGTCGATATAACAGATTTCAGGGGGGTTTACATTACTGTTTTCTCTGAGAAAACCCACAAAAGATCTTCATAGCAGTCTAAAAGGCTGTCACCAAAAGTAACTGAGTTGAATTTTGCGGTTCTGGGATCCACTATTCTACCAACTTGTTGCTCTTACGAAACCCACAGAGTGCTCGTACTGAGTTATTAGGAGAGGCTGTATTGAGAAGGCGCCAAATGAAATAAATGTATCGGAAGTCTTCTTCGTTTCGAGCTTAGAATTGGATTCGAGGCAATCCCATTACAAGAGGGTTAGTTACATAGAGGAAGGTACTTAGCTGAACCACATGTAACCGAGATCTACAAGTAAGCGAATTGTTGTAGGATAGATGTTGGTGCTTCTGTTCGCATGATTCGTCATCGTCGATTCGTCTCCCTCTTATGCAAGCATCTCATAGGTAAAGACAGATGATGACTCTCCATGACCTGTGCTCAACTAGTCTCCTATCTTGCCTGTGGATCTGATTCAGCTCGAGTGAGATAATGAGAATCTGTAATGTTTAATTCCAGTCATGAACATTTCCTTCGAACCAGCATCTCTAAAAGGAACATCAATTTTTACTTCAAGACACATGTTTAAAGTGACGGGTAGAATCTGAAGTTTCACAGTTCTTGCCCTCTTGTAACGCTGTAGTGTACAACATTAGTTCAGATAAATTCGACTTCGCTGTGTTGTTACCCATTGAACAAGCGATTCTGTAGGCCATGCTGTTCTTATGATGAAAACACATTGTTGGCATCATTTTCTACGTAACAAGGCTGCTTTACAGTTAGTCAAAGATCATGATAGCGTTTGAAATGAGATGGAGACAGCTTGCATGACTCCGCCCCTTTCGGGCGTAGGCTGGAACGCGTCTGGCATGAGATGGGATTTTCTGTGCACATCATGACTAAAAAAAGCACCAGGCTGAGGAAGAGCCTCCGGCCCGTCCGCTAATGATTTCGATAAGAGTATGATAAATCTGCAGCATTGGATTGGAGCTGCCAAATGGTGGTGGTGGCATCCTCAACTTGTTTGGCTCGCTTGCATCACAGGTAGCGAAATGTCCTCGAGAGAAAGGAGTGCGCAGACTCGGCGGTGCTGCAGGAAAGGATGCTACCGTGCCGAGAATCAGCAACCCATTCGAAGCTCCTAAGGATACAAGTAATGGCCTTCCATGCACATTCCAATGGTTTTCCCTCTGTGTCTGTCATACTTTCTCCCCCCAGAGCACGTCATGCGGGCAGTATTTCCTATATTTTTGATTTGCGTCTGCCATAAGTCGACCCTCGCGAATTACACGTGCTATTGGCCGGATGGTTCTACTATCCCCGACTCGTCCGATTATACCCCCTGTAATATAACAGCGACTGGTATTGACAGCGCGTGTTGCGAGTCGGGAGATCCTTGTTCTGCAAATGGCTACTGTTTTGGCAACGCTGGTTACGTATACCGAGGAGGCTGCACCGATATCAACTGGGATGCCGACGAATGCTGCCCAAGCTGCAGGAATGGTACGGAGTCCACCCTCCTCCGATGCGTTCGATACGGATCGTGAGCGGTTTTAACGGTGTGACAGTTGCTATCGATATCTTCTGCAACATCATCCCCTGCCCACTAGTCAACGGCTCTTTCACGAAAAAATTCTGCTGCAGCGAGCAATCAGGAACCGGCTGTTGCGACACAGCAATAGTCGATCTTGACGAATACCGCATAATTCCTGGTCCAGACCGTCTATATGGAGGCAATACCGTGAGCACAGTTTCGCTATCGCAGTTTACCAAAACTTCAAGCATCGCAACCGCTTGGACATCGAAAAAGCTTCCACCTATCTCGCCCAGCATCGTGGCATCTACCACATCAGCAAGTGTTCTATCTGCCGTAGCAAAACCTTTGACCCAACACTCACCACCGACGAAGAAGCTTACTGACCTCAGTGTGGCGATTGGCGTGCCGCTGGGGGTTTTCGCGATCTCAGGATTAATCGCATTACTCATCCACGAACGCAGGCTTCGAATTAAAGCGCAAAAGACGGTTGTTGATACACTTGCTGCTTACGAAAAGTGTCGCGCGGCCAAGCCACGTGCTGCAGTCTATGAGGTGCAAGGTCACCCGAGGCCACAGGAACTGGAGCACACACAGTCGCAACCGGGAGAGCTTTATGATGGAGAAATTCATGAGCTGAAGTAACATTTTGAGGGCTGAAGGATAGGGGCTCATGGACACCGGGTTTGCGCTTTGTGGACGTCTGCGGGGCACAAGCTAGACGAGTCTACTCGCTTACTTGCTATATCGTCCAACTCATCCATTCTGATTCGGACGAACTTGATCAGGCCGAAGAAGGTAGAGAGGATGGAATCTGGATCGAACAAGAAGGAAGTCTTTCTGCTCCCAAAAGAAGGCGCTTTGTACCAGCTATCATCAGTTGATCCCGTCTGAAAAATTAAGTGGTAGCGAGGTTGCGATGATGTAGTGACTGACTCAGCTGCAGGAGTGCGATCAAGTTCTATTGGGGTCACAAATGGCGAGGATTCCGGTAAGCTGGCCGATAAAAAGTAGTCTGCAATGCCAGCTCGTCACATAGCGAATATCTGTGCTGGGATCCTTTCTCTATTCCCAAGACCGGTCTGGAATACGGGAATGTCGTCAAATTTACCATGACAGATCGTTGAAAGTCGAAGAAGCCTGTGCACTTTGCTTGATCCGCGGAGATTTTTAGAGCAGGTGATGGTGATGGTGTTATGCCCGTCACTGTGATGTTCTTCAAATCAATTGCAATTACCCCGCTCATGCCCTAAAATTTGATCATAGCGCACAGTGATGAAGAATGAATTCGTTCAGCAACTGAGATACATCCAACATGATCATGGATACTCTCAGGCGCGCTGCCAGAATGAGTGACTGACTCAGCGGTACAGATTCGCAGAAATGGAAATTAGGTTAAATACCTGGATGTGTGGGTCCAAGTTCGATGTTGCAGGTCAATCTTCTGTCTCGAAGCCTTGAATGATATCCTTTCTAGAGTTTTTTCTGGGACCACCTCAGCACAAATTCGGGTAACTATAGTAATTGCGGCCTTCATTTCTCCATTCGAATATTTGTAATGAAGCCTTTCGCTCTGATCCATCTTCTCTAAAGCTGGCTCTTTGCAGAGAACTGCTTCGTGTACAAAATGAAGCGGCCCAGGCTGGCAACTTTCAAAACCTGAATACAAACCATGGCTGAACGAGGCAACTCCATCGGTGCGATATTGCCGCACATCGATGCGAGAGGTCGAGCTGGTACATGCGACAGTATTCGAACTCGAATGGCTAAGTGAAGATTCGGTCATGGATCAACTGTATAAATAGCATCTCAGGTGTTGAAATGGCTGTCTTCACGAGGGCCATCGAACGAGGAGGGTGGAATGGTGTAAATTTTCACAGTGCCGATGCTTCTCCAAGCTCACTTTCATCGGACCATGACTCAATGATTTATTAATGATTCATTTGAGCTGGGTGGTAAGAATTCTGCTTACAGAGATGTTAGTCAGAGGGATGATGACCCAATCGCGGAATATAAGATCGACCGGGATCTAGATTAGTGTCGGAACCCTGCTTCAAAATTTATTTGGGGAATTCCCGACTTCGACTACATGCACCACAATACTTAGACTACTGGCTTCTGCTTGTGTTCCTTGTCGGCAATGTCTTTGACCGCGGATATACTGCCAGGAATTTCACCATGACTTTAAACTCGGAACTTCCTGAATCGCCCTGAGAAAACGGGACCGCGTGACATTGGATCCGCTTCCTCGGTCTTGCGCCTGGCACCATGTCTACCACCACAGGGTAAGTCTCCAAAACCCTGATAGTGGGGGTAGAAGCTGAAGTGTGTCCGGATGACTAGTTCATTCATTGCAGGCGGTATAGCAGCTTGTGGTGCTGTCACAGCCACTCATCCCTTCGAGACCATCAAGATCCGGTGATTGGCGCCAGCGATCAAGAAGAGAGGGCAAGACTGATCCGAGAGAGAAACAGGTTGCAATTACAAGGAGAGCTGCAAGCCAAGAAAGATGCGCCGAGACTGTACAAAGGCGTTTTCCACGGCGTGAGCGTTATCCTGAAGAATGAAGGGCCAAAAGGCTTGTACCGAGGTATTGGGGCAGCGGTAAAGCTATGCATCCACTGCATCCTTGGCACAAGGCTAATAGTGCCCATAGTATGTATACCAGATGGTCCTCAATGGCTGCCGCCTAGGCTTCTACGAGCCCCTCCGCCAAAGCCTCACCTCTGCCATCTTCAAAGACTCCAAAGTCCAATCCCTTGGCATCAACATCTTCACCGGTGCTGCATCTGGCATGCTCGGCGCTGCAGCCGGCTCCCCTTTCTTCCTCGTCAAGACGCGCTTGCAGTCTTACTCGCCTTTCCTGCCCGTGGGCACTCAACACGGGTATAAGAATACGGTGGATGGCTTTCGAAAAATCCATCGCGCTGAGGGTTTCAAGGGTCTCTATAGAGGGATCGAAGCGGCTATTGTCAGGACAGGTTTTGGAAGCAGTGTACAGCTGCCGATGTACTACTTTGCGAAGAGGAGGTTGATAAAACACCTGGACATGCAAGAGGGAGCTGCCCTGCATTTGGCAAGTAGCGCGTGCAGTGGGTTCGTGGTCTGCTGTGTTATGCATCCACCAGGTACGTTTGAGAATTCTCGTGAGATATGCGCGATGCTGACGGAAGAATCGCGGAAGACACGATAATGTCGCGGATGTACAATCAAACGGGTAATCTGTATAGTGGCGTATTCGACTGCCTAATCAAAACTGTAAAAACCGAAGGACTCCTGGCCATATACAAAGGGTTCTTTGCACACTTAGCAAGGATTCTGCCACATACAATTTTGACCTTGAGTCTGGCGGAGCAGACGAACAAGTACATGCGGAAGTTTGAAGATAGAATTTTGCCGGCGACGGTCAAGGAGAAATTATAGACACACCCACAAGCATTTGCATAGACAATGGATGGCGTTAGCACGGAGTAAGAGATGATTTTGCATAGTGTCTGGCGTCCTCATAAGACTGGAGTTGCGTTGTGGAAAGAAACCAAATCCTAAGCCAAAATAAACATTCTCGCCGGACTCGAACCCCCCTACCCTCATCGTCAACACATCACGACGACCCCGTCACCCACCCGATAAACTCCGCCCGACCTTTTGCATTCTGCTCCCCCCCCCCACTCGACCACAGCAGCCGCCCAGCACCAAACCCATCCATCTCCGTCCACCACCACCACCACCACCACTTCCTCCACAACAAACGATGGCAAAAAAGCCCCAAAGCATCCCAATGGCAAAAGAATCGAGCCGTTACCACCAGGACCTTTGTGCTGCCTGGCGACTCGCAAGAAAACCCCCCCGGCTGTGCGGAAAGGGCTCACACATGGGACCTGATCGGGGGGTTTTGCTTCTACAGACCTACATGGGAGAGAGGCCGCTATTTGGCTATATATCCTTGTTTAATCGGTGAGCGGATACGGTAGGGCTGGCTCTCTGCCACCACAGTCAAGAAGAGTTCCTCTGCCGCCGCACGAAAGCGGGTTTGTTGATTTGGATGCTGTGGTCTTGGCAGATAGTGCTCGGTGGTTGGTAGCAATGTTGATCGGGGCTTTGAATAAAATTTGCTCCTTGTTTTGAGGTTGCGGTGCGCTATTCCCCTGGAACACATCTCGGGCAGTTTCTACTTTTCAATACTTTTTCTTTACTTTTTCTTTTCTTTTGGATTCCATCGATCCTGTTTCCTGGTCGCGACGTTCGCGGTATCTACTAGCGAAAAGCCCATGCATCCAGCATGCAGCCCTCACACAAGCGACGTCGCTTGGACCCTTGAAACCATCGCTAATCGCGTTGGCGGATACTCCCATATTGACAGCTGCGCCTCGAAGTTTAACAATGCACGGGTGCCTTTCGCGTGTTGTTCTACTACTAATGGTGCCGTGGCCACCGCAAAAGCGGTGCTTGAACCCAGCAGATGATATTCTGTGTGGAGTCGAGATGCGATCATCCAGTGTTTTCTTGCTCGCCGCGCCGCTCGTTCTCTCAACCTCTGCAGATGCAGCTTCAATCCACCCACCGTCTAACCTCCTCCTCACCATCCCAGACACACCCAACACATTCCCCAACACCTCCCTCCCCTCCAACCAAACAATCTCCGAACCCACAAAGTCCGTCAACCACCCTCCCCTCCCCTCCCCCCATCGCTCCCCCCACTAACACACACCCCCACCCAGTACCTTCCCCCCCTCCCCCTACATCTACCCCATCCCCAACAACCCCACGACAATCATAACCTTCTCCGCCTACACGAGCCCCATCAGCGAACTCTCCGCCCTCGAGTGCATCCTCTCCGCGACCGAGGACGTCGAAACCGCCCTCGAGGCCTCCGTCCGCGACCCGGATCGCCTCGTGCGGCAGCACTACGTCCGGGTGGACGCCGAGCACGCGTCGTTGATCGTGGCGACGGTCGATGGGCGGTTGAAGTGGGTCACGTGGGGCCAGACGTTGAAGGCGCTCACGCGGTTTCTGCACCGGTGGGAGTTTGTCGGGGTGGGGTTTGTGGTCGTGGAGGGAGGGGTGAGGGTTGCGGTGGGGAGGTTGGCGGTGAGGTGAGGGGATGGTAGTGGGGGTTTTGTTGTAGGGGGGTGGTAGGGGGTGGTTTGAGGATTCGAGGGTAATCGGTGGTGGTGCTGTGGCCGTGTCTTTCAGGCTTGTTTGTAGTTTGAGATGTTTGCAGCGTTCTGAGATTGCCTGTGTAAGCGGAATACGATAGCGAGTCTAGTGGCAAAGTCGCACAACATGATTGCGCTTAGATTCGACTGTGATCGATTGGCAGGAACTGTTCCATACCATTGGCAGGGTTGATGTCTCTATGCAGCATGGCAGTCCCGGGGTCAGATGCCGTTCGATCTGGTACTAGGCTACCGCTGATATTCCACTGTAGGCCATGATGGCAACAAAGTATGGCTGCAGCTATCTGGAAAGCTGCAGCGATGAGGGTAAGGTAGCAGACACTCGTGAGGCTACGAGTATTTGGTTCACACCCTAGGATCCAACACTTTTGCATGCGACGATCCGAGTCGTACACGGGCAACATAACCGGGGCTCTGCCAATCAAATTGGAGTGACTTGGGTACTTGTGCTCGCTCTTAAGGCAGCTGCAGACGAGGTGAGGTGGGGCGGCGTGCATAAAGCCACGTCTGCTGGCAGCGATCAGGCTGTCGCCCATCCTCTCCATCCATTCGCATCTTCCTCCGTCCATGAAGACACGCAAGGTTTTATTCTCTCTCTATGCTTTGGCATCGAGACCCTAGCGACACTGTCCGTCCCAAAATCCGCGAACGGCGGCGTGAGGTTGGTCCCATGCGTCCAACAGCCTTGCCTACCACTCCTCCACCAGCGTGAAGTCCAAGGCGAGACGACTCAGTAGCTGCAACTTTTTCCGGGCATCAGCGCGTGAAGCCCGTGTTTGCGGATTTCAGGCCCAAATCCACCGCCAGTAGTCTGATCTCGCATTGCTTCCATTGTCCAATCGATACACGTTTCTGCATCCAAAATCAAAGGGCCACACTATGGACCCAGGGACTGCTATTGCGGCTGGACAGGTCTCCGCCAAAGTCCTATCGATCATTTGGAAATACTACTCGGAAGTCAAGGATGCCAAAAGCAATATTACGTACCTAGCCAACGAGATCCAAGACTTTCACGATGTGATGCAAAGATTTGGAGAATTACTCCAGAAAGAGTCGATTGTAGCAAAGGCTCCGGCGTCAGCGTCCCTCGCAACAACAATCGAGCAGTCTTTGTCGGACATCAAAATGCTTCAGAGCAAATTAGACCCAGGGACAGGAGCCAAGGTCATGAAACGTGTGGGGAAGCGCGCATTGAAATGGCCTTTCACCAAAAAGGAGGCAGATGAGTGGGTCACAAGGTTCCAGAGATCAAAGGCAACAGTCAATCTCGCGTTGAACGCAGACCAAACGTATGATTTCCGCTCTCTTCTCTAGCCGTCATGAGCTGATCAACATAGCTCTCTCATCATTGACGTTGACGCAAATGTCATCCAGCTGAAACAGGGCCAGGAGGCTATTGAGCTGGAGCGACAACTGGGAAAGTTATCCCTTGCTGCCGAGGCCTCTTTCGACTCATATCACCGTCAACATGAGTCACAGTGCATAGCGGATACTCGTGTCGAACTCCTGCAGCAGCTTCAAGGCTGGGGCGCACAACACCAACGACCTATATTCTGGTTAAGTGGTATGGCTGGGACTGGAAAATCCACCATTGCTCGCACCCTTGCCAAGGAATTCAAGTCCCAGAATACGCTTGGAGGCAGCTTCTTTTTCTCGAGAGGCTCAGGAGAGGCCAATAACGCTGTCAACTTTGTGGGTACCTTGGCTTATCACTTGGCCAATATATCACCGCAACTCAAGCAGTGTATATGTGAAGCAGTCTCATTGCATAGTGAAACTATACGGCAAGGTCTGCGTAACCAGTGGAAGGAGCTTGTTATCGGACCATTGTCAAGAGTAAAACTCAACCCGCGCCCGACATTGAATTTTGTGATCGATGCACTGGACGAATGCGGCTCTGACGATGATATCAGGCTCATTCTGCAGCTTTTTGTTGAAGTAAAGGATCTGAATACCATCGATTTGGGAGTTTTCGTAACCAGCAGACCAGAGATTGTCATTCGCCTTGGTTTCAAGAGTATACCGGAAATTATCCACCATAATCTTGACCTCCGCGACATCCCCCGCCGAACAGTGGAGCGCGACATATCAGTGCTCTTAAAGCAAGAACTCAGTCGAATAAGTATGGAGGTAGAGGGTGGGCTGCATGACTGGCCGAGCGAAGCTAACATCCAGTCGCTTGTTCAAAAGGCTGACTGTCTGTTCATTTATGCTGCGACCGCTTGCCGCTTTATCGGAGTCAAGGGTTTGGATCCAGTAAAGCGCCTGGCTGAAATACTCCAAGTTGACTCTGCCGGTGGAGGGGGTACCGCCGAGTTAGACGAGATGTACAAGCAGGTCTTGAGATCCTCTCTCATCAAAGATCGGAGCGAACGAGATAGAGCCGAACTGTGCGACCGATTCAAGGACATTGTGGGGTCTATCGTTGTTCTATTCGACGAATTGTCTGTCTCTGCTTTGGCTAAGCTGCTTTCCATGAAATACGATACGGTAGACGTAACCCTGGGTATTAGTACATTGCATTCTGTGCTCAACATTCCAGACGACTTGGATTCTCCCATACGATTACTTCACCCCTCGTTCCACGACTTCCTCCTCAACGAAACAAGGTGTAAAGACACGCCCTTCTTTGTCGAGGAAGCATTGAGGCATGGCGAGCTTGTCACGAGTTGCTTAAAAGCCATTCGGACCGGGTTGACGCGGAATATATGCCACTTGCCGACGCCAGGCTCTTCGCCGCAGGATCTACAGAGAGAAAAATTGAACAAGCAGTTGCCGAAGCATGTTCAGTACGCCTGCCAATACTGGATGGACCACCTCGCAGGCACCGGATCAGACTTCAGAGCCGAGCTCGGGCTCCGTGATGACGGCAAGATCCACGACTTCTTTGAGAAAGATTTCCTTCACTGGCTCGAGGCTATGAGCCTAATGGGCAAGATGTCCCAAGGGGTGCTCATGATAACCAAATTGGAAAACATGGTTGAGGTCTGCTACCATATTCCGCTATAAATATAGTTGTCAATACTAACCTTCCGGCTTCTAGGTCATCGAACATGATGCCCTACATGCGATAGTCCAAGACGCAAAACGATTTATCCTCAGCAACCGGCCTATCATCGAAAAAGCACCACTGCAGACGTACGCTTCCGCGCTTGTATTTAGTCCAACCGGAAGTCTTATCCGGAAACGTTATTCGGATCAGCTTCCGGCCTGGCTGGTCAGACTCCCAGCCGTGGAAGGCACGTGGGGTAATTGTGTGCAGACTCTAGAGGGACATACAGGTTACGTCACAGCAATCGCCTTCTCACCCGACGGCAAATATTCAGCATCCGCTTCTCGGGATCATACAATACGGTTGTGGGATCCGGCGACAGGGGCCCTACGCAGTACGCTAGAAGGTCATCGAGATTACGTCACTGCAGTAGCGTTCTCGCGCGATGGCCATTTAGCTTCAGCTTCTTGGGATTCGACAGTACGGCTATGGGAGCCTGTGACAGGCGTGGCTCGCCGCATTCTAGATCTCGATGTTGGTCCCCAGTATCATCCCTATCTCGATCGTAACTCCTCCTCCTCACTGTTGTTCTTGCCTAATGGTGACTTGGCCGTAGAATGTTGGGATAAGGGTGTGCAAATATGGAGTCGAGGGAAAGACTCCTTATCTAAGCTCGTACTCCCAGACGTTTTGAAAAATTGGCTTTTGCGGGGATCCTCACCTCAGGGACAGATGGCCTATGTAATTCAGCGAACGAATAGCAATGTATTCGAAGTACTACAATATGACCCAAGTACAGGCACAGCGCAGAGCTTAAAGACCGACATCCCAGCCGAGTACTGTGCAGCGGCATTCACTTCGAACAATGAGCTGGCCTTGGGTTTTACTAACGGAACGATAGAGCTTCATGACTTAGCCTCAGGGTCTCATCGGAAGTTTGAAGGTCATTCGGAATGGGTCAGTGCGCTGTCGTTCTCTCCCGACGGTAAATCTCTTGTCTCGAGCTTCGCAGACGGGACAATATATTTGTGGGATCTATCGACGCAGGCACAGAGCCTGATTGGGACCTGCTCGTGGACAGTCGACTCCGTGGTATTTTCGCCGGACGGAAAGCAAATAGCGAGCTTTTGCACGTGTTCTTTGACAGTGCAACTATGGAATCCTTCTCCCATGGCTACAACAAACTCGCGAAAAGAGAATTCACCATCTATCAGTAAAATCATAATTTCGCCTAGTGGCAACCAGATAGCATCCATCTACTACCACGATACAACAATCCGATTATATGATACAGTGAGGGGAGCATTAGAGTTTACCTTAGCGGGCCACTCGGGTGAAGTAAATCGAATAACATTTTCGCCCGATGGTAAAAAGCTGGCTTCTGCTTCCGATGACCGCACTATACAATTATGGGATCCAAGAATAGGAACGAGAACTCAAGTCCTGAGCAATGATCGAGACGACGTGCGTATACTTGTCTTTTCATCCGACGGTGAGCAGCTTGCCTCGAGTGGCGGTAAGGGAGAAGTACGGATTTGGAATCCAGAAACAGGATCTCTGCGTCATGAGCTCCAAGGTCACCCCATCGGTGTCTCAGCAATAACCTTTTCGCTCACTGGCGAGAAGATCGCCGCTATTTTCTGGAAAGGGACTGCAACAATATGGGATACCATGACAGGAAAATTACTTCACAAGCTCGAAGGCCTAGTGCAAAACTCAGGTGCAATAGCATTTTCGCCCAATGGTAGGTATCTTGCCTGTCAGTCCCTAGACGGGACTATAATCATATGCAACACGGAAACAGGAGAGTCACGAAACACGCTCGAAGGTCATTTAAGAAACGCAAGCGCACTGGCCTTTTCAAGTGATAGCAAGTCTCTTGCATCCTCTTCACTTGATGGTGCAGTAAAGCTATGGGACGTTGGAACTGCACGGCTGATGGGAACATTCTCAATCAACAGTCATGTCGAACAGTTGTCGTTCTCTGCAGACGGGACGTACCTCGAGACTGACCGAGGTCATATCCAGATCGGTGAAATTCTCGAAGACTCGTTCAACTATTCATCCACACCTGAAAGTCACTGGAAACTCGTTGGGGAGGAGTGGATCATGGAAGGCAACCGAAAAATGCTTTGGCTACCTCCTGATTTTCGCCCCCATTCTAGCTCCAGGTTGGCCAGCAGACGCATAGCGCATCACAATGGATTCTTTGTCATTGCTTGTGCATCTGGCAAGATGTTCTTCATGACTTTTACTCAGGATGGTATAGTGACAGATGTTGGAGGGTGATAGATGATGGACCGGAGTCTGTATACGTTGTGCAGCTGATATCGACTGAGCTGATGAGAGCTGGGAATGGGGTGGTAGAATGTGTTGATTTGATTTTATCTTGCCTTTCGTTTTGCGTGCGGCACTTTGGTGTCATTGTTTCCTGATTTTATTTCGACAATATCCAACGCTCCTTAAAATGTCTACATGCTCGCCTTTGTAGGAAGGTTACAGCTGTCGTTACAGTCAGTGTTTCATATAGAACAAGATACTCTCAACTCCCAAGTCGTACAAGGAGAGCGAGTGATCCAACGAAGTCATAAGGAGGAATTGGTCTCAATTTCCATGGACGGCGTCCAGTAGACGACTCGCTGAGCCTGTGTTATGACCGTGTGTTTATTGTAAGCCTGGCAGTCTACCCGCTATTGTGGATTTGTTTGTGAAGAAGCACCAAGCTACACCAAAATGTTTCATGTT